AGAGGGACATCCCTTCTCGTAATGCTAATGGGGTTGTCATCACGCACATCAAAGTACTCCGTGACCCAATCCAAGAAATCGGCCAAATTTATGGATGGGCACTTCTGCGTGCGTCCCCAAAGAACATATCCAGGAAACGTATACAAGACACGCTCATAAGTCAGACCCTTATGCTGACCAAAGGAGAAAACGCGATCGGAACCCTCAGGCGGGCTGTCACGCATGATCCTAGCGGCGGCTGTGCGCCGAAGCTGCGGTGAGAAGAGGGTTTCATTGCCGCGGCCTTTGCCGGTATTGGTCTTTGAGGGAGTCAGCTCAAGGTTGGCTGGGTAACCCTCGAGCCTACCAGCGCTCGCATTCGACAGGTGGACACACTCTGTGTCGTCATCCTCCTCCACTGCGGCGAAATACGCCTGGGGCTTCGGCGCCGCCGGCTTTGCGGCTGCGTTGGCAGTCCCCCCAGACTGTGCTGGGGTTGTGGTACCCTTGGGGCCATTGCCCTTACCGCTAAACTTGCAGGCAGCATCTCCGGCCCAATGGCCGATCACGCCGCACTTCAGGCACCTACTCTTTGCCTTAAGCTCTGCCAACTTGGCCTTACGATCAGCAATAGTCAAATTGCTACGCACGACCTTCCCTCCGGATTTTCCGGAGGACTTGCCCTTGTTCTTCCCTTTTCCTTTCCCTTTCGCCTGGGCAAAGGCGGTCTGTGCCGCGTACGCAAGCTGAACTGACTCGGCATAGGAATCATCCAAATCGTCAATCTCAGCTTCATATGCCACTGCCGTATAGGCGTTGAGTTGCAATGCTAGGTCTTCATCATCAATCCATTCATCCGCATCATCTCCCCCAGACGCTGTGGCCTGGTATGCTTCCTCGCCGTAGCCGTCACCGTAGCCTTCCGCGGATTCCTGCTGTTCCTGGTGACCATACTCTGCGGCACTACCATCATACCCCATGTAACCAAACTTAGGGTATTGTGGCTTAGCGTCGAAACGTCTCCAGGTCTTACCTGGGCCACTAGGGTCCTTCTGGGTAAGAAGACGTTCCTTCATGTGCACCACTGAGTGATGCTGAACAAGGACGCGTGCGTACTCATCCACGGTGTGTACGCGGGCGGCGGTCTTGACCATTAGCTGTTCGTTCCTTTCCAACCCTGAAAGCTCAACAAGGAGGTTAGCCCTCATTGCTTCAGAAAGGCGGATATCAGGATCTAGCTCACGCAAGGTCGACCACCACCGCTTTCGGCGGGCTATGTAAGACAACATAGGCTCGCCGGGTTGCTTTGCGAGTGGGCCCGTCAGGAGCTGTCCCTGACGGAAAAGTTCGGAAGCCTCTTCAGATTGAAGAGGGAAAGCTTGCCTCCTGATTTCTTCTATCAGGTAGTCGACGCCATCATGGCGAAGCAGACGTTCCAGGCCGACGTCGCGAGCAATGCAAAAGGCGTCTCCTCGGAGACCCTCCAAAATCTTGCTAACGCATTCGCTCATATCAAGCGACTCGTCCTTAATGTCTTGCAAGGTGTACACCGCCGGATCTGTGTCCGGCTCCTGCTCATCGTCGCCCGCCACTTGGCTGGGGTGCGACGGCAACGACTCCGCATCCTCATCTTCTGCCTCGGACGCGGGCTTAGTCCGTTTTGCGCTGGACGGACTGGCGGGTATACCGCTGCTTCCATCACCATCTGTGGGCGATGCGCTGGTCCCCTGACTTGCCCTGCCACGCCACTTCCTTGGTGACTCGCTCTTGGCCCTTGCCGACTCGGCAAATCGCAGGTCCTTAAGAGCTTCACGCCGCTGCTTCTCCTTATGTTGCAGCACACGGATCTGTGTCCGGAAGCACCAATCGTGGAAGCCAGCAGCCGTACCGTCGTATATGTACGAACCGCTTTTCGTTTCTGCAGGGCTCAGGTTCTGTGACCAGAGATTGGGCTGGTAACGCAAACCTGCCACGCTCATGGCTTCAGATAGAAGGGGCCTTTGCGCCGCGACTATCACTACTCTACCCAACGGACCCCGGACCACAGGCTCTACGGGGGTGAAACACTAGTGGTTGTCCTCACAGCTCCGCTACCAGTTTGAAGCAGGAACTGGATTAGTGAGTGTCCAACCACACAACGAGCGCACTTTTTGGTCTGAGCCCAAGACGTCTGTCGTACAGGGTGCGTTCAGAACTGTCTCAAAAACTATTCACGCATGAGGACATGTCAACACGGCGCTTCAAGACAGGGAAATTTCACAAGGGTTAAGAAGTTTAGAGTTTGGGGGCTTCTACTTTAAAGTTGTTTGGCCCTTTTTCACCTGTTGCTGCTGGCAGCTAACAGACTGCGCATGCCGGAATGGGAGTGTGAGCCCTTTCGGCCCCCAAGGAACCCTGCCCCCCTGTCACTTCAGCATCCCTGTCAAACCAGTTTCCATCACAGCTGACGACTCTGCGAAGCATGATCACCTTCTTGATCATCCCGGTGGGGTTTAGGGCTCAGGTTCAGGCATTCGGATACAGGATCGAAGACTTCCTACTTGGCTGATCCTAAATTGCGCAGTCTTCTGTTTTCCACGATCCACAACCCTCAGTCTGGGTTCTTGTTCAGGAAATTAAAGTTAAGCTACCATAATAAACCGTCTTATTTACTATAGATCCCTATTGTGGTAGCTTGAATTATTTCACAGGAACCCAGCTTAAAACCCTGACCCTAAACCCCAAACCCCCCAAAACCCTAAACGCCTAAACTTGCCCTAAACCCTGAAAGTGCACCTGTGGGGAGGCAGCTCCGGCAGGAGCTCCACAGCCACAGCTTCCACGAGTCCGTCCATGAGAGCTCCTGATATAGGGGCCTTATTCATTAGAATATGGCTTGCGGGTATACTATAAAGGAACCCAGGCCTTTACAGTGTACTGGGCTTTGAAGAGACCAGGGAGAACAAAGTACGAAAGTATGGTGCCCCAGAACCCACTATAAAGGATGCAGATGAGATCTTTCTCAAAGGTTTGTCAAGAGAGGTTGGGCAGAGTATAGCAACCTGAAATATGCAACATGTTCCAATCTTGGATTAGGGCTTCGGGAGCTCATGGTTGAGGTTTCCACGCAGTCTTGCACATCTGCTTCATTCGGCCTAGTCTAGGGTTCAGGGCCTAGGGCATCTGCTTTTGAGTTCCCGGTGCAACGCGGTTGCTCCCTGAAAGCCTTGAGGCAACCCTGCGCTCCTCAGGAATGCTCTCGAAGTGCACGGCCATGCGTGCGAGAAGGGCTGAAAGCTTGGGGGAGTGGGTCCGAGCTTGGGTTGGAGGTTGTTCGGGCTTCAGGGGATTGAACCCCGCAGAGGAACTTCGGTAGGACGTCTTTGTGGCTCTTAGTGCGGTCTGCCCGACCTCGAAACCAGCTTTGCTCTCCAAGGCTGCTAGCCGATCAGTTGGACATGGTCGGGCGGTTTGACTCTGTCCATGTTCATCGTGTGCAAGGCCGGAGGCAATCTCCAGCCCAATATAGAGGAAGTGTCAGGGAGCCTGAAGCCGCACGGCTGCGGCAAGACCAGGCCGGGAAGCGCAGCTTTAGTTCACATGGAGACACTGGCTCTGCTGGGTCGCCCTGCGGTGTTTTGAGCGGCTGCCAGAGCCTTCACCAACTGTTGAATGAGCTCAAAGTGCTCCTCGTGGAGTTTGGGCAACGGTCACCGCTTCTGCTGCAACGGAGGACTCGTACACTCAGGGCATGGGGCTCTCTGACACCTTTCTCTAAAGCCGCCTTGAGCAAACGGGTCCTCGACATTGTACGTACGCCGGTGTCGCATCTCCTTGGAGCACTTTCGAACGACCTTGGCTGCGGCCACAGCAGGCGACTGCGTACCGCTGTGTGACTCAGAGACATTTCTAGGAGCTCGGACATCCGGGTCGTAGTTTGGCCAGTCTGCGCAGCCTTTGGAAACGAAGTCCTGTCTCAACATGTCTCAACAACGGCACAAACCATGCAGTCTGGAGACTCCTGCATCGAATCATGCAGAGAGCACTGCGCAAGTGGCTGACCAACTGTTCCAGTGAATGTTGTTGCAATCAGGTGCACGCTCGGGTAACTAGATACCCTGCCACAAATCACTGCCAGCTTGTGCGGCAAAACGAACGTCAAGATTCTAGACTCCGACGGGAAGCCCGCACGGTACTAGCCGTTTCACAGCTTCGGCTCGACTACCATCGGGGCATTGGTAAAAGCCCAGCAAGCGAGCACGGGGGTCGCCGTGGTATCCTACCATGCACGTGTCGCCGGCCGTGGCGCTTTGGCCTGCACTCCAATTTCAGGCTCTCGAGCTTTGCTTTGTCCTTGTCCTCGATGACTCTCGACGCGTCCTGCATCCAATCAATGGGCTGTGCCGAGAGTGATCTACAAAGTTCATGCAGTGCGTATCAGAGATAGCCGAGATAACTTCACAAACATGAACTCTGGGATCCCCATCCCTGTCAGGATGCTCTAGCCGCTCCGGTGAGCATCTGGGCGTGCGCGACAGACGAAGGCTACGATGTAAAAGCTGCAGACTCTCGAGTAGCTCCTCTTCCAGGGTAACCATGCCTCGATCGCCGCGGGCGATTTTCATGAGCTTGCCGCTTTGAACGGGGCCACCGTCGACGATCTCGAGCACTTTCACCCAAGCCCTCGGCGGTGCAAACTGACGCCGTTGCTACGAGTACGCGTGCATCCACCAGTTGTAAACCACCCCCAGGTAATTGAAATACAAGCCAGTCGAACCGTCGAACCCGCAGCACACGGAACCCAAAACCCCAGCAATCGCAGCAAAGCATCCCGCGTTTAAAGCCGACGCGGGCGCTGTTGACAAGCAGCTCGGCACGCCCAGCAGCCTCAGCACACAGCATTTCAGAGGCCGCTGTTGAGCCAGGCGCAAGACTACAACCTGGTCGGTTCCAATTTGGGATGGGGATAATACAGTTGTTGCACAAGCATGGAAGAGCCCTTCACAAGTTGGAGAAGGCCACACTGTCGTAGAGAAACCTCATCAAATCAGCATCTCTTCGCCAGAGGCCAGAGGAGCAAGGTGTAGCAACTGGCCTCGGCGACTCGGCATTCAGAACTCAAGGCTTCTGACCCTGAAAGCTGGGTGCCAGGCTATCTCCACTGGCTGCTTCCATAGTTATGCTGCCAGACACTGGCCGCAAGTCCCTCCTTGCGAATGGAAGCTTCGGGGGTCTGTCACGGAAGATGGAGAACACAAGTTGATGTTCCTGCCACGATGTCGTCAAGTATTGCGTTGCTACTGTCTGGGTTGTTCCTAGTAGGAATGACACTCTCGATATTAATCGGGTATCTTCGACTATCATTCAGTGTAGTTGCACTGGTGGCAGTGGCAGTAGCAGAAGCAGTCATCGCAGTATCAGTGGTCGTCGTCGTGGTCGCAGTCGCGATCCTGATCGCACTGTTGCTGCTGGCCAGGCAACAATGCTTGTGGTTATTATTATGAATACATTGAATACAACGACTATGATGGCGTTGGTTGGACGACGACCGTTATGAGACGAAGGGCACCCGACTCACAACAGTCGCGAGTGGCTCAGCTTCAAGGGAAATGTCGCTACGCAAGGCACGCCCTCCCAGACTTTCGCGTCTGTGTAGATTCGTATCCGAGTTGGGGGCCTTTTGCATGGCCGTGACTCCAATTAACGTCTGTCGCAGGATCATTTCACGAAGCCCCGAGCCCAATGAAACCTCCATCGGCTCCCAGAGCCTTAGCCTTCGGCCAGACACCCCAAGGGAAGCTCCAAACCCCAGAAGTCCCAAGCCATCGCTCCTGGCCCAAAGGTCGCGTACGCGATAGTTTCGAGCAGGCTCCAGTCCCAACTCTGACAGCTCGACCTGGGCCGACCTCGCAGGAGCTTCGGACCTTTTTGGGAGCAAGGAACTGGGAACTGCCTGTTCTGAGCCAAGGTAGCCAAGGCGCAGCATCGCTGCTGAGCCTCGGTTCAGAAGCAGCCTCGGCCGGCGAAGCGCGTCTATCGCTGGAGCCGTGCGACAATCTTGGACTCAGCAGTGAGAACACCAAGAAGAGCCTTTTCGACTGCCCCCTTGGCCCGACGGCTTTGTGCGAAATTTGTCTCATCGCTACTGTCGTCGTGGCATGTCGTGACCCTCACTACCAACATGCCCTACTCGTTACTCGTGCAAGGCAGAGGGTGGGAGCCCGAGCATCTCAGCTTCGTGCATCGCCTGAAAGCATGAACCTGGGACATGTCTGGCAAGCAGCACGGCCGCACCTTCTGGTTGAGGCTTGGCCCAAAGCCTCAGAAAGCCGTCAAAGACTGTCACAGACAGGCGAACAGGAAGGCACACGTGCCCCTGGGCCCCTTGCAGGCAAAACGCTGAACAGGTGACTGGACGCAGCGAAGGTGTTCCGAGAGAAACACGGCAACAACCCATACAGTAAACCTTGAACCCCAAACCCTCGCCCTGTAATAAGCCCATGACGTAAACCGAACTACGTCGCGCTCTGAGCCGCGCGACTGCAGGGGTCCAAAGGCTGTGGGAAGGCCGTGCAATGCTCGGACACAAAGGTCTCCTCGAAAGAGCATTTGGTGTTTAACTTCTTCAACGCTGAAGGATAAGGGTTTACAGTTTACTGCTTGGGGCTCGCTCGAATTACAGCCTGTCCGGGGCTGGGCTCAATGGCTTCTCCCTATAGGGTTCCATGGAGCCCATAACTTAGAAGACATTAGCTTTAAGCTAGAAGCTTGCCGGCTTTTGGCTCAAGGCTTGGGCACTGTCTGTCGAAAGTACGGCCCCAATACAAGCTGAGAGACAAACTCTCTTCAGATGAACACCTTTGCTGGGAAACAGTCTTTCCCAAAGAGCGTGCCCCCTTTTGAGGAATCCATTAAACTTGGTGCCTGTGAATGAGGTGTTCTTGCCATCGGCTCTGGTGCCGTGAACATCAACTGCGTATTGCTCTATGTAAGCTGGGTTCCTTTCGGTCGTCCTTCCTGTACACTCCTCGCTGTATGGTGCAGTATCCCGTAATTCCTTCAGCAACTGCGCGAGGTGCTCAAGATTCCGGATTCTCGGAAGGCTTCGATTCGTTGGCAAATGCTTCGACCTCCTTTTGATTCCAATGACAGGAGTTGCGAACAATCTCGGCCCGGTACCCCAAACCTCTGCATGCTTGATGACGCAACATCAGCGTAGACACATAGAAGTACAGTCATCGTCTTCAGTGTAAGCGCTCCATTACCAGTGCACGTGATTCTGGGTGAAGCTGTTCGACTACGCGCAGGCTCCTAAACTCCGCTAAACTCTTGGGATGGAGACGGGACTTTCGCCAAAACGTCCAAGCACTCCTGCAAACATGTGCTCATCCGCAAATCGGACTGGATGCGCGGGTGGTTGACTCACGTCGCACAGTTCACCATCCTGAGGTCAACACGTCGGCACACAGCACTTGTAGCATGATGCTGCACACACAAGGAGGACAATCTTTCCTCCCTCCGCAACCCCGAAAGAACGGCCAGCCGCCTTCGAGAAACCCTCAGTCTGCTGAAGTGCAGGAGAGGCGCGGAGAGCCCCAACGCAGGCCCGACCTCCGAGACCGGCCAGACTGTGGCTGCTTTGGGGCATGGTCGTTGGGGATCCAAGAAGGAGCAGCTCTTTACCAACGAAGGAGCGGAATCGACGCGGGGGCCCTGCCTCCGTGTACCCAGCCGCAAGACTCAAGACCTGGGCTTCCGCAAGCGGCACCAAGTGGGCGGTGAAACCGTAGCCCTCTGCAAGACTACTTAAAGGCGGAACCACTCTGTTGCGGGCATCCCGTCCTGCACCGACAGGCAGCGCCCTGTGGTCTCGGGAGGTGGCGCGGGGATGCCGCTGTCGATGCACTCGCTCGGCTGCTGGAGGGAGCGGATCAATGCCCCGTCAACCTGCACTGGAGAAGCGCCGATCTCGGAAACGGTTGCGGTGTTGCCAGCCCCAAGAAAGATAATAAGCAGACATCCGACATCTGTGTGGCTTCTTCGAGCACTTGCGGCAGCGCCTCCCATTGCTGATGAGGCTGCCCGGTGCAGCTTCCCACGTTCACCGACCGCCCGTCGCGCAAGTCCACTTGCAGGCACTTGCCATCCATCACCTCGGTCAGTCTACACCCCAGCATCAACGAGAACTGGCTGAAGACTACTCCACTGGCACTTGAAGACACCTGGGGTTGCCCACCTTCCCGCAATGCATGAGTGCGGTTACTGCCGCCGCCGCGGGTCATGCTGGAGGCGACTATGACGACGACAACACTTAATGATGGTGATGATGATCTTCAAACATCTTCAAGCAACGCTCTGCTGCGAAGGGGCATCACTGTGCAGGTATCTCGTAAAATGGCCCGCGAAAGACTAGCAATTGCGCTTGAAGCTTTATGCCAGGTAGACAGATATAGGTGCCCCGAAGACTGACGGCCTCCAAGACACCGCACGAATCTGCGAGCCCTGAAAGCGCCATGCCCCGTTGGCTTCACAGCCGCCGGCACCGGTCTTGGGGAGAGCCTGATGCATGGCAAAGGGCCTTGATATTTCGGCTAGAAGGTGTACTTCAGCACAATGAAAATGAGCGAATCGAAAGGCGGGCCTTGCACCCAAAGTTCACGCCAACCTGCCAACGCTACAAGGGCAACCCTCAGCTTCGGGTTCATGTAGGCTTCGGGGGTTCACCAAGGGTCTCGGATCTGCAAGTTGCACGGGTGCAGGATGCATCCCATCGTCTCGGGGGTGTGCAGGAATAGTGCTCGGGATTGCTAGTGTCCCTTTTCAAGCCCTTACGAACTAGATAACAAAACGACGAAGAAAACTTGCCAAAATAGGCGATAAACCCCTGTAATCCTACGTGTAGAATCCCTTAACCGCGAACCCAAACCTTTAGAAACCCCTCTGCCCCTGTAAACCGCAATAGCCCTAAATAATTACCCCAACCCTGAAAACCCAAACTTTACCAAAACTTACTCCAAACACCAAGCCCTGTTTTACCATCATTTGCCCCAAACCCTAAAGTGTACATATGGGAGTTTCCGAAAACAGGGGACCCTACTGTAGTACCCTAATAGTATGATCCTTCTTATAAGGACCCCAAAGCAAGGTACCCCTAATTTTCGGAGACTCTACCTCTAAACCCTAAACCCTTTATAGAACCCTTATAGTACCCTTTAAGGGTACCCCTATAGATCCCTTTAAGGTACCCCTAATTCTCGGAAACCCCCATATCTCGGGGTGCCGGGCCTCGGCTGCCTGTGCGGTGCTGCAGCCGGTGATCTCCCAACAGCCGCCTTCTCAGAGAAGTCTCTATGACAAAAAAAGGGGCTTCAGGGGTTTATCTCTGGCTTCTATAGGGTTTAGGAGGTTCAGGGTTTTTTCCTATAGCTTCTATGGGGTTTAGGATGGTTTAGGATGTTCAGGGTTTAGCTATAGAGGTTAAGGGTTTCGGGTGGTTTAGGATGATGAAGGTGCTTTCTTTCCGTCAGCTAAGTGGCAGTCTCAGCTACAAGTCGGGAGATCCTCGCACACAAGCCCGCAGCGTACGGCCCGGAAGCGATGAAGGAACGCACGAGAGTCATGATCGGAAGCATCTGTCGCAATGACATGTAATTTATAGTCATACACAATACTCATACTCGTGTATGCTTGATTATGTCGCTAAGCACCAAATCGAAGCCCCGGCCTTCCCGGAACCGCAGGTCATTCTGTACGTTGCACTGCCTTTCGCATCGGCCGCTTCGCTTCCAGCGCTGGCTGGGCACCGAAGCGTTGCAATGCGAGAGTCGCAAAACGCCCTCCTGCACTGCTGCGGATGTTTGGGCGAGAACTTGCAATTCCCGAAATGCAAAGCCTCTACCTCCAAACCCGAAGGCAAAGGCGCTGTGAAACCAAGACACAATGCTTTTAAGAGCTTCGGGATCTGTTGTTCTATCTCGAGCGACCGACTGAACCGCCACGGCCACGGCAGCTGCAGGCCCCAAGGTACTTGGCAGCTACACCATTTCTGATACTGATGCCTTTCCGCTCTGTGCTCATCACACCGACATCAGGCAAAGTAAGAGATGGCAGATCATGAAGCAGAGCATGAGTATGGCGGCAAACAGTGACGGGAAACGATGAGCAGGCGGTCAGCAGGTGAGAAAACAAGAAGGTTCATCCATGCAGTGCAGGTTTGCAGACCAAGCAGAATCAACAAGTACAGAAACCCCTTGATGCAGAAACACAAGCCTCTGGCCTCCAAGTTCGGGAAGGGAGGCGTTTCAAGGATCTCGTGGAAAGCCTTCGGCTGCAGTTGCCAAAGGCGCCCGTCTCGCAGAAGCCACCTGCCGCTGGGACCAAGGTTCACTCAAAGCTCGGCTTTGGGGCGACGGGGAAGCGCCGCTTCAAGTCCAGTCCTGGTCGTGACATCAGTGTATCAGCTGCACAGGTGCCGTTTGAGTCGATGCAACGAAGCATGATAAAGCAATGCTCTGATTGAAAAGACATTGCGAAGAATGCACTCAAGTAAGAATGATAAATAGATGTTGCGAAAACATACTGAGACGCTGTGGATCATAAACAGCCTCCCGTGGCGCGCCCCAAGACTACTCGGGATGCGAGGGGTTTTCTGAAACGGGAAGTGCCGCCAAGCCAAGTCAAGCCATGACACACCTTGAAGGAGAACGCCTCAACGCCTGCAGAGCAAACCGCACATCCAACGCCATGCATATCCAACAACGCACAAGCACGTACCAGGTCTATATCTACATGTACAACCGAAACACCGTCCGAAAAAGGGGATCTCATAAACACCGCTGCACCTCTGAGTTGGACTTCCCTGGCATTGGCGAAGGGAAGCACCGTCCTCCCAGGACAAGCAGCTGCCTCGCCAGGTCACTTGGTGCCTTGGGTGCTTGCAGTGGGCTGAGCTGCGGGTTCGCTCCTCACCTCTCCGCACGGCATATGTATATTTATATGTATATGTATATGCATATGTATAGTATGTATGTGTATGTGTATATGTATCTGTACATGTACAAAGAACAAGCATTATTCTGAGTTTGACCTAGGAGATCGAGTTGGGGCCTCGCCTTCCAATTTGCGGACTTGGACCCGGCACGTCTACGGGTCCGAACCACCCGAAGGTGTACATACACATATATATATATATACATATATACATATATATATATATACATATGGCCACACACACATATATATATATATATATATGTATATATATATATATGTAAGGTAAAAGCAGCTGCACTTTGAAGAATTCGCACACTGTAATCCTTACTTTCAGAAGGTGTCCGGGTTTCAGCTCACTAACTACAGCTGTTGGAGCGTTGCCTCAAGGCTTGCTGAGGATCCTAGTGATTTTTTGCGGTGTTTTTGGGTCTTTCATGGTCCTAATACAGGGATTCTTGCAAAGGCACCGATCGGCGTCGTAGGCCCAGCCGCTGGCATTCTCCGATGCTCCGCAGCGCTGCGCCCAAGCAAAAAGGGGCTCCGAGCTCGGATGCGGGGACCACCTCCGTAGCCTCGATTTGGGGTTCAGGGTGTTTTCTTAGGGGTTTAGTTTAGGGTTCCAGGGTTTAACTTTAAAGTTTACGGGTTTACAGTGGAGGGGTTTCTTAGGATGCCTCTGGGCCTTTGGGTGCCTTACCTAAATGGTCCTTCCCATATGAAATGATCAAGGTCTGGACTGGCGATTCAAATTCATGAAATTCCGATGTTGGCCCAGTGCTGTAAAATGCTTTAGGACTTGTGTACTGATTACTGAGCAACTGGGCAACCCCACCTTCCTGCAGGGCCCATGTCAATGTGCTCCGCTTTGTAAAGGCCAAGCTGCAATCGCCCGGGAGAGCCAGCCCAGTTTTGGTTAAGTTCGATCACCTCCTCACGCATGCCATCATGGAGCCAGGGTTCCGAAGCCCAACGACCCCAAAATCTCAGGTAATCCTCGGGTCGACTCAATTCATGGAGTTCTTCGTGACGTTCCCTGACAAGTTTTCGTTTTTTTGGAGATCGTGAAAAAGTACACCCCCAGGAAGCTTCGCACCACGCACAAGCAGGATGGGACACACTTCACCTGAACTTCCCGCCATTGCCTCGTGTACCAAAATCACCCATGCCCTTGCTGGAACACTTCTGCTGTGCCACTTTGTGCACGCTGTAGAGACCGAAAGATTTGCACATGTCTGGTGACCAGCATTTGTTACAGCAGACTATACACAAGCAGGAATTGGAGATCTGATCCCCATGCGCTCCTCTCTCTCTGTGTTTGTCTCTCTCTCATTCTCAATCTTTGTCTCGCTCTCTGTTTCTGCTTCCTTCCCTTCTGTTTCTTCTTTCTACTTACTTCGGCCGTTGCTTTTCTCAGCCTGTCTCTTCTTCCCTCAGCTTTTCCCACATCCAGACTAGAGAGCTCCTCATTGGTGATGATGTCCCAGACCTTCCGGCAGAAAGCTCTGCTGCAGAGCGTTTCCATACACCTACCTACCTGCCTACCCACGCACCCACCTACCTATGCTCGTTTATTCATACATACATGAGGAGTTCTACCAAGCTATTTCAAAGACACAATTGTGTGTGTGTGTGGGTGTGCATATATACATGCGGAGCCCACCTGGCTTCTCCTCATCTCCTACTTGTTTTTTCCCTCCTCGGTGCCCGGGGAAACAGGAAACCGCAGAAAACCTGTCGGAAAGGCATAAAACCGCAGGAAGCCTGTGGGAAACCTGCGGGAAACCACAAGAAACCTGTGAGAAACCCTGGGAAACCGGGAACCACAGGAAACCTATAAAGAACAACCATAAGAAACCGCAGCAAACAATACGGAAACCATCGGAAACCCCTTATACAGGTGAGTTTTGTCCTTCGCACCTGTTTTTTAGATGGGGCGCAGCCGGAAAGCCTCGGTCTGGGCAGCTTGTATCTTGTTTGTTGCCGAGCTTTCCGGTGGCCCACCACCCGATAAGCCAAAAGGGCTGCACTTCGTAGTCAACGAAGGGCTAATAGCTCGTGAAGGACCAGAGAGTGCCGATCTTGTTGCAGTAAGCATGAATCGTGAACACGATTTGGAGAAACTCGCACGTGGCCAGAGTGCTGCAACAAACATAAACGTGAACACGATGTCGAGACACTTGCACGTGGCCAGCTCTCGCTTTGTTCAGCTCCTGCAAGATCCAACAGCAGCGGAAGAAATTTCTGCAAAACAGAGCATGTGTCCTAGTTCTTGCAGAAACTGTTGCTTTCATCGAACGGCAACATGAAGTCGAACACCCTCAAAGACGAAGGCCGCCACGGAGGTGCGATCGATTCTCTGCTTGAATGTTTTTTGAGCGCGACAATGGACTCGGTTTAGATCAATCATCATCGGCGGCATGGGGACATGCTTCCAGAGTCAGAATCGCGGAAATTTTAGGCAGATCTTCCTCGCGGAGTTGCGCAACGCGCTCTGCCAGAACCTGTCCGCACACATCCCGGCTGAGCTTGCCTGGGCTCTGCAAAGCTGTGCTCAACCTGCCAATGGTTTTCACGGCAGAGCGGCGCTACCAGAAGAGCAAACTACTTATTCGGATATGATGATGACGTCTCGAGCGAAACCTTTGTAGTGAGCAATCATTTCAAGTCTGGGAAGCAGCATTTACAGCAGAAGATGAGCCTAGCTAATGTCAAAGTATGCATTTCAAGTTTACACATTCAGCCGTGCACTCAGCCGGATCTAAGCTCGCACTAAAGCAAATACCACGGTTACTGCGGCTTGAGCCAACCGCGCAGGTGCCAAAGTTAGCGACTCGGCTCAACCGTCGCAGCGCACATCCACATGTTGCAATGTGTCATCACGAGTCTTCCCAGCACGTCGCAACTCTTTTTCTTCCAGCAAACGTAGGGTTCACTGGGCCATGCCGTCTGCCGCCAGGACCACCTACGAGCGAGCAGCACGAGCGAAGAAGCGACTAACAAAGCCCTGCACCTCCTTTCGTTTCTTCTTGCCACTGTCACAGTTGACCTTGAGCAAACAGATTGCGTAATTCATCCGACACAGAAAAGTAGATGCACCTGTCTGGAAAGCGGGACCAGTGAGTGTTGCAGGGCTTGTCACCCACCACCAGCGCGACTCCAGACCTGAAAACAGCGACCGTGGCCAATCTTAGAAAGCCGTTGCCACCCAGATATTGATCGGGGTCCGTGTTTTGTCTTCCACTTTTTTCCATAGCTTTAGCGGTGCGCACATCGCTCTGAATGCGTCCCATCGCGGGACGGCCGCAAACACAACAACCCTCAGTCAGAATCAATCTCACTCCAATCATTTTGCCAAGAACAGAAGTGCCCGCGGCAGACGGCTCGGGGACGGATCTTCCTGCCCGCTGCAACTCTCGTGGGCACAGGAAGCTTCTGAGCAGAAACAAAATCACGGAGTTAATCGGAGCTGACAAGCCGTCTGACGTCGAAGATTTCAGCAATTTCTGTTATCGTGAACTTGCGGGCCATGCTTGCTGCGACTTCTGCAGGCAGCAACAGCGGCTTCAAGGTTTTAACGTCAGAGGAAAACGTGCTTCGCAAGGCATTCACCAGTGTCTGAGCTTCTCACATCGCGGAAGCGAGAAGAGGCAACACAAACACAGCTTAGAGAGCAAACGCCAGGCAGCACTCGCAATGCAAAAGATGGCAAAAGTTCCATGCAAAAATTAGCAAATGCAGTCAATTTACAACGCAAGAAGAAACAAAAGTTCCGTGCACAACTTAGCAAATGCAAAAGCTTGCAAATGCCAAGTATTGCAAATGTGCACATGTTTGCAAATCAAGGAACATGTCTTCTTGTGGCTGCGACGGCACCGGATTTGGGTCTACCAAACCAGCTGCATTCCGTTGCCCCACACAAGGGGCCTCCTGAGCAAATGGTACCATACGGTAGTATGTCAAGCATGTACCCACATACAGATATGTATGATATACCGTGATATACCCTATATGTATATTACATGCATTACATGTTAACATAACACCCCAACCTGATCGAGCTTCTGGTCATCCAGCAGGTCAAAGCTGAGCATGAGAGGTGCAGACATGATCTCAGCAGCTTTACGTTGTGCGGCTTGTCTCAGAGGCTACTGTATAGGGTTTAGAGGTTTCCGGTTCGAGGTTTCGGGTTGCTTAGCACTGGCTGCCTCAAACGTTCCAAATAGCTGCGGTTCGTAAGGTTCAGGGATGAGGGTTTAAGCGGTAGGTCCGTAGGTTCTCGGAAGGTCAACGACTTGGTGTAGTCGCTCTCTCTCACTCTCTCGGCAACTGGACGCGTGGCTTACTCGCAAATACGGAGTACATCAAAGGTTCACATGGTCCTGCGAACAGCATCCTAAGTCCTGGACCGCATAGGCTCCGAACTGACTCCTGCATGAGCTGCAGGCTCTGCAACGAGCGCTGGCATCAATCAGCTCTGCATCCACGTGACAGACGAATCAGAGATCCATCAAACCATCATGCGGACATGAACATATAATAGAACATACAGTTGACATGCACGCAGCAATCCATGCTCTTCGGTCCTCATCGTGGGAGGACGTCCGGCATCCAGAGTGTCAGGGTAAGCCCAACAGCCCACCCTGACGCACAAAGAGAGCTCACTGCTGTACGGAGGCCTTCGCTGTCCGATGCAGTACACAGAACACGTACATGCACAATAGTATGGTTAGACTGAGGTTTTGGGTCATACTATGCATATGCCTCGCTGATATTTAAAGGCCCTTCAATCAGAAGCCTGGGAGCAAGGAGACTGCCGCCACCAACTACTTCGCAGCCATCAAAAAACGATTGCACTTTACGCTGTAAACAGGTTTGGGTTCGGGCTTCTGTTCGGGTCTTATAAAGTTATAAAGGGCTTAGGCTTAGGCCCGTCGTTCCTTGGTCCCACCGACAATGAGGGGACCAGGTCTGCAGACATCCCTGTGCCTGTTGCTCAGACTCTCTGTTTCCCCTTGGCTCTCCCCTCCTATGACTGAACCCTAGATGCACTTCCTTTTGTCACCCGTTGGGGCGGCCTTGACCGGTTTAGGACCATGGCTGTGGCGAGCAGTTCGACATCAAAGCCGACACTATGAAGGTCACCAGCAGTGCGGAAGAGGTCATAGGGACACCACCTGAGACACTGCGGCACTCAATTTCGGCATCAGATCGAAACACGCAATGATGGCCTTCTGACAACCGGCAACAGCATGGAGTTGAAATTGTCGGGTCAGGCACGATATGCGCTCGTCTTTGGGACTTCCGCATTGCTGCACAGCCAAGCCACGACGCATTTGGCTCCCTGCTACCTTGATGACAATTTTCCTCGGCAGGCGCAGTTGCGCTCTGTCATACAGTCGTGAATGGCTTGGAAACTGAAGTCGCCGGAGACTTCCCCCTTATGAGATTCCCTCATGTGTGAATGCCTTGTTTGCAATGCAAACAATCCCAACACACTTTTTCTGTAGCCATGTCTCCGTGCGAAGGTCTCTGCGTGTGTGTGTGTCTGCATCTATGCATTTCATCGTCGCCATTGTCATTATCCTCCTCCTCCTCCTCCTCCTCCTCCTCCTCCTCCTCCTCCTCCTCCTCCCATCATCATGTCATTCTCGTCGACATGTGCAGTGGCAAATGCACGGACTATGGAAACCACCATCAAAGAACAGCAACACATGAAAGGTGAGTATGACTATGACATATGATAAGAACAATACCAAAGTCACAAGAGGAAACAAAAGGTAACAGTCAACAGAAGACCCAATACATGCGCATCAAGGCCATATAAGTTTACGGGCCCTCAGCGTAACAGTACCAATGGATCACCATCCGCGAGATGCTAATCTTCACAACCGAAGACAAAAGATGCGGCCACCCGAGGTCATAAACCTTAAACCCTAAGCCCGAGACGAGCGGGAGCACATCATCTTGACAGCCAGGTGGAAAAGAGATGTTGGGATGTACTGAGACTCTTCTCCTCAAGTTTGCAGCAAGCCTACAGGAAAGCCTTTAATTACACAAGGCACCCCTAACAAAAACCCTCATCTTCCATAGCCGCAAGCCAAGCAGCGATCACGATGGGCGATCCCGCGGCTCCCAGCATGTCGCTCCAGAGTTGAAGATCGTTGTAAACGCTGCCGCTGTCGATCTTCACGTACTCAAACCTCACGGCTCAGAGACTTTGGAGGCCCCCCGCATCCGGCTAAGTCGAGACCTCCGACCTCGTCCCCTCGCTTGTGCAGACAAGAGGCCCGTACTCATGCAGGAACTCGACAGAGCCTCTCCTCAGCTACTTTCGCTCACAAGGTTCAGGCTTCGGTAGCAGCAGAACGGCAAAGACAAAGCACGGAGAGTCGCTGGCAGCTACTGTTCGATCAAGCACCAGCTTCGAGTCTTGAGCCCCCCCACCACCCGGCGGGATGCTGAGAGGAACCCCCATGTCAACCCGAGCCCGAACAAGATCTATACGACGCAGCGCATCTGCAGCGAAGCATCATATTCCGCATGTACATCTCACCTGCCGTCTGCATGCATCATGGGCCGACAGTTGCAACTACAGAAGCACCAGGTTGAACTAATACAGTATGGCAGGAAGGCGCACATGGCATGGGAGAGCAGTGGAACGCTGCATCCGCCTACTGAGCAGCTAGCAGATGTCCCACCTCCAATGCCACCGCGAGGCGAGCCCTCTGCACAGATGTAGTTGTTCATGTAGAAACCTGGCCTTTGCGGATTATACACGGGACGTTCATCCGCTTCTTCCCTTGCTCTCCGGCTACTCGTTCCAGCATTCGGGTCTGTGTTACTGGTCTTTCTCGGGGTGAAATTTCGAGTAGAGTTCCAACCGGAATGTGGGCTACATAAGAATCTGTTTGCTCATGCAACGAACATCAACGAACATAGAAGACGCATACCATTACTGCTCATTCCGACTCCTCCAATAAGTATCCACCTTCCTTTCCTGGCGGAAGCCTTGGGCTCCATGGCCTTCCAAAAGCTTTGTTTCAGGTGCAGCTCACAAGGAGGCGCAGGCAAGATAAAGAAACCACAAGGCTCAGTGCTTCGTAGGTTTAGTAGGTTTATAGCTCGGGTGGGTCTCAGAACTTTGCTGGGGTTGGGGACTGCAGTCAGCGTTCGATTGGCCGATAAACAGCTGAATCAAGACAACGAAGACGATAGGCAGAGTGATGTGTCTCTGAAAACTTGCTCCTCTACTAGTTCACTAGGAAGGACAACCCTTTCAATGCACCCCGCACTCTTGCGGAAGGTGCCTTAAACCCATGGCCCGCGCACTCGAAGTCATAGCGCCTTGGTCGATCAAAGTCTTGTCACTCACTGGCCGAACAAACCTACTCCGAGGACGTAGGAACCGGCTACATCTGCAAGGTACGGACTCACTTCGGCAACCGAACATGGTCTGCCGGCTCAACTTCACGTCTCTGGCATCACCACTTCCTAAAACCGAAACTGCTTGTCTGATGGCCAATCGAAGCACCTCAACCAGCGAGATGATGCAAACACACGTTTAAGTGCCAGATCCAAACAGAAAGTCGCAGTCACCGCCCACACGTTTCTACATCTGCATCTTCACTCAGTTCAGGCACCGATGGCCTGGTACCACGAATAGACTTGCAGGGGCCATACCGATTTCGATGGTTTTGGGGGTGGCATCTTGTTATACTATGTTTGTAACAAGGACTATAAGAGGATAAAGTTACAATTACTCCGCCGCCTCTACTAGCCAGGATGTACAAGGAAAGCCCGAACTCGGCAACGCCGTCAAAATCCGCCAAGCTACGCAGATCCGGAAACTTGCTCCGGTTGACCAGCGGGGTCCCTTCTGCGGAGTGGAAGGAGCCGTCGATACCGGCATGGCATGCTTGCCAACCTGCATAGGCAACAGTTCACAGATAGTCAGATTAGGTCAACTCAACAAAACGCAGTCAGAAAGCATCACTTGATGAAATACCTCGAGGTCCAAACCCTTTAACTCACCAAGAATCCGAAATCCTGCACATGCATGTACCCTGCTGCGAGCAGCACTGAAGCGAAAACTCCCGCCGTCGTCGATGTTCGCAAATCGATACCCGGCATCCCAGAGGCTTCTCGCCGAGCCAGCTTGCACCTTGCTGAGAGTTCGTCGGGATCGAAAACGTTATGCTGATGTCAGCAAGGCCCTTCCTGACCTGATCCTCAATCATGTTCTGCCTGCAAATAGCGCTAGGCTGGCAGGTATTCCTTCGGAATGCAACTTCCATCGTTTCTACAGGCTTCCCCACAGACGAGTGGCACTCCGGTTCAGGAGCTTGGCAAACGTCAGCTCCATTCGCGTCTGATCCTGCGAAGGATTCCCACTCTCGTTCTATGTACCCGGACAGAGATGGCCTAATTAGGAAACAAGCCTGACTGTTCATGGACTTACATTCCAGGCTCCGAGCCTGCTGCGCTGCCCTTGAAGGCCCGCAACACTCTGCGCTGCCCATTTCCGAGTCCCTGAAATTCCAGGCTGAGCAGCTTTCCAGAGACCACCACAACCCAACTCCGGAACCACAGAATTCCTGCAAAACACTAAAAACTCTCTCGCAGCCCCGGCGCCACATCCCCGCCGAAGGCATACCAGGAGCTCCAGCCCATGGGCGGCCGTGAGGACAAGACCTGTCGCTGGAGGCAAGCTGTCTCGACAAATCTTTTTTTTGGGGTAGCATGACTGGAGATTTGGGAGCTGCTGGACAGCTCCTGCGGGAGTCGTGCGGTTGCACGCTTCAGAGTCGGCGCTCGCGATCGGTAGCTGGTGGATAGTCGTGGCATTGGAAGATGCATGATCCAGAGTATGCCTGGAAGGGCCTAGATTCGCGCTGCACCTTTCCCCAGTCGTCGGTCAGGACACTACGTTACAGGACACTACGTTACAGCCCAGAGTGGCAACGAATTCTATCATCTTGCGCATGTGCCTGGCTTGAAAACCTTTCTTCACAAGAGGCCGTGGCGGTCGCAGAGGAAACGGTGGACGTGGTGTGGTCGTGGGACTATAGCAATCAACATATTTAGATAGATACGCAAAGGTCGTCAATGATGGTCATTTCAATTCTGGGATATATCGTGCCTTTGGCCGCGGCCCTTCCAGCGGCCCGAGCAACTCGTCTGGCGCCCAGGGCCTTCGCCATGAAAGTGCGCTTCTGCTGCTTGCCAGCCCCTTTCACCAAAACAGTGCTGTGCTGCTGTACTCTCTGAGATCCTCGAGTACCTACCTGGTACTACCGTACTACCTACCTACTTACACCAAGTCACAAGGCATTTCAGGCCAAGTGAGCCAGACAAACTTGACTCCCTCGCGTTCTCTCGAGTCGGGGCACCCGAACTGCTCATCTCGGCTCGGAGCGCCAAGCGCTGCCCAAGGCCACGAAAGCCACAAAGGCCATAGCAGCAATGCGCAGGCTAGCATTGCTTGCTCGGCTCTATTTTTGCCGCAGTGAGGCCGTAATTACTGTCGAGGCAGCGAAAACATGCAGAGGCTTGAACGGGCCTATTGCAGCTCTCGGATTTCACTCAAAGTCCTCCTTTGGAATCCAACGGCTGTAGAGGGCTTCGCAAAACTTGCTGGTGTAGTCCGCGCTCGACCGCAAGGCTTGGTGCCCTGAACTTTGCCATGACGTAGAACTTTCTTGAACCTAAAGAAAGGGTCCCCTTCATGGGTCTACTGACTAAGGTTGAGCAATGGTTGCTTAGGTGCATCTAGATTTAAAAACAAAGAGCCGTCATTACAGTTGTACCACTAAGCCGTTCAACTCCAACTGGGTTACTTTAAAGCATACTTGCGACTACCCATGAGGCTCCAAGTACGATTGAGGGGTCGCATGCATGGCCCACTTTTAAGGGTGCTTCGCCCTGCAATCTTCATACCTTCACACACACCGTCCTCCGCCCACACGTGAGCCCGCTTGGGTTCACCAGCACGTAGCAGCGCCTGGATGACCTCCGGGCCAGCGCTCAACAGAAACCGAGTGGTGCAAACTTCTTAAGTCGAAGAGATCCCATGCTCTTGTCTGGTGAGGAGTTGCAGCAATTACGGGGCTTGCTTGGGGGTTTAGACTCCGAGGTTCAAGGTGCTGCATTTTTGGCTCATCACGGCTGCATGTGCTCGGACAGTGTGACAATGCGTCAGTTTCGTGCTGCCGTTGTGGTGGTAATTGTCTTTGCTCTCTTTGCTGGTGCTGTTATGGTGGCGCCTGTGGTCGTCGTTGTAGCTACTGTGGCAACTTCTGATGAATCATGTTGATGCTGCTGTTGCTGTTGATGATGATGACGGTGGCGATGGCAATCATGCTGAAGACAACGAAGGTGGTGATGGTCATGGTGATGGTAATGGTGATGGTGATGGTGACGATGATGATGATGTTGAGGATGATGATGATCATGATGATGAGGCTGATGGTGATAATGACGATGACTATGACAACGATAATCAGTCCGATCAAGCCCCGAAACGCCCTGCCGTGCTCCAGATTCTGACACACGAGTCTCTCTATGCGAGCACGAGATGGGCAAAAAATGTGAGAGCTTGGGCATCTCACGAGTCCGAACGATTTCTCAGCACCGTAGGTTCCCATAGATCGCCCACGCTTCAACCAAGGCCTGGCCTGACGGAAGGAGTTGCCTCGAGCTGGAAACAAAACTTGGGGGAGACAGAAAGTCACAGCGAGAGGGAGAGCCGGGGCGCGGATAGACTCATGTTTAGATAGATATGGAAAGAACACGAAGGACAAATACATGTATAATCATGTATATGTAAACAGACAGCGATGGACATATGCATGAAACACGCCATGTAGATACCCGCCTCTCCTAGCGTATCTTTAGTAGATGCGGTGCAGATTAAGGTTTTGTAGATTTGATATACATGATATGGAAGTTTTGCAGACCGTATGTGCAGAAGCTAGCGAAACCTTGTCCCTGTCGCACTGTAGCGTTGAGGGATGCTCAAAATGGAAGCGCCCGGCCCTTCCGAAGGAGCTTGGGCCGAGAAGACGCAAGCCACAGAACTTGAGCGACAACGGTTGAGTCGAAGCAACACATTAACGTGTAAAGTTCAAACCCAAACTGTGTTGACGGTTTGTTACACCGGTATGGTGAAATCAAAGTTGAATTTTTGCATGACTCAACAATTTTCTGGAAGCACTGTGTAACCCACAGGCCTGTGGATGTGAGTCGTTCCACAGTCGGCACTGGGTTGCTGGTCACAACGACAACAAGCTCTTGTCCGAAGAGTAAACCTCTTGAGACTCTCGATGCACAAGTCGCTATCAAGCGACTTAACCTAAAGCCCTGCCCTGCCCATGTCGACAAGCTGGTTCCACGGACAGACAAGCACAGAGACACTCGTGCCCACCTTGGCACATCTGAGACCCCCTGCGGTGCGGCCGATCACTGGTTCGCTCCAGTAGGTCGATGAGGTATCGCTCGGCGCGCGTGAGGTCGTCCACCTGGATCTCAGGCCCTACGACTCCACATCTCCAGGCTCAGAAATCCCGACATGTCCCTATCTTATCCTATCTTCGAGCTAGTTACTTGCACATGAGCGACGCATGCAGCACCCTAAGCCCTAAGCCATGACATCTGCTGAGGCAAACATGCCTTTGTTTGGAAATCCTCCCGCCTTGGCACATCCTTGGATCATGACGTCGAAGCTTGCACGGTCGGGCCTTGCAATATCGGGCGGCATCTTTCAGCTTGCATGTCTCGACTTCGAACAGGCTTGGAGATTTTGGGGGCTCCAGAAATCGGTGGAATGAACTGGAGTCTTCCACACGCAAACAAGCTGAGCCAATGTCGGGCTCAGGCAGCACATGTGATCCGAACTAGAAAGCGTCACGTTTAGACTTGTCGCACAGGAGCTTGTCCTTAAAGTGCGCACCCCTGCAAAGACCTCACCAACACCCAGAACACCACGAGCCAAAATCCAGTTTTTGTTTCCCAGAGATCCTCGGCCCGAGCCCTGCCCCTGCCCTCCCTGTGCCTCAGTCCTTGCAGCTCGGGGTGGAGGGCACCCTGGCGAGTTTTCTGAAACCAGCTGTCGGCCTCACAAAGGACGCCGCCGGGTGGCTGTTTGGCTTGAGGCTTCAGGCTTGAGGGCATGAATGCACCTGGACCTTGAGGATTTTGGGGTCTGGGTCGTCTGGGTCTCTGCCAGCGATGTCCGGCCAAGGCGTCTGCGATTCCAGGCATTCAGCCACAGAAGTCTGTGGACACAGTGGGAGCCTCTTTTCTTTTTTCGCGCCAGCCGGCGACTGCAAAGCTATCAACAGACGGCTGTATTATTGGTAGCGGTTGGAAGGATCGTGTCAAGTGTCCCACACAGACTAAGCTTCAATGCGCGGGAAAGGAATTCTTGTGCAAATTCCGAAGCTTTACCTTTTTTTCCATTTTGCCGACACAGAGCGGCGACACAGATGCCGATCCCACCTTAGCGCTACTTAGTCTGGAGATCAGCGCTACCCTTTAAGGCTCCACCTTCTTTGAGTAAGTGTCAGCACCTCGGGCGGGGAAGGGGCAGAGGGGAAGCAACTCGGGGCGGCAAAGCTTGCAAGCTACGTTGTACAATGGCTTCTGCCCTCCCATTGGCCGACAACAAACTGACATCATGGCAGCAGCAGTGGGAATGCAGATCAACAGCACATGGACCTTCTGTTGCACCTTAGTCAAAATCAGTCCACTCCACCGGGATACGATACCTAAGCCATGCGCAAGATCCACGCATTCCAAGCCTTCGCAACTTTTGTGCGCATGCGTTGCTGCCAGAGGACTTGCAAAGTGGATTGCAATGGGGGGTAGCTATATCCGAAACACAAGGTGATTGGATCGTGCAGGGACATGAAAATTTCACCATATATGAACCCTCGCTGCTTGAGTACCACTCCTGTCCTATCCTCGACAATATGGCCACCTCATTGCCATGCAACATGGGACGTGAACAAATGCACACGTGCCACCGCTTTGCTTGCGGTAAATTACTGGCAGTCATGCTGTCATGGCTCAGGATGGATCAAAATTGACTTCCCTGGAGTCGTCGAGCAGTTCATGCAACAGGCGTAATTCGGTGCAGCCCGGGGGCTGTCGAAGAAGCTGGCGTGTACGAATCTCAGTTTGTGACATGCATATATGCGTATTCATGTGGCTGCAGACACATGTTCACACACGCATTGATCCATCCATCCATCCATCCATCCATCCACCCACCCACCAAGGCCCACCCAGCCATCCCTTCATCCATCCATGCACCGACTGGTACTGATGTGGCGCGGTTGTCTGCGCGAGCGTGTGCGAATGTTGGCATGACGCGAACGGAGCTTTCGACCCTGCCGCAGAATCTGCTCTCTGGCTCCTTGCAGCCCTCACTCAGAGACTTCTCCGGCAAGAAATGACCTAAGAAGTCTTTTCCCAAAGCTTAGTGCAGCCCTTGCAGGAGATCTACCGAGCGTCCCGGGCTTCGGAAGCGGAAACGTTGCGCAAGCTTTGTGCCTGGGCCCTAAGTCCCTAGCTGCGACCTAAAAGACTTCAGATTTACCCAAGGAAGGCAGGATGTGGCGGGGGCAGCAAAGCCGGCTTTGGCCTGGACCCTAAAGTCTGACGACTCTAAACGGCCAGATGCCCTGAGACCTCCGAGTCCTCTGACTCGAAAAGTCTGGCGCTTCCTTCGATACTCTGACCATCGGAAGCATAAGCGGGGAGGATCTCCAAACAAATGTGGTAGCCAAGGCCAGGCCAAAAAAGTGAAGCGGCTCCGGGTTTCGTGGGAGCTTCGTTCCCGCTGCTTCCTGCAGCTCTCTGCCACAGGGGAGGTTCTATCACATCATAATGTACTCATATTATAATCGTACTGTCAAAGTATTCTATTGGTACTGTAGTACCAGCATAATACGACATGTAGCTTCAGTCTACACTATGCATGTATGGATGTGTGCACAAGCCAAAGCTGTGTGTCTGTACATTTGTCTGGCTGTCTCCGTCTGTCTGTCGGTCTTTCCGTCCGTGTATGCTTATACACATGTTACATACATGCCTGAGTCTATGCTTCATTTCTATATGTCGATATGGTATCTGTGCTTGTTTTTTTGCCTACCGCTTTTTTGCGGCGGGTGCCGGGTGCGTTCTTTGTTTATTTTCTCTGTGGGTGCGTTGGCGAGATTCTTTTTCGCTGAGGAGCACGGGCTCGATGTTTGGCTGTTGTGGGTGCAGGGTGCCTTGCTGAGGAGTGCAGTTTGTTGCGGGTTCGGGCGAACACGAGAAACGGCTGCTGGGATAAGGGGTGCCGAGCTCACGACATCGAGTTTCAAGTCGCAAAAACAGTAGTTGTCTCATACGCGCAGAAAATATTGGGGCCTAAGCAAACATAAACATTATTCCTTGGTTCATTATCAAATTACAGAATAATATTCCATGACACCCAGATCAAACAAGAAATTCGGGCCGGTATATTACACTGAACCCGGACTTGGGGACTGGTATACGCGTATCTCTATGCTGCATCTTAATCTACTTCTGCACGTACACATCACCGAAGCTTCTTTGGGGTCATGCTTATTTCCACTTCACTTGCCGGCACTAGATTGCCAAGACTCGGCAAAGCCTTCGGCCGTTAAGGGTTAAAGGTTGGTCCTGCTAGTAGGAACCTGGCTCGAGGGTGAGATGCTAATGCCCTACACCACCTTTCAAGGTATGTTCTGCTTTTTTTTCAGGGGGTGCCAGGGGGAAGCATGTGCTTTAAGCATGTCGAGAAAAATCAGGATATCTGCTGCATGATGCTAGCATCGCCCCGGAAACATCCATGAAGGGACGGGCAGACAGATAAGATGCAGCTATGTTTTACAATTGTGCGGCATCTGCATCTGCGTGTAGACAGCGTGATGATGTATAATTAGTTGTCCCTCACGCATCTCCTGTATGCACATACGTACGTAATATAGAAAACACACACACACACACACACGTGTTGCACAGACGTCACACATGGATAGCTGGGTGACGGGTGATGACAGGGAGCTGCTGGGAACTTGCGAAGCTGAGCACGCATCTAGGCTCTCTCCTGACTGTATGCTCGGGAGAAACTTGCTGAAGCCTTCTGATCGGTTCTGCTCTTGATCGAATTCGTCCACCTGTATTCACGGACTGGGCATCCCAAAGCTAACTGGACAAATGCCCGGTGTGCACTGCAAAGAATTTCAAGTACAACCATTCAGTGCATGAGCTTCCCCCCAACCATGTCATGCATGCTGACAGTGCACGGCACAAACATCGTTGCTGACCGAAAGACAACATTTAGCACGGCCCTCGAAGGGGAAGCTTCCTTATGTCGAGACCAGGCAGGGGCAACATGCCTCAATAGCACAGCGTATCCTGCGCACTACGAAAGAACTACGTCTGTGCCCGGCCCTTTTTGAGTGACCTAATCATGCTCCACCAATCCATGCTTCCCAACGTTGCCCCAGAAGGTAGAGCAGGACGCACGATGTTGACACTAACGGGCCCTTGGAAGGTTCGGGGTTTCGGACCGTCCTCCCGTCGAACTCTGCACAAAATCTAGTGGCCCTGACGACAGTGCGAAGTCGTAGCTTCATGTACATGTCTGAATGCTTAGGACGAGCCGATATCGCAGGGCCTGGCACAGCACTAGTTTGAGAGGTCGAAGACCTCATGACCGCTGGAGTGCACGAACATCACGTGCCTCAGGCCTGCATGCAGAATGGAGGGCTCCGGCCCAAACTCATAGGATTCGATAAGAGTTCTACAAGGATTCTATAAGGAGGGACCCGGGGCTGATAGGAGAAACGTCGAAGAAAGAGCATTAATCGGGCCCCCTTGCAACTTCAAATGCTCTTTACTTCAAAGCTTGAGGTCTCCGGTTCTGAAAATTCGACTTCCGCCCCATCATGAATCACCGTGGTGGACTTGGACTAAGGCTTTAAAATTCAGAAGCCTCAAGAGTTGCTCCTTTAGGAGTCCCTGGCTCTTTTTCACTATGACACAAGCCCTTCCGCCCCCTCCCCCCCCTCCCCAGGACTTTAGGTCGCAAGAGGCAGGCTCTGAAACCTGAAACCTCAAATCTCAGCCATGCCTCGTAGCACCCGAACCCTCGGCCGCCTGCTGTGAGAGTGTTGCAGTAGGTCATGAAGGCGCGCGCTTTGTGAGCCTCCGTCCCCCACTGGTCCGGAAGATTCCTCGGGATGCTCCGGCTTCGATGATCTTCGATGAGCTTCGGGCTTTTAGTTCTCATTAGGCCTCAGGGTGTGGGAGCCTGGGGGTTTTCGGGGTTTGAGGGTTCCGGTGCTCATGGACTCCATGTTGCAAAGCCCAGACAATCTTCAGAGCCTGTGTAAATGAGCAGGACATGCATCTGCTATCTTATGCTGGGGCTTCCTGCATGGTGATGGCCAGATGTGCTCGTTGACCGATTGGCCGAGGGTGTGTGATCCTCTGCGCAGTGCTCTTGCTGTTAACTTCGCTCGCGGGTGTTGCTTTACATATTGCTCTGCCTTGTTTCGCCCCTAAACCCTGAACCCTAATCTTGTCCTTGTAATCCTGTAAGTCTGAAGTCTGAATGCAGCGGGGCTCAGGACAACGAGATCTGCTTCACTGGACCGTGAGAGCACCACCTGAGAGGACTCGTTGCGGCCCAACGGACTTTCTATGAACGTTTCGATTTTAGGAGGGTTACGGTTTAAGGCGGTTTTGAGGTGAAGTGCGAAGAAAGGAAGTGTATAGGTCGTAGGATTTAGGCTTGCTTTTACTCGAGTCTTGTTGGCGCAGGGCCAGGGCCCCTCCGAACCCTGCAACCCCCCCACGTAGACCCTGAAGCTTACACCGGACAAACCGCTGTCTCTTGAGGAAGTTAGTTTAAGGTACCATAATAGGGATTTATAGGTACCATAATCGGGATTTATAGGTAGCATAATAGGGATTTATCGGTACCATACAGTGATTTATAGGCACCATAATAGGGATTTATAGGTACCATAATCGGGATTTATAGGGGGACTTAAATTGAATCCCTTAGTCTGCTCCGCCTGGTTCAGCCTTGCGCACGACTCGAGATTTGTGAACTCGGGCGCCGGAGGAAGTCGTGCACCTGGGCATCTCAGAGCACTGATCTTCCCTGGGCTTTTAAGTAACCAGGGAGAAAAGAGTGTAGACTTTTATTTCATAATGGTTCCTTTTAAGAAAAGTTTGGAGTATGGAATGGTACTCCAGAGCCCAGTTTCTTACCTCCTTGACACATTACGCAGTCGAGTCTACTCTGCGAAAGTGTAGACATGAAGAGCCCCAGTAATGAACTACACTTTCGAGCTTTGCAATAGCCAGGTCGCAGGACACCTACTTGAAGCCAGCGTATGCTATTGATTTCAAGAGCGTGCGTTCGAATCACCATCTCCAAAACCTCTGGCTTCAACGAACTGGGCTGCCGACACATGGGAAGAGGCGGCTGGCTCACTCGCGTGTGGCACCGATTTCGCATGACATGCCCGGTCTCCTGTCCGAGAAAAGACAGATCAGAATCATCAGAACGCAAGCCGTATCACTGGCCTGATCAGTCTACAGGAATGGATGGGAATGAGACCAAAAGTCCTCTGCAGTCTGCTCGAAACCGTCACAGCTGACCATAGAACGGAGCACTTCTGCTGTCTAACCTCTACGTACGTAAGGCATTGGATACTTGTGTGCCTGCAGGCACTTCATTTTGGTTGGCTGGCATTCGATGATACTTCCACCTGCCTCTTGTGTTGCTGGTTCTCACTAACATTGGTGATAGTTACGAGAACTTGGAAGAAGGCATGCCTTCGCGGAACGGTCGGTGCGGCAGTCGCTGACCAGCACATTTCCAGGCTGGCTGTCTTCTGGATCGCCGCATCTACCTTTGCATCAATTCCTTCAAACAACATCTCTCCTAGGGCTTGTGTCTGATCCGAAAGCTTTCAGCTCTTTTGTCCATAACCTGCTACGACCTCCGGCCATTGGTATGGAAATGAACTGGGCCTGATGATGACTATGTGATGACGATGGTGGTGATGATGATGATGCGGAGGATGATGACGAAGGCGAGTACACAGGCTACTCGTACTCACGTACTCCTGCTACTGTGACCGCTGCTGTCCTCCTCCTGGCGCTGTTGCGATATGTCTGTTTTTTTTTGCAACTGGCACTGCTATTAGCCATTAGTACCAGCAAGGGACTCGACTTCGCAAATCTCGAGCCCAGGTGCTATCCACGCTTCGCGAAGATGTACTGGAGCAGGGAGGGTCCCGAGGATCAGCACTGACACCTCGGCACAGCATTACTGCACAGAAGAGACGGAGCACCGAGCAAGGAAACAACGAGACTCATGCATGATGCAATGATGCCGGGAGGCTTTCGCGAGCCAATGGCACACTAGCAAAGGCTTGCTAGCCCAGTGCTGCTAGGATACACGAGTTCTCATCCACCACGAACAGGTCGTCGATTTCCAGCGGGATAGACTCTGCCTCATCGTCGGGGGCATTAAACGTGGCTTGCCGTCAGTGATCCTGGCATTGGGATCGGGGTGGCCTTGTATCTAACACTCACAGATATGGAAGGCACGTTCAGCCGGAAGTGTTACGCAAGATCCCAAATTCAAATTTCGACGATATTTTGACGTACAGGTCAATGCCAGCTTCAATGACTTTAAGGCGAAACCCTGCTCTGACCGCAGTCAAAAGGGATACCAGTATACCATAAACCCCTCTGTGCCCGCCCCCGAACACATTGACATCCGAGGTGCTGCAGCCGGCGCCACGCGGAGGGAGGAGAGGAATTGGTGCCGGCCCTTTCAACAGCAGGGTCAGCTAGCAGAGAGGCTCAAGGGTGCCGGGTTCCGCTCCAGATTATGGCACCGAGACTTCTGATTCTCAGACCCTAACTGAATCGATCCCCTGTCTTCAGTGATTAACATGTGGCCCCGAAGCAGAAACCTAACTGATAGAAACGATCAACATCACTCAAGTTGAGGATGACTTCCAATCCATAGAACCAGACACCGACAGGCCCACACCACAAAAGGGTTCCAAAACCTCTACGACGCGCGTGCTCAGGTTCACCCATAAGCCTAGGCTCTTGATTCATGCTTGCGGTTTAGGGTTTGTCGGACGTCGGACTTCCAACCTGACCCCAAATTTGAAAAGCCCAGCAGCCAGCCATCTCCCCGTCCTGAAACCCTAAACCCTAAACCCCAAAAGCACCCTCAAAGCACTAAAAGCCCGGAAACCCTATAAAGCCTATAGCACTAAATCCTGAAAGCCGAAACTCGCTTAAACCCCAGACCCCTGAAGCCTAGGCCCCCAAACCCTAAAGCCCTAAAGCCGTACTGTCGACCCGTAACCCCAAGTTCAGTCACCAGGCTTTTGTGAACCCTGAGCCTCCACGCGCCAGGTCCAATCGTAAGTGTAGGGCCTGCCGCGTGGTTTAAGGGTTATCTTTTGGAACCCTCGTGTCTTTTAGCCGTACGGCTTGAGGGTTTGGGGTTTGGGCTCTCGGTGTAGGATGTAGGACATGCACGCTCAGGGTGTCAGCATTGAGGACCTACGTGTTTCACAACACTAAGAGCCACGGGTAGTGATCAGTCATAAAGGCATGCATGGCTGCATGTCCCTCCTTACAGACAGTTGACGAGATACACGACCCTCCCTGAAAGTTGTAATCGTGAGGGTCCAGGTATGGCAAGTGTAAACGGGATCCTGCGGCAGGCCTGTGTTTATCTCCTAGATCGGGCCTTCGTAATTTCGGGCCTTAGGGTCTTGAGCTTGAATCTATGTCTCATGATGAAGAAGTTCAACGTCTGGGGATTCTGGGTTCTCGATTTTCTGCCGCAGCTTACCTGAGAAACCCCGCTCACGACGAGATAAACACCGAATCCCGAATGTCACTGTCCAAAGGCCGCAGCATATAGTGCGCAGCAGGGTTGAGCGCCGAATGCAATGTAGGGGCTCCTTCAAAACATGGTGAAGTCCATGAGGAACCAGCACAGGCGCCTCAGTGCTACCGCCTCCATTTCCTGAAGAAATCTACAAGATCGGCCACTCGAAGCTCTGATGCCCACCCTACACCCTGGAGCTTTTGAAACACCCAGGCCCTCATCGAGCCTTGCCTTTGCCTTTGAAGCCCTGAACCTTGGGGGAGGCCCTCCACTGCCCAAAAAACAGACTCCCATTGAGGACCCCACTGGATCATGGCATCGTCTGCCAAGATCACTTCCACTTCGACGTCGAACAAGCGCCGCTCCCGGAGAGTCCTGGCGGCTTCTTGGCTCGGGGTCCAAACTCCGAGTGCCCCAAGAATGCCAAAAAAAACACACCCCTGAAACTGCCCCGGAAATACAGTACCGGCCCTCAAGTGAATGATTGGAATAGGGCCTCGGGGTACATTCTACATTTTTTGACATAAGAACTCCGAAGGGAAATACTCTTCAACTAATTCCTCCGACCCCTGTGTGTTTGCCAGATGCGTCCTGGAGAGGAACTCACCGGCAGCCTTCGCCTTCTCCTGCCAAAGCACCGAAATGGATGGTTTCGGAGAATTAGGGGTACCTTATTCTGGGGTCCTCTTAATAAGGATCCTACTATTTAGGGTACTATTATATTAGGGTCCCCTAATTTCGAAAACTCCCAAATCACAAGCTTCATGCGAACCAGCGCCTAAAATTGAGGTGCCTTCTCGGTAATTGGAGCCAGTGTTATGCTGAAGAGATCGCTTCACGGCTTCCTTTAAGAGTTTCGTCCGGAGGCCTCGATCACTAGAATAGAGTTTTGGGGGTACACAAACCCTAAACCCTAAATCCTAGTACTCATTAAGAGTAAGGAGTTTCACAGGAAGAGTAGTAGTCATTGTTCAGGCTTCCGCGTTGGCAAACTTGTTCAGAACTCCTCAGGTGCAGAGGCAAAGAATGAGAACCAGGGCATCTTGGCAAGCAGCGGTAAGACGAACATATGCAGCAACACAGTACTGCTGCCATTGCGCTGAGATTGCTAAATGTCACTCACAGGCCACATCACCAGCACCGTGCAATGTCCCGAAAAGACGAACGAACCGATTGCCGCGCATCATGCGTCTGACGTGAGCCGAGCGCAAAAAAAATTTACCGCGGCACCATCCGACATGTGACGATATTTTGTGGCACGACCTGACTTGTTCTGCACAGCGGTGGACCCTACTTTTCTTGAGGCCGGCCTCCGACACATCCTCCGCAAGCGTAAATACACGGATTTGGCTCTGTCTCCAGTTGCGATGCCTTGGGGTAAGCTCAAGCTGTAGGGTTTGTGGGCTGGGGCTTTCGGGCTGTCGTTAAGAGTGGGACTACAAACTCGTCTCAGGGCCAAATGTCTAGCCACTTCGACCTAGCAATACAGCAACCCGGGTGATGCACAGCGATACCCTGCTGAGCACATGGTTACTACTCGTGGAAGTGCTGATGCCGCTAGCGCATGCCTGCCGGCAAGACATCCGCTAATGTTTGGACTGCTGTGACGATATTGATAGGTACAGCTTTGTCAGACGGTTTCGGCATTGCATGTTTCAGCCAGAGACTCTCACTATACGTTTCTACGCCTCGTGTCGCTTCAGGGGTGCAGTCGGAGTCAAGGTGCTGCGGCATACCAGGGTTGATGCAGAGGAGAATGCAGGGTGCGCTCAAGTCTTCAATAGTTTAATCATCCAAAGGAAACCAGGATGAAACAACGCCTGCTGCAGCAAGTCGCTTTGGCTATGTGCACCCCGGAACGGAGTGAATGGCGACGCGCGACATTTGGTCCAATGCCCCCAACCCTGCATCCGTGGTACTGTGTCAGGAGCCAGGAGAGGAGGATCAGGAAGCCACCATCGTGGATCATCCACCACACGTCGATGGTGCTGCGTGGGCCTGCCATCCGCTTCGCCTATCTGATCTCATTAAACTTTTCAGCCTGGAGGCATTGGCCTCATTAGCGTCGTGACCATTGATCAAACACTTTAAAGTATGCCCGACTTGGCATTGGCTGTTGCAACATCACTGTCCTGCCTTTCACTTCCTCCAGGGGCATGTCCTTCAAGCCCTTGACAGCAATGACCGCCTCTTCGGAGCATCTCTTCTCTTCAAGGAACCCTAAACTGCCCTAAACACTAAACTCCATAATCTTTAAACTTTAAGCCCTATAATCAGCCTTGCAAGCACGAAAGCCTGATGCACTGCCATTGTGTCTGTGCAAGTCGCCGGCAAGTCACAGCACGCTCTTGGGGGTGCCGCTTGAACGCTAAGCTCTCGGATGCGCCACGCAAAGTATCCCTAGGGCTGCCATACACAATATGCGCAATCGCACTCACGAGCGATTTCATGTCTCTTGTTGCACCTACACTCTGTCCAAGCCTTGTCCGCGGAGTACGCGTGGCTGAGGATTTCTACCTAATGAAGCCACAGAAGGAAAGCTGAGGATTCCGTAATATGTCGATTCAATCGGAACGTAGAGACATACACGGAAGAGCAGGAGGAGGCTGGTTCAGTTCTGGAAAGTAGGGGGGAGGACTTGTCGCGTGCAAGGAGAACCGATCACAAAGTCAGATGTTTGCGCTCGGAAACGATGGCAAGATGTGCTCCACAAGACTGATGTCATGCAGCTGTGCTTTCTTACTCGTCGAGATAGAACTTAATTTTCATTTGCTTCCATGCCTGTACTCGAACGAGTCTAAGCACTTCTTGGATTGGCCTAGTGTTGTTGCAGGTGGGGATGCTTCTGCTTCAGCTTGCACACGATGTGATTGCTCGAGATGTGGAAGACAGACTTCTGTACGGTCGCTCCCTCGATTTCTCAACAAGGCCCAAGTCTTGCATGAAGCTTGAGACGCGGGTGTCAACATACAACTGCGCTGAAACCCAAACGCCAAAAACCTTGAGCCAAACCCAATGTGAAACTGTACTTTAGCCCCACCACTATTGCTAGTATTAGTATCACTCTTTTTACTTTGGTTACTATTATTGTTGTTATTGGTATGCATATTTAAATAACCAGTAACTCTAGAGCATCCGCCTTTTTGCTCTGCTGGCAAGGCTCAAAGTCTTGGCTCGTCGTGTCGGCTCGGTCCTTCGCCGTGGAGGCGGTTGGACAGGTCTATCTCCGAATCGAACAGAAGCTCCCTATGCATCTATATCTACATGTGTTCGTTGTGGTTTAGGCTTTCGGGTTTGGTGTCTGGGGTTGGGAGCAATATTCTAAACCCGGGTACGAATCGGGGCTGCAGAAAAGGAAGATCATCGGACCCCGCCTGCTGGGCTTGGGTCCTTCCTCGTCAGAAAACGGGGTCAAGTCGAATTCGAGGTTCAAACTCAAAAAGGCCCAAGACCTTCAAGTTAAGGCCCGCAAAGCTCAACACCACCGCCTGCCCTCAAGACCCCAAAGAATGGCAAAATCAGTCCTCGGGCCAGTCAAGCATCACCGTGTTCGGCACCAGTCCTGCGATTCAGATTTCTGGAGTTTTGGCTTTAGGGTTTCGGGGTGCGGGTTTGAGGGATGAAGGATGGGGCAGTGCAGGCGTGCAGGAGGAGCAGCTTCACGTGCGCACCGCAACGGCCTGCGGGGGCAGGTCGGCCGGGTCGGGGAAAGGACTTTCGGGGTCAAACAAAAGATAAAAGAGGGTGACCCACGAGATCGGGATCGCGATACGGGTAAATCCAGGGGGGTTGAGGGAAGACATAGGGGGTCAGAAAAAAGACATAGGGGGTTGAAATGCAGATAGGGAGCACAGTGGGGCCGGCAGCGGGAGGGCGGGGCTGCCCCGGGGTGGGGGTCAAAAAAAAGATGAAGGGGGTCAGAAAAAAGAGGTCCCCCAGCTTCACCCTAGTCCGCAGCAGTTGTGCCTATCAATGCTGCCATGTCAAGTGCTGAACGCCCACAGCGTGGCAGTTCTGCACCCGAAGCAGGTCCTCCGATACCGGTGAGCTGGATGATGTAATGTGCACCTAGGCGAAGTTCTTAATCTTTGATCGTTGGGTGGTGAGGGGAGGCCCGAAAGCCTGCATCTGTTCGTGTGCACTTCGAGAACGAAACCTCTAAATTTGTGTAGCATGCAGGTCTAAACGTGTTTATGTGTAAGGTTGTCTACGTACATATGGTGTGTCTAAGATGCACCATACTACTGTACTGGACTATACTATACTATACTATACTATATCTGATGTTCTTGCGCGCGGTAGTGATCCGAAACGTTTCCGGGTGCCCGGAAGGCGTGCCTTCGGCCATGTTCGGAGCGACGACCACTTCAGCGAAGCCCTCGATGCCCTGCCGGACATGGGTCTTGAAGTACTCTCGGACTCTAAGGTAGCCCCCTACAATTTCGACGAATTCGGCAAAAGAGTTGAAGCTTTGAAGACTCTTTTTGAGGCGCTCCTAATCCTGACGTCTCAAGACGGTCCCAGACAAGCATGTCCCTGGATCCACGATGCCTCCTTGGCCATGAGATCCTGCGATCGGGATACAGCTTGTTCGAGTCAGGGACTAGACACAGAAGTGAAACCGAATGGCTTCAGCCACGCGTCGTTAAGTTGCGATGTGAGTCTTGGTAGATACTGCTGTTGGAAAGCTTGCAATCAAGGCTGCTGATTTCCTGAAGCTTGCGGGATTCGACGTTTTAGAACCTGTTGAGGCAGTGGGACGTCGAGACCTCCATACCTGTCGCGCTAATCTAGGAAGCAAGTCTGAAACACAATATACATCCATGATGAACATACAGTGGTAAAACAGACTCGTATTCCTATCTCCTCGGAGTAGACTAGAAACAATAGGGGATGAACTCAAGCCTCCCTATCTCTTGGCTCATGTCGTTCCAAAGTCGAAAAGAATCCCAACATATCCTCTGAGACCGGAATAAGAACCTGATATCGTGCAGCACACATTCAGGGTTACTAGAAGTGCTACCATAGGGGTTCTGACAGCGTTCAATTCTATAGGGTCTCTATACATCTATTCGCAATCAAGCTTTCGAGCTCCGAAACGAAACAAATGAAGCGACCAATGAAGCTGTTCCGTGGGCGCTTCAGAATCTCAGAATAGTCACTGGGCGTGAGTCTGCCAGCAAAGCTCCCGCCCGTTTCCTCGTGTCAGAATACTCGCAAATCTGTAGTGGTCCATTTTGGATACTTAAACTTATCATTGCTGCCTTGTGATCTCGCTGCTAGTTCTATTAACTGATGCCAGTGAGGCTTTCAGCGTGACCATGTTGCTCTTTGTACACAGAAGGAAATGATCCTTAAATCGAGACGATTAAGCTAGACAGCGACAGCATCATCAGCAACAGAAACTACAGGAAGAATACTGGCAACCCTAGATGAGCAACAGTCATTGAACAGTCATTGTTGTCATCAACTCCACGTTGTCTCGCATACTCGAGTTTTGCGTGGAACACCTCGACAACTGGCAAGACCAGCCTTGATGACTTGCTTCTCCTTGGCCGCCTGGAGCTGCGCCTGGCGTTTTCAACTTCATCTCATGCGCAGCGGTGACAAGACTTAACTACAAACTCAACCGCAAGCGCTTTCAACACTGGCCTTCGTATCGCGGACACTCGACTCTAAGACACAGGCCACCTTGGCAGAAGCAGACGTTTTGCTTATTGAAAGCGGGCGCAGGGTGTAGGGTGTTTGCCATGGCCCAGGTAGATGCTAGCGAATGTTGCACGGCAAGCTGTCACGTTATCTCCAGGAAGCTTTGCATGTTCGAGCCGGCTCGACCTGCCCACAGGTGAGCAAGCCCTGCTGTTCTGCCCTCAAGCCCCCTGCTCCCTGACTCGAAGATTGCAAGCAACAGCAGCTTAAGGGGGTACGAAATTTTCTAAAGATCGAAATACAAAACGAAAGAGAAAAGTAGCACCAACCCTCACCGGTATGGCACAGCTTGAGCCTTCAGCTCTGGATTGAAGGTCTACACCTACACCCTGAAGCCCTAAACTAGCCACAAAATCGATAGCACTTAATCCAAGCACTGTAGTAACAACTATAACAGTACTTGAAATGACAATAGCATTTCGGGCGTAAACAACAAGCCGAGGCTGGCGCCATGCAGAAGCCTTTTCCCTTGCGAAGCCTTGGAACGGAACATCAGCCCGAGTTAGTTTCCACTGTGGGTCATGGAGGGTTTTGGGTTCGGCGATGCTGTGATTCGGATTCACGGCTTTAGGGTTTCATGTTTAGGAGGGTTTGAGGCTCAGGGCGTGAGAGCTTTGGATGCAGGAATTTAGGAACGTAGAGTTCAGGAATGTAAGCTTTCGGATTCAGGGCTTTGGGACTCAATCTCTGAGAGTTTGGCAGGGGTTCGGTGATTCAGGGCCTTCAGAGACAGTGGGATCTGCACACCTACGCTTAGAGATACAGTGTACAGGCATACGCATGCATGATTGCATATCTACATGTAAAAGCGCTAGTATGTGTGCGTGTATGTATGCAAATGTATGTATGTACATATAATATATATATATATATATATATGTATATATATATATATGTACATACCCATGCGAATGTAGCTGTTCAGGCATATACTTGCATTTACTTTTCGCACCTTTTCACGAGCATGCAAATGTATAGGTCGTATTTGCCGACCCGGTACAGCAGAGAGACACAGAGAGATAGACAGAGAAAGAGAGAGAGAGAGAGCACACAAGCAAGCGCGCGAGCGAGAGTGACACGGATAGCTAGATAGATAGATAAATTGGGTAGTAGATGGGTAGTACTTTCAAAGACGGATCGGAGCCTGCGGGTTCGGAAAGCTCATCTTGCACACTGCACAGTAGCCTTTCTGCTTGTACCAATTCAGCCAAGGAGCTGTGAGGCGAATCGTAGGTTCCCTTCATGGCATCGGGTTCCCTGGCGCACAAAGCATGGAGTCTAGCGCTGGCTTCTCAAAACCAAGAAACCACTGCAACCAGCGCGCAGCAACTCTTCACTCTGCTGAGACAGCCAGGATCTAGCATGTGTTAGAACCGGATGTCAAGCCGACTTCAACCTCGCATGCTTTGCTTTACTCGTTCGCCCTTCGGCGTTCTGCCTCCTCGGTGTTCGGGATGCTGTAGATGATCAAGACTTGGGGCCGCCAATTCACATGCCTGGCATTGGCATTTTTCAGGGCCCAGGGTCTCTTAGGACTGCCGGATGGACCTTGCGATATCCTGTTATGCAGCATGAGCTAAATCGCAGCAAAACTTCTACTCGCAGTCACCCTTTCTTGAGGCCTATCGTCTATCGGAGACCCGAAACTCTAACAGAAAAACGTGCCAAGGCTGCTGGTATTGGGACTGCTCCAGCTGCACCAATGCACTCAGGGCCAGTCGGAAGGTGATGCCATCCATCGCCTCACCGTGACTCATTGACATCATGTCATACCCATAGCACTCGTCGTGTCATAGCACCAATTGAGAAGAAATATTGGTAGCATCTGGAAGGAAATACATGTTCACGAGGATATGGCTCGTGTCCTGGGTTCGCGCCCAGCCCCACACCCTCACCAGCATGGTTTACTTGGATTTCGGCTGCAGTTTAGCCAGCCTCGCAAACTCCATCCGTGTGCACATGAGACCTGCAACTTCATGCAGTGGAAACGAGAAATAACAGCCCTGATATCGAAGAACCCTAAACTCGCCAAACCCTAACCCTATAAACCTATAAGTCGATAAGCCTGAAAGCCCTGAAGCATATCAGCAAAACCACCTCTCTGACCTAAAGTTTCACCCGACTTTCCCAAAGGCCAAGAGCCGGGCGCTTCCCCACTCCTTGGCCTCCAGGGATCAGGACTTACGGCTTTCAAGGCTTCGGGCTTCGGGCGTAGGGCTTCGGAGTTTTGAAGCTTTCGGGGCTTCAGTGTTGCTGGGATCTTATGGTTTATGCCCCGACCTCTGCACCCCGAAAGCTCCGAAGGGCCGGGAATCATCCGAGAGCGCAAAGTCTGCGGCTTCTGGAAGTTCTCCATGCTTCTTTTCCTATGTGTTTCGGTGAATTTCGGAATTTGGTTCGGAAGTGTGGAGGCCTGAGCGTTCATCAGCCGACTTTATCTGATGTCATACTCCCCTGCTCTGGACCTTCAACTGCTTTTCTGGCTTGGTATACTTGGGTCTATCGGAAACTGCATGCCGATTCGACAGAAGAACCTGCAAAAGATTGCAACACCCAGCGCGAATCCCACAAAGGCGTAAGTACCTTGGCGAAGCAACTTGCCTCTCTCAGCTGGCCGAATTTGCGATGCCGAGTCCACGGAGCAACGATAGGGTTTTGTTCTCGTTTGAAGGCGAGGTCCAACCACTGCGCTGAACGACCGCAAGCTCTCACGCATGCAGCAGGGTGCCTCCACTTTCCAGTTGACAAACAAGTAGAGGCCTCTTGGTCATGGGCATCCCACATCAAGTCACATCATACCATATCATTGCATGGCATGCCATACAGTCATCTTCCCAACATGCTACAGCATGCACACGACTGAAATGGTACGTAGATCCAAGCGGCATCCTGCCACCAAGCAGGCTGCCAAGGCCCAAAGGTGGTTCACCTGAGCTTCCCACTCTCCGGAACCCTCCATAGCTACATGTAGGCGGATGTAGCGTTTGTTTGTTTGAGCTTAAACCACTCAACTAGCAGACTCGCATGGAATTGTACACTGATGAACACCTGTAATTTCCCAACAGCAGCTGGCTCGATGAAAAACCAGGATTGCTCCCCACCCCCACCCCCACTCCCGAACAAAAAAGGAAAACTACCCGGAACACACCCAAACTGCCCCGGTTCCAATTTGGGCTGAAGATCCTTAGACTCTTGAGAGGATTTGTATCTTCCAGGCCACAAGAAAGTCTGCTACCAAATCTTCAATCCCCGCATCACGCTCGGTTGCGGTGGGTTAGGGTTTGGATGATATTCAAAATACTCAGACGGAGGATCCGACGATATAGGGGATCCCATCTCGGGGACTGGGGTGCAGAGGCAAACGACCAGCGCGTCAATTTCTCACTTCTTGGAGCCTGGACACCTAATCTGGTACATCCTGAACCTGAAGAACTGGTGTATGTTTCGAGCTCTGAACAACATTCCGGCGAGCAATGGATAGCTGCTGACACGTAGCGATGATCATGATCGCCACACCTGAGAGCGCAGGCACGCAATCGAACAAACAAACACAAACTTGGACCTAATTTAGGGAAATCGATAACTAGAATAGGGTTTTCGATGCAGTAATACACAGTATATGTGTATATGTACATACGTATGTATACACATATATATATATATATATACATTGTGGCCAAACACGACAACTCGGAGACCCCAAATAAGGCAGCATAGAGAGCACGGCGAGCAAGGTACTGTTTGCAATGTCAGGAGTTCAAAGCGCCAAAATCCCAACAAACCCTCATACAAACCGAAAATTCCCAACAACTCCCCTCAATCCCAACTAGCCTTGAAACTCCAATAACAAGCCTTGTATCAAGCTCTGCTTCAAGCCCACAGCGTCGCAACCCCAAACTCCGAACCCATACCCGAACCCATACAACCGAGTAGCAGATCACGAAGCCCAGTCCACAACTGATAAGGTTCAGCACACGCCAGCCTTGGTGGCTCTATCGACCATAGAGGAGACGGTCTACAATCAAATCATGGGCTGGCATAGCAGATGAAGAACGAGCCGCCAGACCGACCAAGCTGAGCCCGTCAGCACCAGCACCACTCGCCAATTCAACCACCATCAGCATTGCCGCCACGACGACATACGATCATCAAGTCCGTCCCGAACATCATCGTCATCACCATCATCGTCTCTGTGTTCATCATCATCATCACCACCACGGTCATGATCAGCATGCGAACAGCTCAAGTACATCGAACCGTGTCATCGCCATACTTGGTCTCTGTAGCAAGGAGCGGCGCTGGTGGATCCAAGAGGGTCGCCAAGTTGCAGAGTGCAACCATGTCCTCGGTGAAGGCTAAGGGCTCCCTCGGTTTTGGGGGGATCTTTTGGGGTCACATTGAAGAAGGCGTGTTGCACCACCTGAGCTCTGGATCCCAAACCCTCATCCGAATTCATCCTGACTCCTAGCTAGGTGCAGTCTTGCTCGTGTACGGATGGCAGCAAAACTTTCTCGAGGGAGGGGTTGGGGAAACCCGGCTGAGAAAACTGTAAAGCCGCCCTGCTCAGATTCGGAAACCTGCAGCTGGGGCAGGAAGACTGCTTTGCGGGTACCGCACCGACAGGTCTGCAAGAGCTCCGTGCACTGCAATGTGCATACTGCCGAAAACCGGTGCCACTAACAGCATTGGTTCTTCATGCATGTTCTGTTCGCTCAGGCTTTGGTGCTCCATAGGCACCGCTAAATTCGCACATTCAGAGAAATTCCAGCATGCTGGGCCCCGGGCAAAGTGAAGCAAGACAGGTTCATGAAAGCATATGCCATCAGGAAGCACCTGGGCCGAAGGCAGAAGCGGATCACAACCACCACCTCCACCACCACCAGCACCCTCACTCGCAATCGTCATCATGCCAGCTTCAGAAATACGATTTCGAGATTGTGGCCAGTACAGTGTTGCATATCGCTACGTTTGCTGATCCATCCGCTGCAAGATTGATTTGAATTCCTTACTTCCAAGCTTCCTACCAACTCTTGACCCTAGAGGCCTTCTGCACACGCCTCGTTGCAAGGTCTTCCCTGGCGGGGCCGTCACACGAAGCACATTTGTTTTGACTCCTGGCGACATGCTCTTTTGATGCGCAGGACTTCGTTGAGTAGTGAGACATTGCACTGGAAGCAGCGTGGGATTTCGCAAGCGCTGCAAACGCCGAGACGGATAAACTGGTGGGCAGGGGCCTCGTGTTTCGGGCCTTGCAGAACGCAGAGCCCGTGCATACTGGGTACCTGCTGAGGCATCTTTGATTTCGGCAACTGGATCCACCTACCTCACTCAACATTCCTTGGAATTGTCGAAGACGCCTCGCGAGCGCACAATCTGAGTCTTTGGTGCGCTTACAAGGCTGAAACGGCGCGCATGCCTGGACGTGGAGAACTCGTCTCGGGAAGAATCCAGCTGTCTCGTTGTCCATAGGCCACCACCGAGCCAGTCAAAATACTCAAGAGTAAGCATAGAAACACTGTCATTGGGATGCTCTCCCTTCCTCTGGATTCTTAGCAGGAGCTCCCCTGCGAAGCGGCTGACTTGTGGCAGCTTCGGCATGATCCAGAAAGAGGATGGGCACTGTCTGCCCGAAAAAGTGTCCGGACTTCTTTAGCCTGAGCATCCGTGAGCCTTCCAGCACTCATCCTGGAGCCACTGCCAAAAATGGTCGAAAGATCAGGGAAACGCTGAGTCATTCTGGGCTTCGAGGTCTTGCCAGCTGAAAACCGACAGCGAGGACTAGCATCGAGTAAATCAAAACACACAACCACAGGCTGCACAGTTGCAAAACCACTACTGTATGGGATGTGTAAACGAGTTATCGGTACAGTGCATGTGTGTGTGTGTGTGATATTGACAAACGAAGACATAGTAGTAGACCCTGTGCCGCACGGTACAAAGCAGGTGTGACATTGCAAGGATTTCAACGGACCGTGTGGATAACAGGAGTCTCGTATATATGTGATCTTAGGCATGCATTTCGAATGATACATAAGTAGATAATGCACACAAAGATGCACTATGGAAGGTATTGACTAAGCAGTTTTTGTGCCCACGCAATATAGCCCTTTTCATATGGTATAAAAACAGAGGAAAGGAGTACGGACGATGTAAAGCAGTCAGGCCAGGTGTCACAATGCGCAAAAACATCGCGTGGAGGCGTGGGTACAAGTGGTGCCTCTGGTGCAGACTGAAACCTCCTGGCACAGGTTTGCTGCAGTACATCGGACTATCTAGTACCAAGACCTCAAACCACGGAGCCCATCAATTGGCACGATGTGACAAAGGCACAATGAGGCACGCATGTATATGCAAGATGCACATATCTGTGAGAGACGGCATCAGGTTGCCTGATCTATCTGATGAAGCAATGGCCTGCGAAAAAAAGCAAAGCCTGCCACCATGTATGATACAAAAGCCAGAAGACATGATGACAGGCCAAAGCTGCTTGAGCACATAATTATATTCGCAGAGATACATACTTCTGCCAGATAAATGGCTAGCTCGCTCGCTAGGTAGATCGATTTTGGATAGATAGACAGATCGATTGATTGGTTGACAAACGAACAGATGAACAGATGAACCGATAGATCGATGGATAGACGAACGGAGGATGCATGAATGGATAGAAAGACAGACAGACAGGCAGACAGACAGATTATTGATTGATTTGACAAACAGAGACGTACATGAACAACTCTCTCTGTCTCTCTGTACTATCTATATCTATATCTATATATATATATATATATATATATAGATATATACACACACAAATCTACAACTTGACTCTCGGGGTATGCAATCTGGTCTCCTTTGCTTTTCTGACAGCTCGAAGTGGCAAACTAATCCAAACGCAACACAACAGAACCCTCATGAAGCACCAAGGACAGGAGCAAGAAAGATCATCACTGCCATGATGCGCAATGTGCTATAATTACAGGTGCCTGTAGCGAAGAACATGTGGAATAAGCACACTACAACAAACAGAAAGGCAGTGCCGCTACTAAAGTCAACATGCAATTACACTGTATTGCACTCTTCTCTATGTTACACTCCCCGCATCTTCAAAGCAGGACCTCGCCAGCACAGAGACGCTGTGAGAAGCCTTCGGCTAGTAAGGACAAACAGGGCAGCTGCTGCGAGACTTGTACGAACAGTGCCTCCATGCTTTTACGATTGTAGTGCATCAGGGTTTCAAGACTGTAGGGACTTTAAAGACTCAAGCATTCTATATGTTCGTCTCACGCAGAAGCTGCCACGACCTACATGAAGATGACAAGGCAGGTGATGTTGTCCATGGAGCCTCGGTGCCCGGGTCTTTGCCGCACCTTCAAAACATGTGCTGAGCCGTGCTAGCGCCGGTTACTCATATGGGTTTTGGGGTTGCAGGTGCGATAAGGTTTGTGGTTTCTAGGGCTTAAGGTGTGTAGGGCTGGGGTACTCTATGGTTCAGTGAAGGTTTAAGGAATACAGGGTCAGCGCTAAGGCACAAGTAGGGATGTTGAAAAGCAGCTAACTGTCCCTTCCAGGGCTTCTAGGTACAACAAACACGGCAAGCAAACATGCACATCGTCATAACAGTACTCGCAACAAGACCACAACTCGTAAACCCTTCCAGAACCCTCTGCCAGGTTGCCCGTTCGCTGTGCTTCTTGCACGAGCCTCGCACGGGATGTCACATGACACAGATTCTAAGGGGCACAAAGCCTTCTGGAAGCGAGCTCAGACACTGCAAGGCTCTTTTCATGTCTCCTCCTGCCCCAGTGGCGATCATGACGGTAGTCAGAAAGTCAAAAGGGCGCAAAAGAAGATTCTCTTGAGACACTCAGATGCCGAAACCTTGATCTCCCCGTCGTCCGAAGACAAATCCAATGCTTGACAACAGGCCGGCCTGTGCGCAACGTGGTCCAATCCACTCCGACCTCAGGTCTGCGTTGGCATCTCAAAAAGATATCCAAATCAGCTCGAAACGAAACACTCGGTTCAGGTGTTGCAAGATTGCAGTCCTTGAGACCTTCATGGTGCCTGGGATATCAAGTTATCAAGTTCCTGCCTCTGTTGTCCGTGGGTTCTGGAATCTTGTGACGGAGCGTGCATGCATCATCATGGGCCAAGCTGCTGCAGGACACGACAACTTTGGCCACCTCCTCACAGGAGTGGCAAGATAGTTTTCAACACGTGTTCGACGGCAAATAAAGCCCGAATATTAATTTCCACTTCAATGTCCTTCTAAAATTCTGGAGGTATACTACGGTATCACCCAAAAGCCGATTATAGTTGTTGAGACATTGAATCCCCTGGACGCCATCACCCAAAAGCCTCGACTTATTAAGGCCCGTGGACACGCGCCTTCTCCTCAGCAAAGTCCCACAAGCCGTCGCTGGCCAAGACCAGCGCCAGGTCGCGCTTGGCATCGTGGGCCCGGACGGAGGGCTTGCAGCTTAGGCCTGGACGAGGCTTTGAAACAGTATAGTACTCATTTTACAGGGCACAAACTATAGTTGTAGTAACATGTAACAGATGCCCTAGGAGAAACCGAGGAAAGCTTATGAAAACCCTAATGAAGCGAAGCGCTGACCTTGAACCCTAGACCCTGAACACATGCATAAGCTTTGACCCTGAACTCTATGTCTATGCCTTAACATGTCCCTAGAATCCTAGACCCTAAGCAAACCCTAAACACCCTACACCGAAACGCTACTGTATAGACTCCACCTACACCTTTAAATCCATGAATTCCTAAACACTGGAAACCTCATCCCTGCCAAGCAGTTGCCTGAGCTTTTCAGCAGGAGGTCTCCCAAGGCACGGCTCACCGCCAACTCACCTTCAGGGGCTTAAGGTGTTGGGGGTAGAATCAGTGGTGGAGGGTTCATGGTCCAAGTGGGGCTAAGAGTCCAAGGTCAACGGTTTAGGCTTTAGGACTTTCTTCTTCTTTGATGGAGCCTTTTCGACTAGCCATGCGCTGGGACTTTCCGGGTTAAGGGGATTTCGCGCTTTTACTCGAACCTCAGACAAGACCTGGCGTTCCAGAACAACACACATCGCACCAACTCGCCTAAGATACTTCGACTGCGGCAACGCTGTATTAGTCAGCAAGATTGTACTCGTGTTGCTCTCTCTCGGTACATATATATATATATATATAGGTTTCATCTTACTCACACAGCAGAACCTCCCTTGCTGCATTTAATGCACATATACTTATATGTACATGTGCATACTCTGAGCGATTGCGCGTCATATTCCGATGCTACATGACAACAGTTCACCTTGCGAACCAATGTCAGATCGCAAAGCAGCACCACCGCCCGCCTGTTGTGTATTCCAAAAGCATTTGCTTGACATTGATTTTTGCAGTCGGATATTGGTGGTACAGCATGAGCCACTAAAGGTGGATAACAGATGGTAGGTCTGCATGGCACCTGAGACACGGCCCATGGTAACGAAGCCGCCCTCCTCGCGGATGCGACGTGCCTGACGCAGGCTGCATTCGAGTGTGGGTTTTCATCTGGAGCTTTCTAACATTGTCTTTGTCAGATGGTCTAACCACCAAACACAACCATCCTATAAGCCTTTAGATTAGATCACCCTTCACTGGTGCGTTCCTTGCTGAAGGGCCTTGACTCGCAGAATATCTGCAGATTTTGAGATGCGGGACTGCCATGATCGTGGTGTTGCGAACGACAATGAACAGCGGGAGATCAAGGCGGGTAAGTTTCCAGACATGGGGAAGGCTGCCTGGGCAGTGGTCACTGCATGGAAAAACCTGATGCACAGTACACGGAACCTGGATTCGTGAGAGGACACGCCGCAGAGGAACCAACCCTACCCACCACTGCCATGTTCGACCGCTCTGTACTTACCTGCGGGACAACTCACCGTGCCTCTGCAGCATCGGTCGGCCGATGGTCAACAGACAGCCGCGTGGATCCTCGCGGTACTGTAACTGCATTGGCTGAAGTGATGCGCTGCTACTGTCACAAGCTGTCCGCTACTCCCTCCTCCTTACACTGCTAAGATTCCTGATGATCTTGCATATGACTGCGTTACTAGCACCGGCCTTCAAAAACCCTCTCACACCCACAAAGTTCCAGTTTCCTCCCGATCCATCGACGGTAATGGCACGCGAGTCCCCAACGTTTGCCACCTCGGCTTCTTGCAGATAGGGGATCAAGGATGTGTGAGATATCTCAACATTTACCACAAGGAGAAAGTCGCGTGCCCTGCTCTGTGGGAGGGTCTTCGCGAGGAGGGTCTGAGGATGACACTATTCGACAGCTGGGCTTCCGAGGGCCTTGCCTGTATGACAATTAGATGGGGTATACCTAATTAATCAAGAAGTCTCTCTACGGACAGACAGTGGCAGCAATCACGATAGCGACACCTGCGGAACAGCCTACAAGGAAAACCTGGAGAACTAAACGGAAGAATAGCAGGAAGCTCAAATAGCAATAACTGGAATTACGTGATCTAAAGGCGGCAGCAGAAGCGGCAACATGTATCATAACAACAACGACGATGGCGACGAGAGCAGAAACGACCCACAACAGCGACAACAAGAAGCAAAATGGAGTATAGCACTGCATGGAGAGTACCAGAAAGAATCTAAAAGGCTTGATGTGTGCGCTTGTCTTTGCCCAGCCCAAAGACATGAGCGATAAGCTTCACATCCCAAGCTCATCCGCACGTCCCCCTACCTCCATACAATACATCGGAATCCAAAGCTCGATATGAAGCAGGACGAGTAGAAGGGCTTCAGATTGTTGTCTGTTTCCTGGTGGTCTGGATCCAGCTCGATCTTTACTAAATTTGCGCCTTGTGCGCGGACTAGGACTATAGAACCTACAGGATGTTCCTCTACACATTCTATATCATCGGGCTACATCATGGAGCATGCCGAGCTGTCCTCAAGTTCGCAGACCTGTTGGGCCAAATCCTCCAGGGACTCCTCCAGGGCTGCGTCTGCTTGCACCCTTTCGTAGAAGGCCAAAGTTGGGACAAAGAGCCCGGAGAGAAGGACGCGAGCTGCCGAGCTCCAATCCTCCTTCTCCTGGACGCAGGTGTCATCGAAGAGGACCCAGTGCCGCTGGGACGGGCACCAGAACAACGCCACGTAGTGCATGCCGCTGTAGCACACGAGTCCACGAAAGCCATAAACCACTGATGTCTCGGCAGAGGTTTCGAAGATCTCCGTCATGTACAATCTTGCTTGGATCATGGACAGCACTTGGATCAGCTGCTCTCGTGTTGGACTCGAGCTTGGCCATGCCAGGGACAACAAGAAGGTCTGCGGCTGACGAGTCAAAAAACGCTCTGTGACAAGGGTATGCCTCGAGTTGCACTCGCTGCAGTTGCCCCCACGGAGTTGGCACAGCTTGCGCAGAACTTGCTGCAAACTGGCCCTCCTTGTGGGGGGTACAAGATGGATCGACTGCCATAGCCCCACCGAAGCTCCCTCGGAGTCAACCTGGCCCGCGAGATCCTCCCGGCACTCCAGCAGCTCTGTCACATACACGCCGTACGTGAAGGCACTGGTGACCGTAGGCTCACCTGTGGCCCCACAGAAGGTGCATCGAGGGACGTCGACATATTCGACACCGAAGACTTCGTGGCTCAAGCAGAGAGGATGGCAGCCGAAGCGACTGGCTTCTTCGATGAACTCGGCATGGACGCACTGAGCACGAGGCGAAGCTGACGGGGCAAGGCTGCTGCTCAAGCTGCAAGCGTGCAAGATGCCCAAGATAACTTCGATAGTCTCCGTTGCATCCTCCATGTCGCCCGTTTGAAAGCGTCCTTGCACATTGTATGCGAGTGAGAGCGCCTTGCGCAGAGCATCTGGTGGAAGCACATCCCTGTCAGAGACAGCAAACTCGTGAAATAAGCTCTTCAGGGCACAGTAGCAGCACTGATCATTCCCAGATAGACGTGCAAATGCGCTGCAGCTCGACGCAGCGTGTGAATGCGTGTGACATTGGGCCTGAAGCAAACGCTTCCTGAAGGACTGCAAATTCCACAATGCTTGAATCACAACATTTAAGAAACAATGGTTGGCTCCGCTTTGGTTCTCCAAACCACGAGCTCGATAAGCCGGCCCCCGTCTCAACCGATGTAAAGCATCCACGGGCTGAGCGACGGAGGGCATCGAATATCGAATTCACGAATCAATCGTATACTATTTACACAGGGCAGGAACTCTTCTGCACGATGCCCATGAGCTAAGCCTTAAGCTACCGTCGGCGACCGGCCTGTTACCAGCCGCCTCGAAACCTGGAAACTGCAGTACATGCACCAAGCCCTTGCAACTCACATTCGGCCGAAAGCTACGATGCGCAACAGCTGCTGCCCAAGTCACGTGGACCCGCATGCCCTGGGAGGCACAGGAGCAGTGCTTATTCGGTGACACTTGTCACACCGCCCCTTCCACGCATATACAAACACGCTCACATGCAGGCAGAAACAAGAAGCAAATTCTGGATTTTCTGCGCGTGTGTCGGAGTCTGTATAGATTCCGAGTGCTTGCATGTATGCGCACGTATGAGTTTCGAAGTAATCCGGTCTGCTAGCACACAGATGCGCATGTGTGGGCAAGAGTGATATATGCTTGCAGGCATGTCTTGGAGGCTTTGCTTTCCCTGCATCAGGACCCATACTCCGTGCGCATCGCACACACAAGGAGTCGCTACATTTGCATCACCTCAAATCCCGCAGGACTTGGTGTGACACCTGGCAACTAGAGATCGCTAACAATGCGGGTGATAATGCCAAGTATGCATGTGAGCGTGCGTATATACAGATGCTCATACATACATACATACATACATACATACATAAATATATATACATACACGTACATACATACACACATACACACATACACACATACATACATACATACATACATATATATATATATATATATATATATATATACACACGTACATACATACACACATACACACATACATACATACATACATACATACATACATACATACATACATACATACATACATACATACATACATATATATATATATATATATACACGTACATACATACACACATACACACATACATACATACATACATGCATACATACATACATACATACAGTGCATATGTACTTACTTACATACAGATGCATACACATGCACATGCCCGTATGCCCATATACATATATAAATACACTTATGCACATATACACATATACATGTATATGCCTACACGTACACGCGCGTACAAACACATTTTTTCATCACAGACCATATCTGCCAAGCAAGCCCTCGACAAGTAAACGTGCGCACATGACTGGGGACATCACCTCTCGAGTGCGCACGGCACCCAAATCCATAAACCCTACAAAGTTTTCCCAGAGGTACCTAAAGCCAAGCCCTGAGTACCAAAACCCTGAACTGAGAACACTGTATCCAGCTCCCGCCTGCGGAAGCCTCCTCACCAAAGCCACGGTGGCGGTGCAACCGAAGCGCCAGGCGCCGACCTCTCCGTCTTTCGGGTTGAGCTCGAGGGCTTCAGGGTTTAGGGCCAGGGTGGAGGGCTTTCGGCTTAGGAACTTTGGAGCTTCAGGGTGCATATTGAATTTATAATTAAGGGTTGAGGCTGAGGAGGGTTTCTCTATGAAGCTGTGTTTGGGTGCTGGGGGTCAGGACACCTTACTTCGAAGCATCCCGCCTGGCGTAGCTGGTCATCGGCCTGCGATGCAAAGCGGCTGATATAGAGTTCTCGGCCTTCAAAACTCAGGCAACAGTGCACCTCCGATTTTCTGTCTTCAGTGTCTCAGTCGAGCGTTCTGCATGGAGGCTTCGAACACATGATGTCTTAAGTTTCCGGGTGTGGATTCAAACTTCGGCTTCAGAAGGAAAGGGAGCCCAGTCAGCCTTGACAACGAAGATGCCAGAAGTGCGGAAGTTTTGGGAAAACATGTGCTAGCCGCCCTACCAGAGCCCTCATGCTCCGAAGCTGTTCGTGGTGACGATGTCCGACAGTCCCTGTGAATCGAGCACCCTATCGATACATCCCGTAATTACCCCAACCCCTGCAGAACGACCGGCCTTTTGAAAAGTTCGGGTCAATGCCTCTGCTACCACCTGGTTCAGGGTCATGCGAAGGCCAAAGAAAGCATGACCGTTGAAGGTTTAGGGTTGAGGCAAGGCTTCTGCGCCATCTATTCCGATTTATTTGTGGCTTCGTGTCTGCATGCACACACACCGACATGCATGTGTGCGCAGATGCATGCATCTATGTAGGCACGTGTGCACGGATGCAGGCGCTAAGGTAAAGCTACTGAAATTACAGCCTAAGCAAGCTCCAGAAAGGAAGAGTGCATGATTAGTGGCAGTGCCCCAGCAATGCCCGTGCCAGAGCCAAAGGTCCACACGGTTGCTGACCACCAGACATGGTTTAGGGCCAGTTTAGGGTTCAGGGCGTAGGGGCAAAATTCAGATGCACCCAAGGCTGGCCTAGCGGTATGTCGGCTCGGTGGTCACAGGAAGCTTTCAATAGTGGGATCCCAAAGAACGGTTCCAGTGCCGAGGGGCCTAAGACCCTATGTGCACTAATCGAAAACCAAAAATCCGAACCAAATAGCGCAAGATCATCCTTTCCCTGACAGAGCATGATACCAGCACGGTACAACTTAGCAAAATCTGCTGCACCTCGTCCCGAAGCGGTGAGCTCGGCCGCTTAGGCGCGCTCTTTAACGCATGCCGTAGCTCCGAGGCGAGCACCTGCCCGAATCGCTTGAAACGATGCCCAAATACTCACCGGTGATGAAAAGGATGATGTTACTAAATCTAACTAACTGACGTTGATGATAACCTGGTGATCGGATGGTCGCGTGCATGCTGATCATCCCACTCATGGACAGCGATACTGGCTCAGGGTTACTGGCTTCTCCTGGTAGCTTCGCGATTCGATGCTTCAGACTCTCTCATGACGTGCACCGAAAACTCCCATTAAAGCATAAGTATTAACCAAGAGCAAACAGAACTGTGTCTCTGCAAATAAAACCTGATATAACAAAGGCCCCGCATTGCATGACCAATGACCACGGCAAACGAGATGCAGTCGTGACTCTAACCTCTAAATCCGCACCCGGATTTTTCCCGGAAGCCCGGAGCCTAAACCCTGAATCCTATCTCAAACCCCAAACATTACAGTAAATCCTAGACGCCAGAACTTCTTCAATACATGCGTACCCTTGGATTTGTTTCCCTTTATAGAATTAAATGTCGAGCTGTCGATTTTCAGATTTCAGTCATTCACTCATGAATTCATACATTCAGGCAGCGAAGCATGCAGGCCTTCATTCATGCATGCATGCATTCATTCACACGTCATTCCATTGCATTCAATCTGGCATTCATTCATCTATCGATATAACCATTTAACATGTGACAGCTTGCTCAGTTATCCACCTATTCAAGCATTGATATGTCTGTACCGTCACGGTTGTGTTAAAGATCGTGATAACGATGATGATAACGATAATGGTCATGACCATGATAGTCACTGTGATGATGATTATGATTTCTGCTGGTAGAAAAAAGGAATACTTGCAACGAGAAGTACTGCAAGAAAAATGATACTACAAGTATTGAATACAATAACAACAGGATCAAAACAACAATGCTGCCAACTGCGATAGTGAGCGTAGACATCATAAGCAGCAATACCGACAAGAGATAATGGTTTTAATGAGCGGACATACAAGCAATAGGAAGAATAATAAGAAGAACAACATTGATAGCAGTGATGCCGATAGAGCCATATACCTGCTGTTAAACCGTCGCAACGAGCAAAACAACCCGAAGCGCCTAACAATGAAATGTCAAAAGTCGCAGTCTGCCGACCTTGTGCAACTCCGCCTCGCAGTGCTCCGCAGCCAACACCCCGCCATGCCCGTCGTAAACGGCGAAGAAGGCCCACCTTTCGCAAGAGCTGGGAACCGACATCTGAATAAAGACTAGGGCCATCGGACCTACAACAAGTTCAGGGTGCTGGCAACGAGGATCCTACTCTCTTAAAAAATTGAGTTTCAAGGGTTGAGGGATTTAGGAATTGAGGCTCCGGGCTACAAGTATTCAGAGCCTCGTTTCCAATTGCAGTGGGCTCTTTCTGATGCTGCCTGCGGGTTCAGCCCAAGGCCACAGATACTTAGACTGTATGGTCTGGGGTGGATTGTGGGTTTTGGGCCATTTTGAGGGCCCACGGTCAAAAGCCAGAACTTGGGGTACGCTTGATAATATAAATCCTGCATTACCTTAATGACCCTAAACTATGGGAATGATGGTATATTCTTTTTAATGGGTCGGGTAATGCAGGATTTATATCATCAACCGTAGGACCTATGAAAGCTCCTAAGATCCGCCTTTGAGGCGTTTGGGTTGGGGGCTTTTTATGATAGGGGCTGTACCCTAAAACCCTAAAGTGCAAAGTTTAGGGGCCCGGCCTGGGGGTTTAGAGGGGCCTAAGAATCGCTTCAGGACTCATGCCCTGGCTCCTAAAGCTACGGATGGGGTTTAGGGTTTGGTTTTTGTTTTGAACCCTCGTGGCTTTTGGGCGTACGCCTCCAGACTAAGTCACTATGGTTGAGGGCTTGGGAGTTCGGCTTCAGGGTTTGGAAGCTGTCGGATTGAAGCTGATGCTCTTGGATCGGCGGTCCCTCGCATCCACTGCTACACGGCAGAGTCCGGGCCACGTCTCGTTACCAAGCTCGCCATCCATGAAGGGATCAATGATGCAATACTTGTCCTGAGGTCAGAAGCACAGCAGGGCTTCGTGATCAATGCGATTGAACCCAACCTGACTGAAGAGAAGCAGGATGCTCATGTGTCATCCGAAAAGACCTGCATTCTGACAGTCAGACCGGATTATGCTACAGTACTTGCTGTATATGTTCTGTAAATCATGAAGACAAATACTTAGCTGCCTTATCATAAGCTTGTTTCCAAGTGTCAGGCCCACAATTAAAGTGCCATTCGTTTAGAAAGTTCACAAAAGAATGCCGATGTAGAATCGCCATGAAATCCTACACTCGTAAGTCCCAAAGCCTAAAAACCCGAACCCTCAACAGCCCGTTCTGGTAGCCCTTATGACGGAACCCTCAGTGGAACCGTGGAACGAACTCTGAAAAAGCCCCCAGAACCCTCCAGAACCCCAAACTCTGAACCCTAAACCATCGCTCTTCAACGGCCGAGGCTCCTCCATGTAGGCGCGGTACTGAGAGTTAGGCTCGGCCGCCTTGCTGACAAAGGCCACCGCGGCGCCATCCCTGCAAAGACAAAGAAACAGCGTAACCAGTGTAGAGTTTAGGGTTTCTGGTTGAGGGTGGTGTGGAGGGTTTAGGATTTAGGGTTGCGGGTTCAAGGTTTGGGATTGTTGATACCACTATGAATCTTAGTGGCGCTGCCACTCTGATGACTTTGATGAGTGAAGAAGCTTACCTGACACCCATACTGTCAACTGATTTCTCCGCGCAAACGCGAGAGCAAACGAAGAGCAGGGCCCTGCTAATTCTGAATCTACAGCAGTCTGCTGCTGTCTTCGTTCGTGCCGTGTCCTTGCCTTGCTTTCGGCAGGTGAGGCACGTGCCTTCGACACAAGGGTCAAAGTCCGATAATCCAACGGCTCTTGCTGCAGGAAAGAACTGGCGGTCTCGTCATAATAGCACTGTGCTTCACAGACATATCCATAAAGGAATTCGTGAATCTGAAAGGGGCACTAAGGCTAATCTGGAAGCTCTCTTGCCTGATACGGCCTTGCACACTCCATCGCTCAAGACGGCTCAACAGATCCATTTAGTACACCGGGCGCTTGGGCAAGGTTTACAGGCAGGCGCACTGGCATTCTCTCGCCGGGCTGCTGGTGTGCGTGCGCCGCATGATGATGATGATCCTGGCAGTCGGATTTGCTATTGACAGCCTCGAAGCCTGCACACGTGCATGCGCTCTCACGACTGCAGCACCAAGGGTCCTGTGCCGGTGCACCAAAAAGCGTCGTGTCGCCTGGATTTGCTCAGGTAAGACAGGAGAGATTCTAGAGGCTCTTCACGATGCTCTGTCGAGAAGTGGTAAGAGTCCGTCCTAGATCATTGACCACGCATCCCCCCTTCCCATCCTTTCAATCCCTGTGATCGCAGGCCGAGCTCGGCGCCGTTCTTTGGACGAATCGCCTCCTGACGAGGAGATCTCGCGCTGGCGCAACAAGCACAGCTGTGCGGTCCAAGCAAAGCCATCCGGTCGCTGACTCAGCTTCCGCGGTCTACCGCCCAACCAGTGCCTCCGGCAAGCTTTGGTGACGCTTCCGATGCGCTTCGCCCTCACGTTTGCGCGGAAACGGCATGGTGAAGGTGTCCTGTCGAGGCTGCAAAGACTCACACCTAGAGAGACCCACAAATTTTCCCAAACACTCCTGCGCCCAGGGCGGAACCACGGCCACGTCGGCACCTGGGAAATTGAAAAGCAACGCAAACTCAGGCTTCGAAATTCCATCACATTCGCTGAGGCCCCAAACCCTCTACATCTATACGAGCTAAATATCCTTGCACCAGGCCCAATCCTATCTCAGCCAGACAACGCACAGCCCTCAAGAAAGCCCTCCTTTTCGCCGAGGCCACGGGCACCCCGCCGATTCTGCTGCATCCAAGGAGGCTCCTTGGTTCAGAAAAAAGCTCGCCGACCTACTCATCTAACTATCCAGCATTAGCTATCTAACTATCTATGGGCCGACCATCTAACCTAATCTAGTCTCAACGACTCTTATATACTCTTATCTTAACCTTGGTCGAACCTAGTGTCTAATCTGACCTGATCTGAGTTAACCATCTAATCAATCCAGAAGTAACAGGTGCAGTAGCGGTAGCAGTAGCAGCAGTAGTAGTCGTCGTCGTAGTCGCCGTCGCCGTCGCAGTCGTCGTCGTAATAGTAGCAGCATCAGCGGTAGCAGCAGCCCTAGCAGTAGGAGCCGTTGTAGCTGTAGCAGACGAAACAGAAATAGTAGTGGCCGCAGCAATAATACTTAGCCGCCAATGTTCATTGCAGCTCGTGGCGCTTGCAGAGTTGGCGATCATTGTTGTGCTGGTGCAGGCCGCACGGGGGTGGTAACGGTTTCGTTTTGAGCATCACTTGCGCGAAGTTCTGGCTGAGGCATGTTGCGTTGAAGCATTCATTGTTGCCTGTTCTCGTAAAGACGCTGACACGACAACTCCTAACCGCACCCAATCGGTCGCCGGGCTATTTGCAGGCGGGATTCGTGGGAAGGACCCCGTGGTGCCTGTCTTTGGGCCTCGACCCGCTGTTTGGGACCTGCTTCGCAAGGCAGTGAAGGGAAGCAGAGTTTCGAGCTGATGGCAGCGGCCCGCTAGACGTGAGGAATTTCCGTCGGGACCCTGCCTGGGGCAGTATCATTGTGCCCCGGTCGGTATCCACCCAGTGCGACAGGAAGTTGCTGCAGCAATTCTTTCGCACTTTCTTGGCCTGGGCACGACGAAGAGTTCTGTCAGCCGTCCAAACCGCATTACCATGCATGTAAAAATTATCGCTACCTGCGAGACCATCTCATCGGGCGCGGGTCTCAAGTCGTTCACAGAGCTTCAGCCCTTCCCTGCCTCGTCCTTTGGCACCAACGGCTGCGCGGCCAGTGGTGGCAGCGTGGTTCATGAAGCGGCCCTCGATGCATTCCCTGCGGCGCATTGATACACAGCGCGGGAGATTCCAGGGATGGGCTCACTTAAAAAAAAAGGCTGACACTCCGAACATCTCGGAACCATCGCAGATCTCCTACTTGCATGGCAAACCTAAAGAAGAACTGAATCTGGCCTGACACCCCCGGCATCTCTGTGGCTGGGTCGGCGTCCATGGGTATTGTAGGCCACGGATGCATTCATAAAAGGGATCCGCGCCAAAAAATGGCAGCTTCTTGCCACCTCTTTGAAGAAAAAACGGGGAGGGAGAGAGGGAGGGTCGGAAAGCCTGACACAGTGTCAGCTTTAAGGCTGTATGGCCTGTTGCCAGTAACTCTCCGCGTGCTAAAGCTTAGACTCGACTTCTTTCCACAGTTTCGCATACACTGGCTTGCTGGGACTGCTAAGTGGTAGCGACTGATAGACTAACACTGATACTCTACAAGAACTGCAATTCTCTGAGGCATCCATCATCACGAGCTACTTACCGCATAGACAAACAGCTGCGAAGGCCGAGCCTTGATCCGCCTGCCTGCAGAAGGACGACCGGATCCTACATGACTCGGACAAGGTAGCTTGTCTTCAGATCTGCGAGGAGAGCAGCCAGGAAGAGCCATTCGTGGGCAGGGACGTCACACTTCAGCGACAGATAAGCAACTGTCGAAGAGCACAGGCACTTTTCTACTACCACTCACCAGCACGGTGCTGATGCTGCTGCTGCTACTGCTGCTACTGCTGCTACTGCTTCCAGCACAACACTATGACCACGACAACGACTGGTTACCACCACTCCTCCCCTGCCCCTGCTTCTGCTTCTGCTTCTGCTGCTCGTGCTGGTACTGCGACGAGAACGCAGACGGACGACCACTACTGCTGCTGCTGCTCCTGCTTGTCTGCTACCCGCTGCTACCCGTGATGTAACGATAGTTGACTTTGCTGCCATCGGGATAGGGACATTGCTTTCCGATTGCTTCGCCCTGCCCACTTCCGAGAGCTGCGCATGGTCAGGAGGGGCGCCACGAGCTCCAACTGCCCGATGAGCACAAGAAGCGCCTCAACTTTCTTACTCGGGGCTTTGGGGTTTAAGGCAAGGAGTTGGGAATTCGGATCCAAAGCTTGGCAATTGGGGCGCCGGGTAGAGTTGAGCGGGTGTCGCTCGTAGTTCGACACTCGAAACCGACACGAACAGTGAGGACTTTTCGAGACACCGTGCCTGCCTTTCATAATCCAAAGCCTGAAGGAGAATCACCCGACAACACCAACCGAATCCGGTTTGCGAAGCCCTTTCCGAAGATCCAGCTGTTCCGAAGGAACAACCGCAGATCTCGTGATGAACTCAGAGTGCTGCTGTTTGCTTGAAAATCCCCGGCTCCGTATCCAAACTGCAGTCGTGCCACAGCAGCCAGGTAGGTGAACAGCAGCGCTCGGGTTGGCTCGCCGGAGGAACTCAGCGGCTCCAACACACGCAAGGCTGGCATCAGCCGGTCCTCGTGACAGTAGTCGCAGTGCAATAATAGCAGCAGCAGCAGCAGCAGCAGATGCAGCAGCAGGAGCAGTAGCGGCAGTAGCGGCACCAGCAGCAGGAGTAGCCGTAGCCGCGGTAGTAGCGTCCGTAGACGCGCTAGCAGTAGGTGCAATAGTGGCAATGGTGGCAGCAGTGGCGGTAGTAGCAGCAGTAGCAGGAGTAGCAGCAGTAGCCGCAGTAGCGGCAGTAGTAGCAGCAGTAGCAGCAGCAGTAGTAGAAGTAGCAGCTGGCAGTGGCAGTGGCAGTGGCAGTGGCAGTGGTACTGGTAGTAGTAGTAGTAGTAGTAGTAGTAGTAGTAGTAGTAGTAGTAGTAGTAGTAGTACCACCACCACACTCGCTGCGGACGGTGAGGTCGCATTGCGATGACTCGAGCGGGGTCACCCGGCGCACTGTGGCGCTCGATCTCGATTGGATCGACTCACCTAGCTACAGAGCTAGACTGCCCCGAAGGGCCTAGATGGAAGTTGCAGCACTCCTCATCCGGTAAATGAGGATATAACTTGTTTGGGACAAGGCAGCAGGGAGGACTGATTGTGCAGCACTGTTGTCTTCAGTGTAGTGCCAAGGGCCGGCATTTCCGGAACGAGGTTTGAGTGCAGCACGGTAATGCCCACTGACCGTGGTCGGTCCGATATGCTGGACAATCGCCTGAAGCTGATACGTTCTCCAAATGATACCTTCAGGGGAAGAGGGAGTCCATTGTGGGAAAAGGACTTCTGGATCAGCATCTATGCGATGGTCACGTTTGGATGCAATGCCCTGTTCATTGCGAAAGCGGTTGAGCTGTACAGCCACAGCTTCAGTACCTGCAATCAGGGCGTGGCGACGTTTCTGCGAATGCCAGCGATTGATGCAGGACTGGGCAGTGGTGGCAATTGTGGCAGAGGCATCTTGCATTCCTGAAAGTATGAGTGGGCAGACCCCGCCTTCATCTTGAAGCATGTGGCTGTCGTCAAAGGACTGCCAGAGGCCCTGGAAGCAGGGCGCATTGAGGACTTGGTGTAAGTGGAGGAGGAAGTCCGCTGCATCATGTTGCCTGGCTGGGTTGGACCAGCGTCGCATTGCCTGCCTCCACGGGAGGAGCGACCAGAGTGTCACTGGTTGTTGTTTGCGCGCCTGGGCGATGAAGCTCCTCAACGGTTCCCTGTCCAGTACCTGAAAGGAGGAGGGGGTTTGGGACACAAGCCAAAGATAGATAAAAAGGCAGGCATGGGAGTAACAGTAGTTGGAAGGATTGCGGAGCTGCAATGTCGGGAGCAGGGCTGAGGTCTCGGCGGCTGTCTCGGCATAGGGATGTGCATGGACTGGAGGAGGGTCTGCAGCTGTTGGGCCAAGGCTGATCGTTGGAGGCGATCCGGACGAAGGGTGCAACCGATCATCAGAAGAGAGGAATTGTGTGAAAGGAGCTGGAGCAGCTCCCAGAAGCGAGCCGTGTGCTCGCCCCTCCAGCCCACTTCCAATAGCCAGGTCACTGTGCTGCCTTCCATTTTCTCCTCCAGCTGGCGAGTGGCATGGAACCTGTTGAGCAGTTGCGGTTGGACACTCAGCGTCGCTAGCTCCTTGGCAATCTCCACCACTTTCTGTGCCGTGAGCGGTTCGCGATCGGGAATGGGCTGCATCACACCCTCCTTGTTGTTCCATTTGCGGTAGCCGAACCCCGTGGTCGGGTTGTAGAGCTCCATTTGAATCGCCTGTTCTCGGGCATCCTCCAGGTCGATGACCTTCTGGGCACGCTGAGACAGCTCGAGCATCAGTTTCTGCCACAGAATGATGCGCATCGGATGGGTGATGGATTCCGGGTCGTTCCACCGCAGCTCGTGCCATCCTTGGGCTGTGGCGAACAGCTTGGGGAGGACAGTGCCCGGGGGCTGAGTCGTGAGGAAGAGGATCCAGGTGGTGGATTGCTGGAGGACTGAGAGAGCGTCCTCGTGTCTCATGAGGAGTCTGGCCATGGTGTGGCACATGAGAGTGAGGTCGGGACCTGAAGAAGGCCCGTATCCCTGTCCTTGTCGCTGCCACGGGGGTTGGGGGTAGTATCCGGAGGGGCGACCTCCTTGACGTCTTGGCGGGCCTCCCTGAGGTGGAGGGCGGTTGGCAGGGTTCTGTTGGCCCTGGGCTCCACGGCCTGTTGAGCCCTTTCCCTTGCCTGGTTGGGTGGCTCCTTTGCTGTTGTCCCTCTGCCATTTGGACGGTCTGTCGGGGACTTCCGTCGATGGGGGATTCGAGGAGTCCGGCATGCCTCCCTGAGGTGGGGGTTCGCTCATCAGTGTCGTTGGGGCCATCAGGGGCTGGGGCTGCTTGGGTATCAGCCGGACCTGCGCTTCGATGCTCTTGAGCTCCTGAGTGGCCTCTTCCAGGTCTTCCGGGCTCACTTGGTGCGCATTGAACATCGAGGGGAGAGTCATCGCGGACCTGAGGCAGGTGGTTCGAATGATGTTGCGCATGCGTGGCCTGTAGCAAGTGAACCAGAAACAGAACTGCGCACTCAGTGGCGTGCTTGATGGGCGCTCCTGTTAGGGTAAGGCTGCAGTAGCGACAGGTGCTACCAAGGGCCAAAAGCCTGCGGTGGGATTGCATGCGCTGGACTGCCTCTTCACAGCAAGGGATCATTGGGGAGTGTTTGGCTTTAATATGAGCTCGAAGGCCACGCGCTTGGGTCAGCCACTGGTGACAGTACGGGCAGTGATGGACTGCCTGAGGGAGCATCTTTTTCAGCCAGGAGGCGAGCCTTTCCCAACTTCCGACTAGGTAAAGCTGACATTCAGGCCTGTGGTACAGTGGAGTCGGGTTGAGATTGTGTTTTGGGGGTAGGGCGTTACAGCCGTCTGGGACCAAAGTTCGGCAGGATTTGGTGGAGATGTGTATTCGTAGGTTATGCCACGAATCACACTGTCGGAGGCAGTGTCGACACTGTGGGAGACCTTCTCGACCATGCTGCCAAACAAACAGAGCATGTTCATCTGCCGCGAAGTCAGGTAGCGAGGCCTGGGCCGTGGTAGCATCTGGGTCCATCATGACGGCTGGAGTAGAGGAGGCGTGATCTGGGTCCGGAACCTGAGCAGGAGCTGGGCGCAGGTCCGAGGAGGCAGGTGCCTGTCGAACTTGAGTGTGATGGGACTTCCGCATGTGGAGACGGACGGCCTGAAGGGTGCTATAGCCAACTCCGCAGATTGGGCAGTTGAGTGGCCGATAGCTGAGAACGCTGCTGATGGGCTTGAGGTGGGCGCGAGTAGAGCCTCCCCGAGAAGGGGTCATAGAGGCAGAGGGGTCGGATGCAGAGACAGCAGGCGTCGTCGAGTAGTCCTGCAGCAGATCGAACCAGGTTTCCTGCGCCGCAGTTGGAAACTCCGGGGCTTGTTGGAGATGTCGTTGAGTAGTAGTAGTAGTAGTAGTAGTAGTAGTAGTAGTAGTAGTAGTAGTAGTAGTAGTAGTAGTAGTAGTAGTAGTAGTAGTAGTAGTAGTAGTAGTAGTAGTAGTAGTAGTAGTAGTAGTAGTAGTAGTAGTAGTAGCAGTAGTTAGTAGCAGTAGTAGCAGTAGTAGCAGCAGGAGTAGTCGTTGTTGTTGCTGGTGTTGTTATTGGCGTAGTCGTAGTAGTAGTAATAGTAGAATCGGGGTAGTACTAGCAGCAGCACTACGAACTGCTGGTGGTGGTGCTGCAGCTGCCATTACTGTGACACGTGCTGGCTTTCAACTCCCGGGATCATGATTACAGCCACATCGTGAACGGCTAGATGTGCGTCCTTGGCCATGTTCTGCAAAAGCCGCGGCGCCACGATCAAACATTGCAGCGACTGGCTCAAAGAGGCCAGGATGATGCCTGAAGAATGCAGTTGGGGCTTGCAGGGCTTAGGACTCTGGGGCTTAGGGTTAGCATGTGCTCTTCTTGTCTACGAGATGCGGAAACGCGCTAACACGATGAAGAAGCCAACAGAAACATGTTTGTTGATATGCATGCGATATGCATGAACCCACAGTCCATGCTTCAAGCCTCGCAGCTGCATTCTGAGTCCTTCAAGAGGACACGCAGTTGAAAAGTCCAGAGGGGGAGGTCCAGAGTGCAGGCATCCCGCTACCTTAAACTCCAAGCCACCGATGAAGGCCGAGTTGGGGAAGGGATTCCACACAACCTGGGTGGCAGCTGCGGCTTGACGGAGGCAGTTCTTTTCTACCTTCTCGCGTATAATATGCACATACATTCATACATGCATGCATGCATACACACATACAGACATTCTCATATACTACAGTTCCGGTAGAACTGTATAACGACAGCACGCATGTCTGCATGTGTATACTCCGCAGTTTGCTAACAGGCCCAACAGTTTGCTGGTGTAGCGGTCCACAAGTTGTTGACGTCTAGGTGGCAGGTGCAACTGCTCCATGAAGCCACACTCACAGCTGAAGCAAACCCACCACAAAAGGTCAAGGACAGTGAAGAGTGGGAAGCGCTTCTGGAGTCAATCCCCTACTTGACACCAAGCCATAGCCGCCAGAGCTGCAAGCCATCGGCTAGCGGAGATTAGCGGAGATTCAGCAAGGGAGCGGTCTGAACGATGTGCCGGCTTGCCTCCGGAGAAATACCTGCACTCGAGAGCCTGCCAGGGTCGGATACGTGACTTGCAAGGTTCATAATTGACCGCCTGGGCTGTCCGAAGAACAAACCTGGAGCTTCAAGGAACGGGAACCTTGAATTCGATAGGATTTCAGCTCCGCCAGCATCAAACAATCATGCTCGCTGCCTTCCCCAAGGTTTGGAAGCATCCGTCCGATTGTGGAGTTACTACGGCGAAGAAGCAGCTCAACCATGCTCTACAAAGTCTCGGCAAGCTTCGAAAGTAAAACCTGCAAAGACACGCCCCAAACCCGACAACAAGTAAGTACAGTTGCTTCCGATGGGCCTCCGTCCATGATGCGGCTCGTGGCCCAGGAAGTCACCCTTCAGGTACTTATCCTTGGCTACACTGCCGTAGAGAACACCGAGCCGTGTGAGTCGGTGTCATCCGGTACAGAATGGTAGTGTCCCGGGCTGAGCTTTAGCTCAGGTACATACACACATACATAAACACAATACATACATACGTACATACATACATATACTAACCTTTCTGCTTGTATACACATGCATCATGCATATATATATATATAAACATTTTATGTACATAATTATGCAGATATACATATATACATGTACGAATGTTTCTGGATCTCCTGTGCCATCCCAAGCCGGAATCGCCAGAAGGCCAATTACTTCCAGAGTGCAGAGCCCCCAGCCCGAAACCCAACTACAATTCACGATAGAAACATACTCTTGTCTACCTGATGCGCACTTCACCCGAAATTCCCAGAAACGACACTCGACGACCAGACTGATGAAACTAAACCCATCAAGGTTGGTCAAGGTCTCCGACGCCACTGAGCCCCACAGCAGGAAGAAGGAGGAGTAGAGGACCAGGCTAAACCTGCTTCCCGGAGCTTTGCTTTCCAAAGGTTTGGGATTTAGGGGTGTCCGGTTTCAGTGCGAATGGCTCCGTGACGAGCTGAAGTGTAGCAGTGTAGCAACTAAGGAGTTGCGAATTGGGATTCTGGGGGTTGGGCGTTCAGGGACACGGGGCTGCAAGTTCACTGTTGAGGAGGATCCTTGCAAAATCATGCCACAGCTTACCATATGATCGAGTCCGGTATAACGTGACATACAGTAATCAAGCGCCGCACTATACTATGCTACATGGAAAAATGAACCACTCAATCTGATGCGACCTACCAATCAGCGGATAAATCAGAATAATGTGTGTAGTCTAGGTTTGGTACTGTAATGACCGTCAAACCGTCGTCCAACGCTGAAGCCACAACAAGACCTCGATAATTGGAATAGGGCTTTCAGGTATTTTGCAGTACACTTCGATGCAGGGACAATAGTTCACAAACTCTAAAACCCTACCTCTCTGCGCCGCTCAAGTCGAGCAGAACAACTAAAAACTGATAAAGCTGCTGGAGGTTGCAATTAAGCCTTGGGTTTCAAACCTTGAAACCGTGTGTTTGCGGCTTTTCCGTTGGGTGCTTGCCAGCACCAGCACGCAGATTCTTGGTGGAGTCGCAGGGTCGCCGAGTCTTCGTGGGGTGGAGCGTAGCCACAAAATTCACAAATCTGAACCCCATAACGGAAACCCCAACCAACCCCCCCGGTTGCAGCAGCGGTACAGGATCGCCGCAAAGGTTCCCAGCCGGATGTTGCGGGGAGGGTCCTGCAAGTGGATTTAACTTTTAAAAGGGCTTCACGGTTTCGGGTTTAGGATTTTGGGGTTTGGGTGTTCGGGAGTTTTGGGGCTTTGATTCTTAAACTACTTAAACTCTTCACTTCGGACTTCTGTGTGAAGAGACCTCTTCAAAGCTTAAGGCTTACAGTTCAGAGAAGCAGTACACGCTTACCTTAGTGAGCCTTAGTGCACTGAGGGCGGCAGGGTTGAGATTTGATGGCAGGGTTCACGGGTTACGGTGTTCAGGGCTTGAGAGACTGTGAGGATCCAAAGAAGAAAGCATCCCACCGCAGAAGAAGAATCCCTAAACGAAGCTCGAAGCCCAAGAACCCAAAGGCTTTCAGGAAAAGCCCTCCAAATCTGAACCCTGAACCTCACAAAGGAAGGCTCCTTCAGCACATCAGCTCTGTTCGCACCACTCAGGATGCCTGCTTTGGGGTTCTGGCGTAGGGGCGCCGCCTTGAGGTTGGAGGAATTCAGCTTACGAAGAGCATGTCGACTCAACAGATAAAGCCCGTTGAAGTCTTGGAGAAGCACCGTATATATCCCAGATGTGATATATGCCTATATACATACAAAGTATGTATTATGTATACGTATATGTGTATGTATATATATATATATACTACTTCTATACATATATGCGTACGTATGTGTGTATATGTATATGTATATGTGTGTATATATATATGTATATATATATATATATGGGCACCACGGGCTCGACCTGGAAGGAGAAACCCGGGAAGAGAGCCAGGACTGCAGGCCAATACCCTAGCGGCTGCTGCCTTCACTCACCCCTAATGCGAGGATGACTTTTCACACTGCTTTGGAGACACAGACAAGCGTCCCCATCTCCTGAAGCCCCAACGACCAAAAGTTGTAAAGAAGAGCAGCTGCGAGAGCGAACCAACCACCCCCAGCTCAGACGCGGGAGGCCTGTGAAGCATGGGTAGAACAGGCTGAGAACCACCCCGAAGTTGATGCCCGGGTCGTAGTGAGGGCCCCAGTTGGCTTGAAAAGTCTCCTCGGCCACAGGGAACAGGAAGCACCCCAAAGGATTCAAGCAGTTACGCTTGGGGAAAGTTTAGAGACCGGAGAAGCTCTCAGCAAAACTTCGCGGATATTGCTTTACTGTTTTGTCTGCAGCTGCATAACCCCGGAGTACAAACTCAGCCTTCTCTACAGTACATTACATCGCGTTTCATTTACCCTACACCACACTACAAACTATATCAAACAATAAACACTGTACAACAAAACATGAGATCATGAAACAAACTAACAACCAAACATAAAATGACATATCTTGCTATAACGTTATGTATCAGGATGTGACACTATATAACATAATATAATAAAACATGATGTAACACAAATTCACAGTCATATCGCATATGGTATGACATGGTATGGCTGGGCATGACATGGTATGGTATGATAAGATATGATATGATATGGTATCGCAACTATGATATGACACGGTGCTATGATACGACATGATCAGATAGGACACGACAAGACATGATAAGGGATGACAGCAGAACCGAAGAGCAGATTGTAATGGAATGCAATGGAGTAGACCAGAACTGATTCGGATTGGTATCATGCATTAGAGTATAGTAAAAACAAAAAGTAGAATAGCATATAGGCATCTACTCTAGTCTATAGTGTAACATGAATCAGGGTATAGTACGTACAGTACAGTATGGTATCCGTATATGTAGCCGATGCAAGTGCGCTGGTGAGCCGGGCGAGGCTCCCAGCTGAGGCCCGTGATCATCTCGCTTCCAGGACTTAGCCCATCTGAGGGTCCTGCTTTGCGTTTAGGGTTTGGGGTTTTTGTAACTTGTAGGGTGCAGGTTTTAGAGTTTAGGGTTTAGTAACTTTTAGGGTTTAGGCTTGCTGCGAAGGCACGGTTGATGCATCAGGGTTTCGGGGTACAGGCGCCTTGAGGCTTAGCGCATATCAAAATACGCTAAGGAACAGGATTGTTCATTGCCCCGGGTCCTCTATCGGGGCTGCAGGGTTGCTTGGACGTTTTTTGACGGCGCCGAAGCAAGGTTCACTCTTGGGCTCGAAGCTTACAGCAAGTAGGGCAGCAAACGGGGAAATGAAGACAGAGGTGGCTGTAGGGCTTCGCTTGCTTCTGTCTAAGCTCTCCAGTCCTCGGCTGGATACACCTATCCGCACTCACGCACACACACATGGACACGTACACACACGGGGAATTGCCCAGATTTGCATACACGATATTCGACACACAGCGTTATAGACAGAATCAAGCACGCAGAGCAGACAATCGACATAAAGAACTTGCCAACTCCTTCGGCAAATCTGCTCAAAACCCAATTTGGTGACCCGTGAGTGATGGCTTCGACAAGGCCACTGTTGAGAAGGACTCAAGCCGTCCCCTTGCACCCCCAGAAACTTTGTTGAGGCCCTGCGGCCTGCTGTTAACCCCCCCAGTACGGGTTTTCCCAGGTCCTCGGCACTAGGTCTGACTTTGAAGGACCCCTGAAAAACTATGGTTACATAAGTCGGTTGACACCCAAATCGGCACAGGTAGTGACAACATGGCCCCCCGAATGTCTTGACAATAGCAGAGCAGTAGTCACATGCCCGTCCCCAGTGACCCAGTGCAGCCCTCAAGCCCAGCATGTCCAGCTTGGAAAAGGCCAAGATAAAAGCTGAACAGCGTGTAGACCACCACCAGCGCGAAAAAAAGGCCGAGTTTGGTCACGATGTTGATGCCTGGACATTTCAACAGGAGAAGCCACGGCTCCTTGTAGGAGTGCGAAGCACCTGGTGTCCCCCAGTGAAAGCTGGACCACAAACGCTGCGATTAATCTTGAGAACCGGGGATCAGCCCGCATCTTCCAGCCTCCCCATACCGCCAGCGCCAGCGTGGCCATCAGCCCTGAGCCGATCGCCTTCGGAATTCAAGGCTGTCAACATGGGCAGCGACTCCAAATTCTCCACACTTTCTCCACCATCAACGACAACCATCACCCGCAGCGTCAGAATCATCAATTTCATCATCATTGTCTGTCGTCACGGTGACTGTCTTCATGACTACCAGAATCATCGCACCATTGTCCATCATCACCTGATGATCATCAACGACATCACCCTCGTCCTCACCACAGCCATAGCTGTCATCATGGCAGTCAATATCATGAACCTCATCATCAGCATCATCATTCGCCCTTGTCTTTACCATCATGATGTTCATCCTCGTCATCTCCACGTCATCGACCTTCCCGCGGGCCTGTCGGTATCCAGGGAACTGAACCGATGGGGCCGCCATAGCCAAAGCCTGGTGGTGCAGTTCCTTTTCAAATTTCCGGGTTGCTGCATGCGCTCTTACCAGGGTACGTAGTGTGAGTGTTCGTATGAGGAGAAGGACAAGGATATCGCTTTTCGGATCCTGTCACCAGCTCTGATGCTCACTGTACGCTTTGGTGCCCGGTCTGCTGTCGTGACTGATGCCCCAATCTTGCATAGGATATTGGGTTGTCCTGTCCAGCTCTCGCAGCAGCCAAAAGCTCGAATTTTTGCCGCGGTTTGCGCCAATATGTTGCCTTTACAAAGCCAGACCCTGCGCGTACAAGCATGTGGTAGTCATGCTCAGTGTTTCAGTGTTTCACCCTGCTACAAGTGAGACTTTGAAACGACCAGCTCAAGGGCCTAAAGCCCCAAAAACCGCAAGCCAGTCCCAGAGCCCCCCCGAAGACCAGAACTGCATCTCTGCTGACACTGCTTTGCCTTAGGTAGGCTGTTTCGTTCCCGCCTCCACCGCGCCAAGGCACTCTAGGACCTCCGTAGGAAAGGCTTCGAAACTTCGGGGCTCAACACTGGAGTCGGACTTTAGGTCGGTGGGGGTTGCATAGGGGAGTAGATGCAAAACCCTGCGCCTATATGTGCACATACACAAAGGCACGCCCAAGGGCGGCAACGAGCGCGTGAGTTCAAAATGCATACACGCATATGCGTCCATGGATCGACGCGCTGATGGTGGCGCTGTGTATCTGCAGTCTGCCCCTCTCTTTGTCTCTCGCTCTGGTGTCTGCGCGCGTTTTGCTCAATATCCGAGTCTCCGGCAGAAAGCATGGTGATCGCGAGCCAGTACATCACGCCGATAGTGGCTCCGACTACCGGTCCTGTCAAAGAACAGAAACCAGACTTCAAACCTCATCGCGGGAGGCTGTTCTTGCAATTCATGCGAGCCCCGCTGCAACGGGTATGCTTGAGGATCGATTGACTGCAACGTTGAAGCTCCAGACACCGCCTGATATAACATCTCCCCCCTCCGTGCAGCACCTATCACATCTCCCCTACGGCCCTACGGGGTTCAAGCAGAACTGGCAGCTTCCACATCTCACCGTTTCGCTGCGTCATGTAGTTGCACAAGCATGGCTTCAATATGCTTCAATCATACGGACCCTTAAGCGGGCAGCGGGAGGGGGGGTAGGGGGCCTTATGCCCATAATAAGCACTTAATACGGCCCATTTAAGGAAGTATAATCCCCTATCCCCCCCCTCCCCCTGACCCGCCCAAAATATCCCTATGATTCAACAGACCCCCTTAACGTCCTAGCGCGCGCGAGATCATGTAGTAGGGGCCGCCGGAGCTCACGAGCCCCCCCGAGGAGGCGATGGAAGACATCGCCTTTTCAGGGGTCTCTCTTGAATTCTTTTGTTGACCACCTTTTTCCCTCCGCCTAAAGTCTTAGGAACCAGGGATTCGCTTTGGGGTTTAGGGTTGAGGGACTTATGGTCTTGACACGGGCCAGGGTCTCTCTTGAAGGCAAGATGGGAGTTTCCGAAAATTAGGGGTACCTTAACTGTGGGGTCCCTATGATAAGGATCCACTATTCAGGGTACTATATTGGGGTCCCCTATTCTCAGAAAGATGCGGGGCTCATGATCCTGACACAGGCTAGCTAAGTCTGGCCCGCGAAGCCTACAATGCCTACAAGTGAATTTGTGCCTGACTTCGTTGATGGTAATACTTCCTTCAGCTCTCAAAGGACCACCCTCTCAGCCGGTCCCCACCCCGCCGCTGAAAGTTGTCTGCCACAGCAATTTGGGATCCTCAACTTTGAACCCTCTTTCGCAACAGCTGATGTAAATAATTAATTAATGTTGTGGGAGTTTAAGCTACTAACTCAAGACTCAAGGCTGCTACTCGTTGTTCTACAAGGCGCCTTAGAAGCCCGGAGCTCTCAAACCCGGGAACCTAAACCGCTGGATTGGTAGCAAGCCACAGCTGTCGTGCAAAAGGCCGCGGCAAAGGAAAGTCCGACGGCGCACAATGTTTGCCAGATACCGGCCTGTCCCACCTGGGCACTTGCAAAGCCTTTGGGCTGCCATGCGACGACAACAAACCAGCAACGACGACGACGACGACGACGACCACCATAACATCAACAGCAGCAGCAACGACGACAGCAACAGCTACAGCTACAACAATGCACTACGACTGCGACTGCTTCTGCTACTGCTGCTGCCACTGCTGGTGCTAGTGCTGCTCCTGCTACTGCGGTTGCAGCTGCTCCGGCTGTTCCTGGCGCTCCTGCTGCTGCTACTGCTGCTAGACAGCTTAAAAAACAGATACCATCAACATCACTTGGGGAGGAGGCTAGAGTCATCGACACAGAATGCAGCCAAACTTGATTTGACGGCTGCTCAAAACACCTTAGCGCAACGGATCTGTTCCATGCTGCTGCCAAGATGCGATGTAGTAGAACCGCAAGAATATCAGTACGCCCCACATGTTTTCCTGGGATGTTTCATGTACTGAAAGTGCACAACTCGGGTCAAGGGGGGCCTAACAGGCATAAGCTTACCGCCAGGCGCAGCCCAGTGACGGGGAACCAGAGCATCTACGCTCCTACAAGTAGAAACCATCAGACTCAGACTCTCGCCCCAGACCCAGAACAGGGTGCAACCCCACATAAGTCCGCCAGCGGGCGCATGTCGGCACGAAGACGCCACTCCTGAGATCTGCAACAGTCAATCCAAAAAAGCTTTCCTGCCCCGGTTCTGGACGCCGCGAAGATCCTCTGGTTCTGAGCACCGTCCAAGACTTGTCCACAGTCTACACTTGTTCTCGCCAACAAGGGTTTTAGCAACTGACATTACAACTCCAATTCCAAACTCGGGACAAAACGCTACAGCTGCTCCCCTGGACTGCCCAAGCGTCAAAGCACCCTTCTTGTCTTTCTTTGGCTGCTGCATCTGGACACCAGACTTGTGATTCTTCAGGTCGGCGCTGGTTGAAATCACCTCAAACAGCACGCTTTTTGTCCAAGACTGACCGGTGTTGCCTTTGAAGGCGGTCTTCTTATTACGGTTGTGCGCATGCCCGGCGCATCCCACCGTTCTGACTGCAGTTGCCATGCTGGCTATTGTAGTCTATGCCATGGTCAGTGTTGCGCTCAGAAGTCTTGATGCTCAGTGCAGTGCCTCGTTGCCCAGAAACCTCGGCGTATTGGCAGCGCCCCACGACCTGCAGAGAATAGCCCAAATTTACACTCAAAGCCACTTCTGTTGGGATCCCTGTCCCCTAAAACCTGATTATTTTACACTAAACCCTAAGCCCCAACCCTAAGCGTAAACCCTAAACTACTACCAGCAGGAACGTACGATTTGCTATGCCTTGGCAGCGCTTCACGTGAATGATTGCTTGATTGCTTTAGGTCACAACCACAACCACAACAACAGCAAGATCCGAAAATCACAAGCTCAAGAGAGAAGAAAATAAACCACAAGACAGGCTGTGCCTGCTCCAGCGGGGAGCATCACTCTCCTCTGTGAAGGTGGACTTTCGACTGAAGCTCACCTCGTTGAAGGGCTGCTCTAGCTGGAGGTTAATTAAGGTAATCTATGTATGGTTCACCACGACAGGCAGGTAGACATGAATATTTGTATATGTATCAGTATCTATATCGATATCTATATCTACATCTGTATGCGTACACATGTATACGACATATGTGTATGTGTATATATATGTATATGCACATATATGCGTGTGTGTGTGTGTGTGTGGGTTTGCATACACATGTGTGTATATATATATATATAGATGTGTGTGTGTGTGTACACACCCGTGCCTGTATGTCTGTAGGGATATTCATATATAGTATAGATGTATGTACTGTGCACACATCCATAACCGTACGTGCCACACACATGTGTGTTTACATATGTATATATGCACATGGTACTGGTACTTGTAACACCTTGCAACCGTATGATGATGTATCTGCATGTCCAGAGAGAGAAAAGCCAGGAAAAGGGAGAGACCAATATCGACATACGAAGATAGATAGATACCATGGAAAGATGGATGGATGGATGGATGGATGGATGGATAGGCACAGGGATAGGTAATGGGGGATGTTTAAGTAGGTAGACAGATAGCCACATACATACTTGCGTATGCTCATTCATTCACTACATCAAATTTCACCAAATACTGTACCATTCCATACTCTTGCAATACATACCACTACATGCAGTGACATTACATTACACCGCACTGCATTGCATTACATTGTGTTGCATTGCATCGCGTTGCATTGCGCTTAATTTCCTAGCATGTGCGCGAACCTGTACGCATACATTACTTTGGGCATACCAAATGCATGCATACACGCATGCGTGCACGACTGAAGGCAGCTCGGCTTGTACATTACACCGTATTACACGCTGCACTTTTGCATTCGATTATCGCGTAACCATTGGATTGCAATGAGTCACGCTAAGGTGCATTGCATTATGGCATTATGGCATTACACACAGACATGCATTGCACATGGCATACACACATGCATGCATAAAGGCAGCCTGCCTGGTTGCACAACACAATGCAGTACAGCGCAATTACATTGCTCTACATTGCTAAATCACATCAAATCACAATACAAGGCATTACGCTACATCATATATTAGTTTTCATTGACTTATCTTGGGTCTTGCGTTACATTCAGCTCTACCAAACCAACAAGTGGACTACACAGATGGCACAGTAGATAGCACTGGTAAGTCCTCGGTCTTCAAGGTTTTTGCGAAATTTCCCAAGTCACTTAACCCTGAAATTGAAACTGCAAACTATGTAAAGCTGCTGCTGCACTTGGCTTGGATATAGGTCATCGAGTTACGGGCTATAGTCGCATATGTAGGTTCGGTTGAGGTTAGGGCGGTGGGTTTGAGCATCCCGCCTCCAAGTTGGGCCTTAGAATCAGCAGGGCTTCTCAATGCGGGGTCCGTTCAGGGTCTGGAAGTCTGGCAAGTTGTTTGGGGGAACTATCCCGCGTGAGCGGTCCTTTCCCAAATCACATCCCCCCCGACCCCCTTGCCTCCTGGGACGCTGGCAGCGCATCCTTCTCCTCAGTTGCACGGCTATCCGCCGACCCCGGTCCCGGTCGGCGCCAGGAGAGGGTCCTTGCCCACCCCCGCGCCAGGCGAGGCTCCTTGCCCACCCCCAGGTTTCCCGGTTCCTAACCCTTGCTATGTGTCTGTATGCCCGCCCTCGGTTTTTGGACTGGACACGCCCGCGACGCCGCCCTTGCCGCCCCCCCCCCTCGGTTTCTGGACACGCCCGCGACGCCGCTCTTGCCGCCCCCCCCCCCCCTGGCTCTGCACCCCCCCCCTTCCTGCGCCGCTGCCACGCGTTGCCGCCCTTTCAGAAGGTTTGGCTTTGCCCCCCCCAAGGTTTGGCTCTGCACCCGCCCCCCTCCCCCGGCTCTGCACCCCCCCCCTCTCTTTTTACTCGAGTCTATCTACTATATCTATTTGATTTCTATGCTTGCTGCTCCAGCACGACCACCGCCCCTCCCCAAGCTTTTCTGCACCCGCCCCCCCCGCCCCCTGCCTTTGCACCCCTCACACGCCCACGCCGCTGCCCCAAGGTTTGGCTCTGCACTCGCCTCCCTCTCTTTCCACCCCCCCCAAGGTTTGGCTCTGCACCCGCCTCCCCCGGCTCTGCACCCCCCCCCTCTCTTTCTACGCGATTCTATCTATATCTACTGTCTATTTGATTTCTATTCTATTGCCGCTCCAGCACGACCACCCGCCGCACACACAACACCGCCCCTCCCCAAGCTTTGGCTCTCCACCCACCCCCCTCCCCTTGCCTCTGCACCCTCACCCGGACCCGCCCACGCCGCTGCTCGAGTCTATCTACTATATCTATTTGATTTCTATGCTATTGCTGCTCCAGCACGACCACCCGCCCCACGCGCGACACCGCCCCTCCCCAAGCTTTTCTGCACCCGCCCCCCCCCCCCCCCTGCCTTTGCACCCCCACCCGGACACGCCCACGCCGCTGCCCCAAGGTTTGGCTCTGCACTCGCCTCCCACTCTTTCCACCCCCCCCAAGGTTTGGCTCTGCACCCGCCTCCCCCGGCTCTGCACCCCCCCCCCTCTCTTTCTACGCGATTCTATCTATATCTACTGTCTCTATTTGATTTCTATTCTATTGCTGCTCCAGCACGACCACCCGCCCCACGCGCGACACCGCCCCTCCCCAAGCTTTGGCTCTGCACCTATCTACTACACCTATTTGACTGGACACGCCCGCGACGCCGCCCTTGCCGCCGCCCCCCCCTCGGTTTCTGGACACGCCCGCGACGCCGCTCTTGCCCCCCCCCCCCCTGCGCCGCTGCCATGCGTTGCCGCCTCGCCTCCCTCTCTTTCCACCCCCCCCAAGGTTTGGCTCTGCCCCCGCCTCCCCCGGCTCTGCACCCCCCCCCCTCTCTTTCTATGCGATTCTATCTATATCTACTGTCTATTTGATTTCTATTCTATTGCTGCTCCAGCACGACCACCCCCTGCACGCGCGACACCGCCCCTCCCCAAGCTTTGGCTCTGCACCCGCCCCCTCCCCTTGCCTTTGCACCCTCACCCGGACGCCGCTGCCCCAAGGTTTGGCTCTGCACTCGCCTCCCACTCTTTCCACCCCCCCCAAGGTTTGGCTCTGCACCCGCCTCCCCCGGCTCTGCACCCCCCCCCCTCCCTTTCTACGCGATTCTATCTATAACTACTGTCTATTTGATTTCTATTCTATTGCTGCTCCAGCACGACCACCCGCCCCACGCGCGACACCGCCCCTCCAAGCTTTGGCTCTGCACCCGCCCCCCTCCCCTTGCCTTTGCACCCTCACCCGGACACGCCCACGCCGCTGCTCGAGTCTATCTACTATATCTATTTGATTTCTATTCTATTGCTGCTCCAGCACGACCACCCGCCCCACGCGCGACACCGCCCCTCCCCAAGCTTTTCTGCACCCGCCCCAGACACCCACGCCGCTGCCCCAAGGTTTGGCTCTGCACTCGCCTCCCTCTCTTTCCACCCCCCCCACACCCGCCTCCCGCGGCTCTGCACCCCCCCCCTCTCTTTCTACGCGATTCTATCTATATCTACTGTCTATTTGATTTCTATTCTATTGCTGCTCCAGCACGACCACCCGCCCCACGCGCGACACCGCCCCTCCCCAAGCTTTGGCTCTGCACCCGCCCCCCTCCCCTTGCCTTTGCACCCTCACCCGGACACGCCCACGCCGCTGCTCGAGTCTATCTACTACATCTATTTGATTTCTATTCTATTGCTGCTCCAGCACGACCACCCGCCCCACGCGCGACACCGCCCCTCCCCAAGCTTTTCTGCACCCGCCCCCCCCCCGCCCCCTGCCTTTGCACCCCCACCCGGACACGCCCACGCCGCTGCCCCAAGGTTTGGCTCTGCACTCGCCTCCCTCTCTTTCCCCCCCCCCCCAAGGTTTGGCTCTGCACCCGCCTCCCCCGGCTCTGCACCCCCCCCCCCTCTCTTTCTACGCGATTCTATCTATATCTACTGTCTATTTGATTTCTATTCTATTGCTGCTCCAGCACGACCACCCGCCCCACGCGTGACACCGCCCCTCCCCAAGCTTTGGCTCTGCACCCGCCCCCCTCCCCTTGCCTTTGCACCCTCACCCGGACACGCCCACGCCGCGCTCGAGTCCATCTACTATATCTATTTGATTTCTATTCTATTGCTGCTCCAGCACGACCACCCGCCCCACGCGCGACACCGCCCCTCCCCAAGCTTTTCTGCACCCGCCCCCCCCGCCCCCTGCCTTTGCACCCCCACCCGGACACGCCCACGCCGCTGCCCCAAGCTTTGGCTCTGCACTCGCCTCCCTCTCTTTCCACCCCCCCCCAAGGTTTGGCTCTGCACCCGCCTCCCCCGGCTCTGCACCCCCCCCCTCTCTTTCTACGCGATTCTATCTATATCTACTGTCTATTTGATTTCTATTCTATTGCTGCTCCAGCACGACCACCCGCCCCACGCGCGACACCGCCCCTCCCCAAGCTTTGGCTCTGCACCCGCCCCCCTCCCCTTGCCTTTGCACCCTCACCCGGACACGCCCACGCCGCTGCTCGAGTCTATCTACTATATCTATTTGATTTCTATTCTATTGCTGCTCCAGCACGACCACCCGCCCCACGCGCGACACCGCCCCTCCCCAAGCTTTGGCTCTGCACCCGCCCCCCCCGCCCCCTGCCTTTGCACCCCCATCCGGACACGCCCACGCCGCTGTGGCTCTGCACTCGCCTCCCGCTCTTTCCACCCCCCCCCAGGTTTGGCTCTGCACCCGCCCCCCTCCCCCGGCTCTGCACCCCCCCCCTCTCTTTCTACGCGATTCTATCTATATGCAAGGACTTGACAGATGCCTCGCAGATGGGAACCATGGATGCCCTCAGCGTCTGGCGTGAGGGATTCAAGAGTCCAGGGGCTGAGGGCCTGAGAATGGGGTCGGCGGCACTGGCGGCAGCCATTAAATCTGGCAGCGCTTCGCTGCCCTGTATGGACTGAGCTATGGCTCAGACGAATGGGCTTCGTCTGCGAAGCAGAAGCCACGACGGGTTGTGCCGCCGACCCGCCGCCGACCCCGCATCATCGGACCTCCGTTTCTCCATCGGGCCGCGCGGGCCCTGGCCCGGAGGCGTCTCGGAACGCGCACGCGCTTCGCAGCCATTCCCCACGGCATGGCGGGTTTCGGGGCCACCGTGGATGACCCCAGGAGGCGAGCTGGCGAGCATCATGAGCACTCGGGCGGCCGCAACCGGCGCCGGCGGCGCGACGTGGGCGCGAAGTCGTAACTCCCAAGTTTTTGAATGGGTTGCGGAAGCCCCCAAAGAGCGCGCATCATCAGCATCAGCGGGGTCCGGCGGACGGGGGTGCGGGCTACATGGAGGGCCGACGAAGGCTGAAAGGGTAAGAGGAGGGGCAAACAGAAGCCGAACCCAAACTCTCACTTCGGGCTGCTCTCTGCGCTGCCCGCCCGTGGGCGCAGCCCCTAGAGTTAAAAGCACTCGGAGGATCAAAGGACTGAGCAGCTGAAACTACTCTTGCTACTTCCACTATCATCACTACAACTATTACCATCACTGTTGTGCTACCATGAACCTCTTTAACAAGGATAAGCAAGATAGTCGCAGTAGTAATGAAAAACAACAACACCAACTGCTACTACCACTTCTACTGCTCCTGGTACCTATCCTTTTCACTGTTCCACCCACGGACTCCCTCTTTAGATACTTTCGTCTCCGTAGCCTCAATGGGGGTCCCGACTCTAGCCCTCTTGGCCACACCCACGCCAGACATAAGGAGGAGCTACTGGGCGCTGGGGTTATCTCACATCAGCTGGTGAGAATACACATCAATGCCGACAGACGCTGGTTTAGGGAGAATACACATCAGCGGGAAATTTACACATCAGAATTACCTAAACCCCATGTAGACGCTGGTTTCAAGAAGCACGCAGCAGGTAGGCCAAAGTGCCGGATTTGTTGCGGACGCTGAGGTATATACTACATTTGGAAGCATTCCAAGATAAGAAAGCAGTGCGTTTGTCAAGTAGACGCTGGGATTTGAAAGTGGCATGCTACTAGTATAAGACTGAGAGGATGCCTGAACCCGCCACGGAAGCATGAAAAGCAACCCTGAAAAATGGGTGGTGAGTAGGTCGCTATATTATAGTCCTACGCGAGTCCCGCGTGACCCTGCGCGAGTCCTGCGCGACGCAGATGTGAGCAGAAGACTCTTTGGGCTTCAAAAACCGACAGGCACAGACCGCACCAGTGCATATGTATACAGATGTCTAATACATAAGCTGCAATACACAAGCACACACTAGTGCGAAGATGAGCGCGCACAAGCCCGCTGACACTGACAAATGCGAGAGCGTGCTGCGGACGCCGAAGAATATGAAGGTGAAGATACAGAGCTTGATAAGATGATATAACGTTTATAATGCGTTCCCCGAAGTAGACGCCTTGCAGATGCGTAAAACACCCAGGTGATACGAGATAGCCCCGGGACCAAGTACCAAACTCGTAGACTTGTAGACAACTCTACGACTGCGCAATCGCACAGGTTGAAGTGCAAAGTTCAATACACGTCGTAAAACCGCAGAGACAAGCCAAGCATGTCTGCTGGAGAGATGCGCCGCTGTGAAACAATTAAGCACTTGCGCAAAGAACGGTGTACCTGCGCTATTCAGTCCAGCTTCAAGAGCTGCTGCCCTGCTTGCCATGGCTGTTGCATACCAGTTGCCAACTGTACTTCTGACTTGTAAAAGCTGACGTGTGAGGAGGTGCTGACTTGTTGAGAGCAATGTTGCATCTTGACGAGCTACGCTACGGGTTGATGCTTGAGTCGCAAGGCTTCGCCGGATATCCCAAAGTTGCAGGATCCATGCAAGGGGCCGAATGCGTGCTTCTCTCTCGCCCGCGTCGAGCAGGACACTCTTCACCTGCCGAGGCCTTGTCGAGGTCCCCTGTGTCAATAAGGGACTGCAGGAGCTTGTTGAACCTATCCGATCACAGGTAAACGAACACTGTTGATTCTGGCGACGACGATGACGATGATGATGATGAGCAGGATGAGGATGACGATGAGGATGCTGAAGAGGATGATGCTGGTGGTGGTGGTGGTGGTGGTGGTGGTGGTGGTGGTGGTGGTGGTGGTGGTGGTGGTGGTGGTGAGAATGGTGAGAATGGTGATGGCGATGTTGCTGAGCATCATGGCAACCATGATGCAGCATCGCTCAAGTCGTCTGCTAGCATCCTGCATCACCATAAACTAGTTGTTCCTAGTGTCCCTTTCTCCACCGACAGAAGGCTTGGTATCTACTGTAGTATTCCTAATAGTTTACTAGCGTCAAAGCAAATGCACACTGTCGACTCCTCGTACCACTATCGCTACCAACGCAATGACTACCGACACCACCACTGCCACATCACCACCACCACAACAACGACCCTCACCACAACGACATCACCACGACCACACGACGACGACGACGACGACGACGACGACGACGACGACGATAACGATACTGACGACAATGGTGACGATGACGCCGACGACCAGTGCTACCACTCCTACAAAGACCACTACTGCGACCGTTACGACTTTTACAACTACTACGACTACTGTTACTGCTGCAAGTCCTACTGCTGCTACTACCACTGCTACCACTATCACTGCTACTACCATTACATACGACTACACTACTGCCAGGAGTCCTGCTGCTATTACTACTGCTTCTGCTACAGCTACTGCTACGACGACCACGAATGCTGCCCCGACTGCCACTGGAACTGCTGGAGTTGCTGCGCTCCTGCCGCCTATCCGCTGGCTGGGCTGACATCTAAGCCCCGGACGCATCAACTTCTGGCACGTCGCCTTGGAACGGATCGGGGTAGCAGGTACAATCCGGAGGTCTTTCAATCGCCACAGGATCTTCCCACAATCGCATCAGACCGGAAGAGCGGGGCCTCGCTTGTGGTTCAAGTGGCTCATCCACCTTTCCGCCTCAGCCGTCGGGCACCCGAACTCGGCGCCTTAATTAGACCACACGATACGGAGGGACTACTCCTGGCTGGAGCCTGCGCTGAGATACTGGAAAGGGAAAGGAAATGATGCAGCGAGAGCTACAGGCTTTCATCCCTCGCGCAACAAGGGCTCTGGCTGGAGGAGAGGCGTCAATATGAATTTCAAAGCCGGATGCCCAGAACAATCTTGGAGCCCTGCCTGCTCCGTTTTGCCCTGGTTGGCACTAAACCGGACCATGCCGTTGCAGAGCTTCGAATGAAAGTCCCTGGCAAAATCTGCCAAAATTGGAAGTCGGGTCTCGAAGAGCGGGGCTGCGTTGTCAGTTCCGACACGGATTAAGCTCCCCTAGTTTGGCGTGTGGTCTTTTCTCGGTGGCTAAAACCGCTTCAGTTCAGGGATGGCTGTTGTCGGGCATGTTGCTGAGAGTAATTGTAGAGGGCAAGGGCGGTCTCAGATGCCTCTGAACCCAAATACACAAACCTAAAAACAGACAGGAAGAGAGAACCACATCCAAGCTCATCACGGTTAATCAACTCTTGTCCATCTGCATGTCCAGCATCCTTATAGGGTCGTGGTCAGCCAGGAGACGCCACTTCATCCGAGATACGACCCGCATTATGCCGGACAGATCATAAGTTTTATGTTCACACCTTTTCCCGAACATAAGTTTAGTTTAGGGTTCAGAGTATGATGCAACATGTGCCGGGGGAAGCTTGCAACACATCGTGGGCCTGCTCATTCTCTGTTGCAGCGCGTGGGCACCGCCTCTCCACTTCTTTCCCTCCGCCTGGGAAATTGTTTTGACCAAGTGGCTTCAGGACTCGGACACTCGTGAGTGGCTTCACCCACTGTGCTTCGCCCAACATGCAGCGTTAGACCACCGCAGTGAGGGAGGTGGGCTCTTTGTTCAACAAGCCTACGACCTACGACTAGCTGCGACTAGCTTCGGGTCTGAGGTAGTCCGAACTGACGGACTCAGAACTTCGAATACCCCTCAGGGCGGCACCGCATTGCAGGTGCCAGCCTCAGCTTCTCGTCCAAGCTGACCACAGTGATGGAACACACAGACGTGCAGCTCCACTCGTCCTTACCATGCCCGGCACCGGGGCCCTACAACCACCGAAGAACATTCCGTGGCATACCCAGAACAAGGCCTGAAGGCCGAGCTGAGGACTTAGCTCTTTAAGGGATGAGATCAGGCTCTGCTATCGTTGAGGCTTCTGAGCATTCCGGTCAGAACCTGAGCGCTCTCCCGGTTTCCGACGGGGCAGCGGCTAAGACGTCGGTGAGGCGTTGCCGCCCCTTCGCCAGAATTGCCTAAGACAGGACCAGGAGGTTGTAGAGCAAAGGCTGGCGAGCACCCGTGGCATGTCGGGTATGAGCCTACCTACCTATGTACCTAAGGTACACATACGGATCATTATGCTCTATAAGCATAATATGTTGATATAATTACACAGCTATACTTCTACCGTTCTTCCTGAACTATCAGCTTTAGAGCATGAAGCCCTCAACCCTCAGCCCTAAAACCTTCTAACACCCAACCCCCAACCCTCAACCCTAAATCCCGAAACCCTAAACCCTAAACCCTAAATCCTTAAACCCTAGACCGTCAACCCTAAATCCCTGAACCCTAAACCCTCAGCCCAAAATCCCTAAACCGTAAACCGTCAACCCTAAATCCACCACTCCATAAGGGACCGGCGCAGGAGACCTCGGTCCCCATGGGCTCGATCTGTCTCGCGCGAGCGCTTGGCCTCAAAACAGATATAACAGGGACTGCCATAAGGAGCTGAGTAAACGGCGTGTCACGGCTGTATCGCTTTAGTATGTTGGGGGTTTGAAGTTGCTTCTGGCATTTTCGGGCCTAAGTTTAGGGCTTCGGGGCTCCAGGGCTGCGGGTTTTAATTTACGGGTTTTGCAGGGCTGGTTTCGGGCTGGAGGGCTGAGGGTTTTGAAATTACCTTCTGAGGGGTCAGGATGAGTTTGGGGCGAAGGTTCGAACCATTAGCTCCCCCTCGCCACGTGGATCCCGCTACTGCAACCAAAAGCTGGGACAGTGGAACTCCATGCTTGCTATGCAGATTTCGTGAAGGCTTAATGCACTGGGCCGGAAGATCGCAAGATTGCAAAAGCCAGCTCAGTAGCTTCGGCTTCCGAAGTTTTGGACCTGTGCCAACGTCCCTACACCCGAACTCAGTTCGTCGCCTAAGTCTTCTCGAAACTTGCACATCAAGGCCCACCCGAAGCCTGAACCCTAAACCCTGAACTGGTCCTGGAACTGAAACCCGTAAGCCGTCCGAAATCCCTGCCGGGAAAGAGCTATTGCTCAGGCCAGCGCATCGCCACCTTCAAGCGCCGAACAGGGCCCCGGAAGGATTTACCCTTGTAGTACCTCCCATACTGACCCATGTAAAGCCCTGCAAAGGATCCCAGCCCTGCCCTTCTCTACAGGATCACTGCGGTAATGCGGCCACAGAAGCACGGCAACCGTCATGTCAGCTACATTTACCGTCGCTAAAGTGGCAAGAACGCAACTCATGGAAGATAGTAGCCGCAGCCAACACGATCTGTGCTGATATTGCTCATGCCAGGGTCCCTAAAGCAGCTGTCTGATGCTCCGCGGGCTTACAAATTATCCTAGGGCGGTCAGGGGCTTCGGTTTAGGGCTTTTCTTGTGCCGCCTTGGGCTCGGACTCTTGACACCGAAGTCGAGTTTCAGGAAGTCGAAAGCTCGAGGAGGGTTGCTATGACGTTGTGGGGCCCGTTCAAAGCAGGTATCGCATGTTCCGAAACGAAACGCAACCCGTTGCCGGAGCGATGTGCTGAAAACGTCCAAAGCAGTTCCGAAGCAACAATCCTGCACTATCGCTGCTGTGATGGTTCTGGAGTTAGGACATTTGACGGCAAACGGAGTACCTGTAGCAACATGCACTGACTAACAGTGGTTACTGTTACTGAGTAACTGTTCTTATCTGTTGCTTAGTACTCTTGTTGTGGTAATGGTTGCTTTTGTCATTTGTGTTGCACTAACAACAGGCACCCTGACCAGGTCGCTCCGCCTCCAGCGTAAGGCGTCGGGCACCACTTGCTCAAGGCTGCGACGACTCTAACGACTTGTGGTTCGTAGAGTTGGGCTAAAGTTCAGCGGTTGGCGGGGTTGGGGATAGGGCTGGGGTGCTGAGGAGTTGCGCATGAGGAGCTGGAGTTGCATTGTCTTCAGGCAGCTGGAGCCAGACGCGGGCGGGAAGCAAACGTTGCACCAACATCGAAGCCTTTCCGAAACCCGGGACCTAAGGAAACAGGTGTCCTACCTTCGGCCTGCCTTCAAGGGGCTTGATTTCATAAGTTCCTTACTCTACGAATCCTGCGGGGACATCACCGGACCGTTATTTCGAACAGCCGCCCATGGCAGGACGGATAGGTAGAGCTGCCGATGCCTTTACGATTAGTCGATTAGTTTATGCGGCTCGGGATCCTCCGAGGTTTCTCTAGTATCTGGTCTGTACCTTTGTGACAACTAGCGATCTCATCCTAGGCTCCTTCGTATCATTCTTGGTATCGACGTCTCCTCGACCATGTTAGTTCCAAAGGCTGCGACGACAGTGCTAACTGTGTTGACTATGTCTGCGGTCTGTGGCAATGAGTCTTGAAGCCCGAGGCCTTGAAACCCCAAAGTCTCTGCGAGGGTGACCGCAAGCCACTAAAGGTCTCGAGCATCTCCACATCGGATTGCTGCATGAACTCATGGGACGGCCTCTCCAAGCTCTTGGGAATGACTGCTCTAATCGCAGGTTCATCGTACATAGCGAACCATGGTAGACATGTAACATGATGACGATGCAGATGATGGACCTAGTGTTGTACCCCTCACAACCTTCTGCCACAAACAGCTGCCATCGTGAGTTTGATTGATCTCGTCTTCTGCGGCTAGACTTTCCTATGCACAGGGCCATTGTTGGAGGTGAGGGACGCGGACGTGGGTTATAACCTCAACCCCACAACCACCGCCATACCACTTCGACTACCACTACGAGAACCACCGTCACCGCTGCCGCAACCATCACCTGCGGCACTAATTACTACCAAACTCAACAACATTATGATCATCGTCCTCGTCATCCTCTTCTTCGTCACCACCGTCACCATCGACATCATCACATTAAACACCAGTCTCTTCAGGCCAACGTAAAGAGAAACACCAACACCATCACCAGCATAACCACCGTCATCATCAATCTCGCAAGAGCTGAAACTGACATACTCTGGGACCCATGCATAATCTGAGATCTCCCATTCCAGATAACCACTTCATCAGTGCTACCGGATGCTGGCCCCCGCACACACACACACACACACACACACACACACACACACACACACACACACACACACACACACACACACACACACACACACACACGCACACACACGCACGCACACGCACACACACGCACGCACACGCACACACACACACACACACACACACAAGCTGCTCCACGGAATTTTGGAAGCACAGCTTGGAAAGCTGAAGGTTCTGCCGGCGTTTCTACAGTTCTACAGGTCCTGTTGCACGTTTTTTTGTGAAGTTGTTTCCAGGGTTTCGTCACCCCTCCCGCACCTGCCAAAAAACTCGGGCTTGTCTTCCAGCAACATCGACCTTGGAGATCGAGAAGTTGTTGTATCTACCTACACGCTTCAACGAAACAACACTATATGCTGTTTCAACATTCTGTTTGGATTCGTTGATTTCTATCTAACTATTTATAACCTATCTATCTACTTTTACTTCGTATTCTTTACTTTGTATTTACTTGCTGAAATGAAAACAACACCGAAGGTGGGCTCTTCATGGTCCGTCCTTGGCCCTGGCACAAGGAACCTGTGTGGGTTGGGAGCCTCCGGGTTGAAGGTTTTAGGGTCAAGGGTTCTGTGAGCCTCGGCGGGAAGCATTCACCCTAAACCCTCAACCTTAAGCCCTGAACCTTTAATTTGGGCCCAACTCGCTTTTGGAGGCCGCAGCACATTGGGAATCATGTCACTCGAAGCATCCCTTCGTTGCCGTAAGAATGGAGGTGCTGACGGTTTAGGGAACCCTAAACCCTGAAGGTTTAGGGTTTAAAGTTTTTTTGTGGTTTATTCCATTGCCATCAAAATGGTAAACGATTGCCAATCAAAATGTATCACGGCCTTAACTTGAGCTGCCCCAAGGCTTCCTCACAAAATGGCCTGCGATTCCCTCCGGGATGGCACCGAAGCCAGTGCTTGCAAAGATTGCTTTCGGTAATAACGATACCTGAGAAGCCAACTCCCAACTCATTTTCCGAGTGCTAAGGTTTCGGGTTGGGGCGTGCGGCTAGGATGAGCCAAACCTTAGCCTAACCTTGCGGACTCGCGGTAATCTCACCACGACGAGATGATGATAATCACAATATGGCAATCATTACAGTAGTGATAAGTAACAAAGCTACCGTGTTGGAAAACCAACAGAACGAACAACCACTCCACACCCTGAGCCTCCCGCCAGCGTCTCACTGGCGCCGGCTTTGACTGTACGGTGCCTGCCCAGCTTCCGGAAGCGAAATAGCACTAGGAGTCCCCTGTTTTGGGGTCCTTATGGCAGCCGTCACTTTAGGATACACATACTACGCAGGTCAGTCCTATCCCCATAAGGGTTCAGGTACGGTGAAGAGTGGGATTGGAATGGGAAACCCGGACCCAGCAGGGAGCTGCAATTGAAACTTAGCAACACGATGCACGACCTCTTCTTTGGGATTTCGGGGTCGTGCGCCCACAGCATGATAAGAGTTGATGCTGCTGCACGAATAGTTCTTGTGGCAAACGTCAAAAGTGAACGCTGTAAAAATGACAGCAGTAGCAATAGTGATGCGACTGTTCATGATGCTGACAGCTGCAAGGTTGACTGACAATTTTGCGTCAGTTTTTATGCTCATTCTGGCCCCGACTCTCAACGTCTAACCCTGAGTTGGATACCGAAAACCTAAATTCTTGTCAGGGTCCCAAAGCTTCTGTATGCGGGTTGAAGCAACCTGACTCTAAAGAAATCCTTGTGGTGCTACGATTGAATTGAAAGTACTGATTTGGGAATTCGGATGTTTGAGCGGTTGAGCTTTGGGTGTGCTGCAGGTTTGAATGCATGTTCACCCTCAACAACGGGAGCCCTCTCAACACCGAAGATTGAAAACTGACAATGCTGGTACTGGGACTTGGCAAACTGGTAGCTCTGGGAACAACAGCCCCCGTTGGAACATCAGCATGCTTCTACTTCGAGCCCTATTGCTTGAATCAACGCCGCTGCTACTACTAGGAACGTTGGGTGCTGGAGGAGAGGTGTTCTACGACGGCATTTTACGGCCACTCTCCGCGGCCAATCGGGCCAAGCAGATCCCTGAGGCGATGCTCACGCGTGACCTGGGTTCCCGCTTGGCCCCAAGAGCGGCACTCGCTGACTATATCGTCTGCGTCGTCCACCATGCGTGACAAGCACAACGCGTCGACGATGTGAGACTTCCCTGCAATATAAGTGCGCGACGTCACAGTAATACAGGCAGAAAAGAAATGTGGCGCGCCTAGGAGTGGGCCGCTCTACCACCCACAAAGGACAATAATGCCAGCTTGTACTCGCGCCTATGAACAAATAATTGCGTCGGAGCGCTTGGCAAAAGAAACATACTGGCTCAAAGGTGCAACTTCAAAGTGAGCTGGCTCGCTGCCCTCCAAATTCGCCACCGTAGAAAATACAACACTCGGATCAAGCTTCGGAGGATCGTCTTCGATTGCCACGAGTGACGTGGATTCCGGCGCAGCGTTTCGCCAGGAGCTTGATGCAAAACCGGGCGGATGATAATCAGGCTCAGGGACAAAATCCTCGTCCGAGGGCAAACCTGACTGAACCACGATGCCTTGCGCAAAGGCCGCCTGCAACAGCCTAAGCTCATGTCTGATCTTGCGCTGGGTTGCTTTTCCACCTCGGGGATTGTGCTGGGCAGCCCGTTTCATGCACCGGTGTATGCACAGACGTCTGCAGCTCCAAAACAAAACACCTGCCAAAAAAATGCAGCCGCAAAAGGATGCTTGAACAGAGGGCTATGGAGTGAAAGTCAGGAGATAGGGAAGCTTCTCTAAGCTGTACGGCTGACAACCAAAAGAAATCGAGGGACTCTCGAATTCCCCCCCCCCCCCAAAGCCGCCTTGGCTGCTTTGCCGGATGGACTCGAAGATGCGCACAAAGCGCGGATCTTTCAGCAGTGCCTGGTGCGGAAACTCGAGTGGAGGGCTTGGACTCAGGTTTCGGATCGAGGCTTTCGGATTCAGGGCTTAGCGTTCAGGGTGCAGGACTGGGAGGCTTTGGGCTTTAGGTGTTTCGGACTTTGCATACGCTGCGTTGCTGCTGCGGCAGCTGCTCCTCCCCCTCCTCCTCCTCCCTCTCCTCCTGCCTCCTTCTTGCGTACATCTGCCATTGCTAGTAGCACTGTTGCTGCAAGTGCTGAGTCGCTTAGTCCTCTTCGCACACTAACGTCACGGGTGAGATAGCCACCATCATTCTAACTTTTTGCGTAGCCACCTCTGGAAAAGTACAGTGTGATTTGTGATGCTCAACACTTTGCGCTTCCCGTCGTCATTGTCCTGAGCGTACCATCGACTTAATCTTACCACTGTGCTGCTTTCGTGCGCCTCACCCCTGCTTTTCCGTCCCATCGAAGCCCCAGACTAAGATTAAATGAGTTCACGCTTCAAGCCTTGTGCCGTCACACTCCGACGGACCGGAACTCTTCAAAGGCTCAAGTCTGACACTCAACAGTCCTTCAAAGCCACCTTGTTGTATTTTGTGTTGTAATTATATACCATATAGTATATTGGTAGACTAGATACGGCGTGTTTGAGAATACCGCTCCGCCCCAACTCCAGCGCGAGCCTTGAAATGCTCCAGGCCAGGCTGAGGGCAGAGGTAGGAGAGTCAGAACAAGGATATGAAGGGATTATCTAACCAGCCTTGGGTCCGGTTAGGCTACAGGAAACATCTGAAGGCTCGGGCCGCTCGGGCTGTCCAGTGTTGTGAGCATGCGAAATGCTTGTGCTTAGTGCGTCACTGAAATCAACATATTCATCACCCACATCTCGACCATCACCATCCTCACCACCACCATAATCAATCATCATATGTATCAACATCGCCATGATCGCCCCGCCTATTGTCAGTCATCGACAGCAATGTTGCGACCTCATTTCGCCAGAGCGTCAGCGTGATTGCCACACACGATCCTCATCAACAAGGTGTGCTGGTGCTCCCTCCCAACAGCATCATCATCGTATTAGCAGTGTTCATGTTGAAATCTGTTGACACGCTTTTAGGTTGTTAGTAATATTCTTCGTGGTGGTCGTCGTAGTAGTAGTACTACTACTGCTACTACTACTACTTCTTCTGCTGCTACTACTACTTCTGCTGGTACCACCGCCGCTACCATTACTTCTACCTGTACTGCTACCTCGACCACTGCTACCACCACCACCACCACCACCACAACCACAACCACTTGTACCAGTACCAGTACTAGTGCCGGTACAGGTACCACAACCTGCAGCAGCAGCAGCACCACCACCACAACGACAACTACTCCTATGCTGACTATGATGTTGCAACATTTTTGCTATGAGATGATTGTATTGCTATAATTCTTGCTTGTAAGTATGCTAATCACAATAAACCCCGTGAAGTTGGAAACCGGATTAAGGCACTACATGCCGATTCCTCTTGTCCTGATACTTCTTCTTCTTCATCACCCCACCATCAAAATCCAAGACGAAGAAATTGGTTTGCTGCTGCCCTGTTCTTAACAAGTAGAGTGGCCAAGTTCGAGAGCTGGCGGCCGCTGGTACTTGCTGAAGAAATGGGCTGACCGGCATAGTACTCGTTGCCAAACATAAACGCAATGATTTCGTGGTTCCCTGTTTTGTGTTTGCTTATCATTTTATCCAGCTAGCATAATCTTAGTCAGCAACACGGCAAAGTCCAAGATGCACACAAACGCATCATAATACAGCGGTTCTGCTCGAAATTGTGCTTTTGCACTCTCGTCATGTTTGTATTTATGCGTTCACCTGCTGTTCATCCGTCCACGAGACCTCAACCCTTACCACCAAACCCGAATGCCTCACCCCAAAACTCTAGGCCTCAACCCCAAAAGCCTCAACCCCCAGCCTTTCAATCAAACCTTAAACCCCGCCCCCTCGCCCCGCCACTCCCCCGCCCCCCCTCCCCCAGCGTCAACCTCGGCCGGGTCCGCCAGCGGATGCTCCGCCTGACCAACATCAGGGTTTAGGGTTTAGGGTTGAGGGTTTAAGGCTATGTGTTGAGGGGACCTTACGCAACTAGGCCAGGATCTCGAAACCGCACTTGCAACTCTAAACTTCGCTAAAGGCCAAGCCATCGAAGTAGCTTGGAAGAAGCGACCTCAAGCCTACCTTTGGGTTTGTCGCGTGTTTTTTGATTTGTGGGTTTGGATTACTCAGATCTCAGCTTCTGGGGTTTAGGGTCTGCAGAAGGAGGCTTCTGGTCACAAGGATCCTCCTACCAAGGTCTTGGCTCGGCATCTGTGTGGCTCGCAATGATCTCGGGGTTTCAGAACTGATTTGTAAGAGCATGCACGAAGATATCAGCGCAGTATAGCGCACTCACGCTACCGTTTAAAACTTTTCTGACAACAGGTCATAGTCATATAGTCATAGCATCAGTCAAGTACCGTAATGCAGCTGAGGGTGTACAGGTGTTGCACGAAGCCTCCCCACTGCCCGAAATTCCGATATTGCTCCATCTCAACACCAAAGCTTTCCGCCTAACCCCAAAACCCCAACTCCCGGTTCCCGGTGCTTCCAGGGTCCAGGCCTGAGAGGTCGTCAGATTTGCGACGGCCTGAGCATCTGCTGCGTCTCCGTCCGTCTGCTAGGGCGGGGAAGATGAGAAACGTCACGTCGACAAAACCTGCCCTGCTACAGCTTCCCACTGCTGCCAGCGTCATGTTACTAACTCGAAAATGCAGAGGCCTGCCACGACGGTGCAATGCGCTCACGCTGCTGGCACTCTTGGTCACTGTACTTGCCATTGTGATGTCAGCGTAAACAAAGATTGACTCAGGATCTGCGGGGAGCAACTGATGTTTTGCGCTTGGTCTTCTGCACGTAGCGGTAGCAGTAGCACCCTCTGTTGCTGCTTCATATCTTGCTAGAACCGTAGCAGCCAATCAGACTCCCGAGGATCCAGCCGTGCCGGCTTCGGCAGAAGGCTGCCACACCTGAAGATGCCGGATGAGGCCCAAGCTTGGGAGGGACGGAGGCCTGCAATGCTGAGACCCCGCCGAAAGGTTGAGACCCGCAAAGAACTCAGACAAAAGAAGCCTAGCAGGCCACGCACCTGCGTCAACCCTTTTTGTGGGGCATGGGGCTCAACCCTTCAAGGCTTCAGGATTTTAATGGCACAGGTTGCATACCTCTCTTTCCCTCAAACGCAGGTCCAGGCGATCCCGGCCTGCGCCAGCTGCAAGTAGTAGCTGGCAGTTGAGCCGTCGACCGGCTGTACCGGGAGCCCCCAATCACCTGGAGAGCAGGGTTTTACGGTTCAGGCTTTGGCCCTCCCAGCATGACAGCCCACGTGCCAAAGTCCACAGGCACCAACTACCAACCCCTTTCATCAGCCCACCCCAAATCCGAAACTCGGGTAGTCCGCCTGCCATGTGTGCCGCAGCCGCTTCTGCTGCGGCCCATTCTTGGAATTCGATGAGGCAGCAGCCCTGGCTTCGAGTCTGATACTGCTTGACAATCACTTACTTCGCAGTTTCAGGGCTGTCCGGCTTGTGGCGGTCAGGTTAGGACCGGTTTGCGAATATGTAGGGCCTAGTGCTCAGGGTTCAAGGTGCAAACGAACAACCATCGCGAAGTTCGGCACATATCAGAACGGACTCTGGGACACGTGCCTCGAAGAAGTTGTAGCGCCGCATGACCTGAGCTGGAAGCAGATGAGCAGCAGAAAGCAGACATCCCGCTCTCTAACACACGTCCGCGCATGATGTTGATCACTTCCAACCAACCCCGTAAACTTCTGGATCATCCAAGCAGCTCCAAATGCTGCGCAGCGCTGCAACAGCAGCTGGCGGTCCTAGCCGGAAAGTGTGGGGGGAGTTATGGGTTGCAGGTAAGGGCTTGCGGCAAATAGTGCCAGCGAAGTAGCAGAATGCTAGAAGTTGCGGGCAGAAAACAACACTGGTGAGCAGTGCAGAGATCGGGACAATGGTAGATGTAATAGTGCTTCCTAGTAGTACTACGACTGTTGCGACTACTACCACTACTGCTGCTGCTGCTACTGTTGAACGAAGACAACGATATCGTACAAAGCAAGAAACGCGTACTCCTGTAACCTGTGCAAGAAACTACATTCTACCTGGCTTCAGCAAAAGAAGAGACATGTTGACCCTCTACATGAATCAAAGGCCATTGAGCGGCAGTAGCACGCCTACACCACAGACTCTGAAGCACACCTCCATTCAAGTCCTCTGGGTCCACACACCCCGAGCCCGAACCGCACCTGCAAAGAAGCCTGCTCAAGGCCGCCGACACAAATTGCCTTCAACGAGTTCGCCGCGTTCGCCTGCGGCGGTGGTCTGAGGCTTGAGGTCGAGCGTGCAGCTGGCATAGAGTCATCTGTGAAATAGCTTGGAACAACATGTAAACAGCTACATTGCGGTCGGTACGTTCCAGACAAGCCACCACACCATAAAATGACTTACAAGGATTCATCTCAGTTGCCATGGTAAAGAAACCGTATCATTTCCAATAGATCCCTACTGTGGTAATTGAAATGAAATGTGATAACACTTATTGATCCCTTAAGAGAGCTTTTATGGCTCCCTACTAATACTAAATTAATCCCTTAACAAGAACCCCGTTGCCCCCAAGCCCTGCTGTGATCCTAGTCGAGGCTCAGGCCAGACGTTCTTGCCTCAACTCTGGAGCTTTGCTTAGGGCTCATGCTTACAGATACATACACAAATACATACGTACATACATGTCCGCAGGTATCAGTATGTCGTCATGCACTTCTGCACCGGTTCGCAAACAGACGAGGCTTGGGGGCTGGGGCTCATCTGACAGATGCGAACACTCACAGACCATAAACCCTCAAAGAAGCACCAAAACCAAAAGCCTGCACGACCACTCTGGACCCACTTCCACGCCTGTGACAGCGAGCCGTCGCGATCTCTTCCCTGCGCGGTGAAGGGACAAACGACCCAGAAGCACGACGGGCAGTCGTGGTGAACAAGGGGAAGAGGAAGCAGCAGCATGAGGAAGACAAACGACCTTCAATGAAATTCAGCACAAGCAGCAATCATCGTGGAAACACACGCCGCACACCTCCATCCTGGTCGCAGGCTTCACCTGCACGACAGAGCCCGGGGCAGCAACGCTGATGGTCGCTAATGCTGCCCGTCATTGCATTATCGGTTGCCGTATTCGTCAGGACGTAAAGAACAGTCATCACTCAGTATACTGGTATATCACCATTCACTGGCTTCATGAGTTCTGGGCTCGAGCGCGGTTGGGGGATTTTCACTGGAGCCTTGGAGTGTCTTTTGCTGCCGGAATCTACTCGTTGGCGAGGCCGACTGAAGTGCACGGCTTGCCTTGATGGATTTGCTTCCGAGGATGATGCCCTGCCCGAAGAGCAGGGTGCAAAGATGAAGAACCAGCAGTGGGCAAATCATGGCTTAAGCTCCCAACCTAGATGCCCGAATCCGCAGCTTCCCGCTCTGGAGCTGGTGGCCGCTTTTGTGGCGAGAGAAGGCTTCAGCAATACCAGTCGGATACTCTAAACATGAGAGCCAACACTCAAGTTCAATGGTCGGAATTCTAACTAATCCCAGGCCGAGAGGATCTGAGAGGCGACTACCGAGATTTAGCCAACCACGGACATTGACCTGGCAAGAAGATCGCAGCTCGGCACCGACAGCGGTGCTTCGGCCATAATGCAGAGGAACCCCGGAACAGAGTCGCTTCGGAAAAAGCCGGCTGCCTGCATCTCACGCAAGGCTTGCTCTGCATCAGCACCTTCGCCTGAGTGATGCCAACTCAAAAGCCGCAATATGGTTAGGTGCACAAACATCTGTGCTTATGTATAGACCAAGTGATTCAAATTGTACAGTGACATCAAACACAAGGGCACCGCTGTACATTCTCGCCAGGTGGGACCTTCGAAGCTCGAATTGGGTCAATTGGGTCAGGTGTGTTGGCACAGCCCGCGGCGAAAGCGCACGAAGCCGAAGCCCTTGGAGAGAGACGTGACGGGGTCCGTGATGACCTGCAGCCACGGGTGTGAATCGTAGCAGCAGCAGCACCAGCAGCATCACCAGTAGCAGCAGCAGCAGCAGTGGCAGTGGCAGTGGTATAGCAGTAGCAGCAGTTGTGGCAACATGGTGGTGCTAGCGGTGGTAGTCGCTGTCATCGTAGCAGTGGTAGTTGTGGTTGGAAGGAAACGCGCTGCAGATGCTGACCTTGCACTGCCAGTCGAGATAAACCAGCTGCGCAGCTTGAAACACATGCATCTCGCTGGCTCCAGCGTAGCTGAGAAGGCGACCCTTGCGTGCGAAAGGGATCGGTACCTAACCACAGGACCATGTCGCAGAGCCGAAGTGAGTTCAGGATAGTTCAGGCTAGTGAGGGGAGTAGCAGCTGAATCCGCAATCCTGAATGGCAGCCTACACCAGAATTACCCTTAAGGGGCGTGTGCCATGTCGCTTCTCAAGAAGAAAGCAACGATCTCATATGCTGCCGCATCAAACACCCAGCTGCCTTTCAAAGAGCTTCTTCAAATCGGCGTCCCGGACACAGGCGTCCAGGTTCCCAACGTAGAGCTGCAAACAGGGCATTCTTTCCGTCACAGTAGATGAGCCGACGAGACATGTCACCTGCACTCTCCCCCGAAGCTGACGTCCCTGCACAAAACAAACTTCATGCTACGGACGAACCTTCTATCCTGAAGCGACAGAAAACATGACAGACTGAAACACGAAGCTCTAAACCCTGGAACCTAAAGACCAAGGACTCTAGACTGAAACCTACATAGGGCCTCTTGGGGCTTGCAACATCTTCGGGAAGCCCAAGAAAGCAAACCTGAAAGCATGGAGATGATTTTGGGGTCCTTAAACAAGGAACCTACTATTTGGGGTACTATACTAGGGTACTATATTAAGGTACTATAATAGGGTACTATGTGAGGGTACTATATTCGGGTCGCCTATTTTAGGTCCCAGCGGCCGAGACCATCTTGTAGCGCTCCCGCTCCCTCTCCCCGAAGGCCCCGCCGGACCTCGGCGGCAGGTAATATGGGTGCCTGAATAATTAGCACAGGGTTTCCTTTAAAGGGGTCCTTTAAAGGGCTACTGTGAGAGATCTATAAAAAGGTTTTGGGGGGGGGGGGGGGGTCGCATACTGTAGTCATAATGAGGAACCCCCAAAATTGTATCAAGAGCCAGCCGTCAGAATCGGCCTTCGAAACGTAGATAGGCACATCACGGGTGTCCACACACACACACATACGACGTGCTTGTGGAGCAATACCAGCCATCACCATCTCAGAAAAAAACATGCATATGCTTACATACTACATATACACATACATATTATTTCATACAGATATTAGATGTGGTTAGTTGCTCTGCATGCTTTTCTGATTGTTGGCCGCGACCTTGCGGTTGTTCTTATTGCCGTGCTGGACTACCGCCTGCGAAAAACCAGAACAGGAAGACCAAGAATAACGAGAAAAGAAGAGGGGGGAGAACAGCGCATCCTGGAATCATACGTCTCATCACGACAACCACACCACACCCTTGTCACACCCGAGGTCTCAATTAGACCTGAATTGAGTTGAACCTTAAGCCCTGAATCTCTGAATCAATTAATCTGAGCCCTGAGCCCATCTGAGCCCTAAACCGTCAACGGTTTCCGCACTAAACCCGAAGCCACCAAGCCCGCAGCCCTGGCCCTGAGCCCTCTGAGGAGGAGGCGAAGCCCAGTTGACCCGAAAACTGTGGCCTCAGTGCACAGAGAGCACAGAGAGGCCCCGGATCCGGGGACCGATCGACCCAGGGTTCGGGAGAAGGGCCTCGGTTCTGGGGAACAGGAAGTAAGGAACAGAGTTCAGGGCACAGGCTTAAGGGAACAGGTTTTCAGCTGTAGAACCGGTGTAGGATTTAGGGTGGCTCAGGGCTTAGAGTCACTCCCACTTTGTTTCGCAGAGCGTGAGAACCGCGCCCGGCTGTATGAAAGACTCCTGCCCTCATGATCATCAAAGTGGGGTTTGTATTCAAGGCGCTACGAAGAGAACGCCGAACAGTTCGTCCAAGCACTGTAGGGTCCTGAAATAACCTCAAGCAAACCTTTTAAAAGATCAAATGAGTGGATGTTCCGACTCATGTGCTATATAAACGCGACCATGTTTTACACTACTCTGTGCATTCAGGCATTTTGTGGTCACTGTGGAATCATGTTACCACGGGTTCAGCGCACTCCGAAACCACCGGATCAAGAAGTCAATGCAAACCCTGGAGCTGCACCCAGCTTGGTACAGACCCTGAACGTGTTGGAACCCCATCAACAAAGTCTGAACTACACTGTAAGTATACCAAGCATGAACGTTTTTGAGTGAGTGCTCTTGCGCGAAGTTTGTCCGGGTCCATGCACTGGTTTCGGCGAGGGCAACATGGGTGCCCTACCGAGAGCACACCGGAAGGGCTGTCCGCCCAAGCTTGCAAGGAATGCAGCAGCCTTGAGGCATTGGGCCGGAGAGGTAGTACAGGGTTTAGGGCTTCAGGCTGGCTCACTCTTGTTCTGAGGATGTGTTGCAGGCTGCAGATCCATTGAGAGGCACTTTCACCTGGAATGGCTTCGGGATCCCACGGCCCGAGATTCTGACGTCCTCATGCTGAGCGAACTCAATAAAGGCAAAGTTGCACGAGAACGGCCGGCGGACGAGCTTTATCTGGCGGAAAGGGTGCGCTTGAAGGCATAATCTAGGGGCCCTTAATGATTAGAATAGGGTTTTGGGGCCCATTAAAACTATAACTATAATAAGGAACCCCCCAAAATAGTCTAGGTAATTACGACAGAGCAAGAGTGTTCCAACGGCTAGCCACTGCAGCAGCAGAGTCAAGCATCCCTAAACCCGAAATCTTGGCCGGCATGACATTTCGAAGCTGCCCTGTGCCTTCGAAGCATTTGGAGACATAGCGCTCATCCTCGAGAGGCTGAAGGCTTAGGGTTTAGCGGTTTAGGTTTTAGGGGTTTAGGGCTTAGGGGTTTAGGGGTTTAGGGTTTAAGGGTTTAGGGTTTAGGGTTTAGGGGTTTAGGGTTTAAGAGGCTGCAGGAAACTGCGTGGAAACTCCGAAGACCTCAGCTTTCGGCGGCAAACCCAAGCCCCATATTGGGGGATTCAGTGTTTGGGGGTTGAGGTCTTAGGGCTTTAGGCAGCCCGAGACGAAACCTGTAAAGTTGGGCTCTATAGCATTATTGTACATATATAACATGATATATAACTGATATATAACATTTTACAAATATCTACATAATATAGACATCTGAGGTGACCCACCATCCAGAGCTCCACATCGCCGACCCATAGCGTCCGGGGCAGCTCTTGGGGTGGCGCATCGGGCACCTGCGAGACTTGGCTGAGGGCCAGGGCGGGCGCCAGGAGCAGGCACGGGGGGGAGGGGGGGGATTCTCAAGAGTGATCCTCTGTTTAGATGTCATAAGAATACAAGGATTTCAAGCTCTGGACCGATTCAACAAGTTGAGGAGCTACTAGCCTCGGTTCTCGATCCTTCAGCTGAAGCCGGAGCTCCACTGAGAGCTTTGAATCCAGAAACCTGCGCCCGACGCCTCACCAAATCCGAACCAACACAGAAAGCCTCAGCCCTTATAAGCCCTTAACCCCAAAGATCCCTCAACCACCTGAAAAATCCCAAGTCTCCAGAAGCCCCGGAGTAGCTCAGATCAAGGCAGGACCTGCTCAGTGGCGGCCATGGCTCTTCAGAAGCTTCCGCCTCGTAATATGACGGTTTTTCTTGCTAGCAGGCTTCGCGAAGGGTATGTCAGAAGAATTGGAGGTTCGAAGGCCTTGTAAAGAGGGGAAGTTCGGACGCGAGGCTCTTGAAAGTGTGGGGAGTGTCCTCGCTTGGGCAAGTCGCCACGACATGGCGGGGCCAAGTTGTCGGATGAATGCTTAGGCTTGGGCCCGGACCCTGTCTCAACAGAAGTGCCGCTTGAAGAGGCCAGCGGCGGGAGATCAGGTCGCGACTACGAGCAGCTGTGTGTTGAACGCACTAACTACTACAAGTCTCGACAATCGTTGGATCCAACATCCTCCTAAGGTGGCTTCGACTGAATCAGAATTAAATCCTCAACCCCATGAAGCCCCCAAGTCCAACATCACACCTGCTGCCGCTGGTTCGAGCCAGTGGCAGTGGTATGAGCACTACTTCTCTCATGGATCGCACCGGAACCCGCTCTGCTGACGTGCGTGCATTCCTGGTGCCATGCTGAGACGAGGCAGGGGATCTAACAACAGCGAGGTGAGGTGTACATGCTTTTCCGTTTTCCTCAGAGCCGCCATGACTGCGCTTGTGGTCGCAGTCACTTCCCCCAGCAGCGAAGCAGCCGCCAGATGTAAGCTCCCCATCTCACAGGCCTCAACAGCTGCCAGCCGGCTGAGCTCCTGCAATCAGACATGCCGAGCTGCCTGTCCTAGACCATCGTGCGCCAGCCTAAACCTCGCCTCTGAACTCTAGACTCCATACCGAGCCCTTGATTACGAACAGTGTCCTTCTACGCTTCTTCTTCGTGGCATAGTGTTTGATTATAAGAAGAGCAAGACCATCCTTACCATTCTCAGCATTGTCAGAGTCAGTCACTCACGTCATCGATGTTCTTGTCATCGCCATTAGCATGGAGGCGCATGATCAGCGGGCCGACGATGGGAGGGTTACCATTACTATTGCTGCAATGCTCTGCATTTTGCCAAAACTGCATGCTCCCCGGCGGTAACAGTCGAACTAGCTTACCCGAAAACACTGTGGACATCGATGCAGGCCAGCTGCGAACCCACCCCGCTCGAAACCAAATTACAACACCAACCCCAGAAGCTCAACACCCGACGCCACAGATGATGTGGACACTCAAACTTTTGCCAGGGCACCGTGGGCAACCCTTCGTCCAGCAAATCCAGCGCTCGGCTCCAGCGGCTGCCACTGACAGCAGACTGGATGGCAACCTCGGCCGCTTCGGGAAGACTTTCTCCAGAAGTTCGCCGGACTGGAGTGCTGGAGACAAGCTTCTTTAGGGCAAGTTAAGAAGCCTTTCAGCAGTATTGTTTTCGGAGGCAGCCCTGCACAGCTGTCCCAGCGCCACGATGCCCGAGAGATTGAACCGAACAATTCCTAGACCAGGTCAAGCCTTCGAGGCCCGCCGCACCGCGTAAATGCCACGCCAAGCTATTGAACCTGAACCTATGGCAAAGCCGGATGTAGCAACTGTCACGACAGTAAGAAGAGTACGGCTCATATGAACTGGCCAGTGGCCAGAGCAAGAACCACAATACTTGTCCGACAAGTGGCGACGAAACACAGATCAGAATCATAACCATGATCCTCCTTCTCCCCGTCTTCCTGCTACTCCTACTATTTCTTAATCATAGTCATAACACTGCAACTACTGCTACTGCCAGTGCTGCCGCTTCTGTAACCACGGCACCTAAACTTTAATCCTAACAGCATGAGCCCTGATCCCTTGCCCTAAAACCCGAAAGCCCTGAACCCAATATCACAGAACTCGTACTCTGAAATCCTCACCCTGCGCCCTTCGGCCACCAGGCCACCCTAAGACCCTAAACCACTAAACCCTAAACCCCATAAATCCCGGGCCCTGAGCTCTAAAGCCCTAAACCCAAATCTGAAGCCCTGAGCCCTAAGCCCCAAACCCTATAGGCCCTAAACCCTAAACCCTAAACAACAAACCCTAAACATCCCTAAACCCTAAACCCCAAAGGCCCTAAACATCCCTAAACCCTAAACCCTAAACCCCAAAGGCCCTAAACCCAAAACCCCCCCTAAACGCCCCTCTTTACCCCCAAGGCCAGGGACTCCGCGGCCAGCGGCGGAGCTCCTGAGACCCTCCTGGCGCGCCCCGGCGATGGCCGCCAAGGCGCAGCACCAAAGGCCCGAGCCTCGCGGGCTGAAGGTTTAAAGTTTGGGGGGGGGGGGGGGGGGGTTAGGGGTTATAGGGTTCGGGTTTAGCAATGTTTAGGATGCAAGGGTTTGGGGATTATAGGGCTTTAGGTTGTGGCGTTTAGCTTTTGGGGGGGGTTTTGAGGGTAAGGTTATCAGGCTTTTGCGGGCTCCACGAGTTAAGGATGTGGGTTCGGGCTTGTTGGAGGGATTTACATCAGGTGGGTTTAGGGTTGCAGGGTATAGGATTAAGTTCAGGGGTTCTGGGTTTAGGCAGGGGTTGAGGGAATGCCCCCGCCCCATTACCTACCTGAGCCTCGGAGTGAACTGCAGTGTCGAAGTTCGTAATGCACGAAGGTTTTGTGAGTGAGGTGAGTGAGGTTATGGAGGAGCTATGCAGCTCAGGAGCTGTAGGAGTTGAGGTTTAGCCTGTCGTATCGGATCCATGTTTTCATCCATGCACTGCGGACTGCAGACAGGTCACGGCTAGATCCAACGATGCTGTTGAGAACCACTGTGAGACCTCGCCGTAGTGAGGACGTGCACGTGTGCACTTGCCAGCCGAGGATCTGTGCGCTTGATGGTAGATGCAATACTCAGGCAAGACGTGCAGAACGGCTGTGGGTTGCGGTAGTCCCGGTAGTGTTTTCAGTGAGCAGCCGTGAGCCGGGTTGCAGAAAGAGCCACTCCGCGGAAGAGTGCCGGGTGTTTCGAGGTATCCAAGACATGAGCCCGCAACTTCACTCTTCAGACCCTGCACAGTCGATTCCTAGGTCCTAGGTACTTTCCTAGATTGTTGGCTGCGAGCACGGCCACGCAAACATGCCGACCAAGCGCTCACGGCATCGCGTCGCATGCAAAGCCGCCCCGCGACAGCCAGCAGCTGCAAACAGCGGCTCCAACGTGGGCTTTTCTCCAGTACCTGAATGCCTCAAGAAACACGACTGCGGACGTAGACGCAAGAGGAGAAAATTAATATTGTGATTCTGATTTTGGTTGTGATGGTGACGGTGGTGATGATGATGATGATGATGATGGTCGTGGTCGTGCTGGTTGTGCTAGTCTGGCTGGGTGGTGCAGGTGGTGCTGCGGGTTGTGCCGGTTGTGGTATTTGCTGGTGCTGCTGTGGGTGATGGTTATGGTTGCGTCTCGGTACTCGGTGTTGAAAACATGCTTCGGTTACGAGCTGAATCCCGTGTTTTGGCTTAGGTAGCACCGCCAACCTCGACCTCCCACAGCACCGCTCAAGAAAAGCCCATCCTGCCTGTGTTGAAACTGATGATGCTTGGAGACACCAGGTACTCCCTCATGTGGTTCAGCGAAGCAAGCAGCCTCGTCTGAGTGTTCAGGGCTCCTGAATGTTGAATCGCAAACCGAGGCTTTTCGACTGAACCCTCACTCTTAACCATGGTTCTGGTTGCAGGCTAAAAGAAGCTAAGAGCTAAATTGCCGTGGGTTATACCGGCTGCAAGCCGCCAGATTGCTTTCGGACTCCAGCTTTCGGCAAATTGTTGGCCACAGTAAGGGGGTGAGAGCCTTTGGAGCACACTTTCTAAGTGTTCCGGTGGAGCATAAAGCCACCCTTCCAACTTCTGACCCAAAACACGGCTCCGGTAAGCATCTGCATCTTGCCCACCTGGCAGCCTATCACAGACATGACCAGGATCTCCGAACCCTACAACCTCTAAGCCAAAACCAGGAATCACATTCGCCCCTGACGCAACAGTCCGGAACTCCCGAAAACCCTCCGAAACCTCCAAAACCTGCAGGCATCCAAACTGCCTGAAAGCCCCACACTCCCCCTAACACAGTGCAGCCCTAGATCAACCCCTCCAAACCCACCATACTTCCTTCGCCCCTACCCCCCACAGAGCCAGGAAGCCGGGGCCAGGACGTCTCTGGCTCGACCGCGCCCAGCAGGGAGTTAAAGGTCACCGCACCTGCTTTTACGGCTCCGATCAGGGGTTCCTTTAGGTTTTCCTGCGAGGGTTACTATGAGGCTCAAGATTCCTGTAATGAGGAAGCAGGCGCGTAAAAGAACCGGGTAGTTTCCTGCTCACCCGGACCTCCATGGGCCATCCACCATATTTAACGATCTCCCAGACGTCATCCGTTCCCCAGGAGAAAAATCCAGATCTCTTTGTTACTTGCTTTCGTCTGGAGGTACCAGCTTCCGCTTGCGCAAGATTTCATTTGCCGTGTCCTGGTCACTCCTGCTGTCCTGACTTAATTGTAGACGTGTCGTTCCAAGCTCCGCCTTGTGCACCAGCACGCAGTTTGATGGACATGCTTGCACCACAGTATGCTGTCCTAATTTTGCCGATGTCAGTGCAGAAGTCGAGCACCGAAAACCATGCCTCAAGCATTTGGTGTCCAGGTTTCTTGTGCGCCTGTGACCTCCTATTATAAGGATTACTACAGGGGCCTTGTACGGGGGCTACAATCAGGGCGTAGGGGTTCTAAAGGGGATTTATCGGGGCAAAGGACAAAGAAGCAAAGGGAGACAGCTGGGAACGCGAAGAGTTTGAAGTTTGGGGTCTAGGGCTTGGGGTTGCGAGAGCAACGGAATGTAGCTTTCACAGTCAGTAAATGGCCACGTCGAACGTTTTGACAAAGCGGAGAGATACTACTCGCAACAAGAGCAATACTACCAGAAGAAGAGTCACAGTGATGACATGTTGCTACTTAGCACAAGGAATCATACACTAGAAAATCCTGATGAGGCAGTACCTCAAGGCTTCTTCAGACTGACACTCAAAGATTGCTGCTCTTGCCTGCTTTTGTGTTTTCTCTTTTGCAACCACTTCCCCTGCCACGCATGAGGTGAGCTGGGGAACTGCCATACCATCCTAGAGGCAATTTCAGGAAGCACTGTCTCAGCGGCCAATTCCCCGTACGCAGTTGTTGTACTAACGGGACCAGATACGGCAGGGCTAGGCTCACGAAGCTTCGCTGGCGGAGACCCGGCAGCGAATGCTGCTGCAGCATTTTAGCGAGCAAGCTGGCTGCTGAAGGTATTTTTTGCTTATCGCGCCTTACCTTGCTAGTTTTTCAGACCCTCAACACAGCTCTCTGGCAGTCCAGCGGCTGGGAAGTAGCTCAACCAGCATACAGCTGCACAACAGTCGAAGGGCAAGCCGCCAAAGCGCACCTGCCAGCCGCAGAAAAGCTCGGTCGATTTGGTCCAGGGGGTTGAAAGACGTTCTGTCGAATGCTTTCGTGGCACATGTTCCGACTTCACCAAGGCAGCCGCGCTGCCAGTGTCGTGATTCTACGAGCCCCCTACTTGTGAAGACTGGAAGAGGTCCGTCGCAGGTCATCAGACCTATGGACCCAGGTCACTACAAATTACTACCAAATGTATTCAACCACAAAATCCACCATCCTAATCACATCCTGAAGGTGACCCATCCACGCAATCACCTTCGAATGTAGTAGGCAAGTGGATGTCAAAACTGTCAGCGGAAAAGGAAGCCGTAGCTCTTGAATGCTACTAACAGAAAAGAAACAATAGTCAAAGAAAGAAGGGAAAGCATCCCCAAAAGTAACAACCAAATCAAGGGACAACAAAAGGGGAAGCAGAACACGCAAAAGACACTGACTCAGAGAGACGGAACACTATCAACAAGTAACCGACAAACGGAGACGTAACCACCATTAGCCTAACTGCAGGTAAAAGAAGCTCCTTCCAGTACTCCCCCCATGCCTTACCCAGCAGTAGGCAAAAATACCATCTGTAGTCATACCGAAACGCAGAGAGATAGGACAACAACTAGCGCGAACATCATGAGCAATGCCCATACGCACCAAGATAATAGGTTAAAGGACATTCCAGACAGTAGCCACTCCACAAGTAGACTCCACCGCCCCGGCAGCACAGGGCATCGTACAGCCGGACGGTACCGGACTGTAACTCAAAGACCAGTGGGCGGTACCACTGATCACACAACCCATAGATAGCTCAATATACGGTAATAAAGCAGACGAGATGCTCAGCGCTTCTTCTCTCTGGACTCAACGACGGACAGCCGCGCGCCAGCAGGTCGCTTGCCAGTCCCACCTCCTCCCACAGAGCCCTTGCCCATTCCTCCCTTACCCCCGAACCAAGAACGGATCGCCTCCTGGTCATGTCCCATGTCTTCCATGACTCTTCTTTGAAATTCCCCCGGGAGGAATCGACCCGGCCGCAACCCCAAGGGTGGGAAGGAGCCCTCTTTCTTCGAGACGGCTTGGAGAACCGCGGGCGACCTGAGGAGCTGCGAGGCAGTAAAGCCTGGCCATGATGCACGGAAGAGCATGATGAGGGTCCATACCTTTGCCACATCCTCTGGCGGCTCACGGAATTGAAGGGACTCGACCGCATCCTCCGCACGCAACCCCGCCAAACCCTGAGCCACGTCTTGGGCGAGGCCTTGCTCACGCAACTGCTCCAAAACCAAGTTGAAGACCTGTGCCTTAAAAGGGACAGGCCTGTCACTCTGCCCAGACCCAACCGACCCTCCCTCGCCACGTGACTTGCTCGCACCCTCCTTCCACACGGACAAGGCCTCCTCCACCCGCGTACGAAACGGCCCTTGCGCGAAAAGAACCCACTGCCGCTGCACCTTGTCCTTTCCCACTCCTTTAGCTGTGGCATTCGCCAAGCATTGTACATTGCGGAGTTGATCTTCCAAAACATCAACTCGGCTAGCTACGGACTTTTTGTCCTGACCTCCAGCCATCCTGACAACGTTTGAGAGGAAAAGCAGCACTAAAGATGGACGCGTTTGAGGTGGTACTTAAAGTGATGCACACTGTAGAAGGTCTCACTAGATTGCTGATCCTGTAAGCAGAGCATGCATTGTGCAGGAAAGTCTTTTTCCTTGAACTTATGATCCGCCGCAATGTGTAACCTCAAGCTAGGCGCTCCAGGCCAATAGCCTCGACAAAACGGGCACTTAAAGGGGTCAGCCAACGTGTGATCATAGTTAACATGCCTTGTTAACCACATCTCTCGCTCGAATGATCGCGGACAGAGTTTACAGTCAAACCCCGCTTGCCGATACGTACCAACCTTGTGTGAAATGAGCTTATGATGCGATAGTCCTCCCTTGGTGGTGTACCTCTTGCCACACCCCGGAAAATCACACTGGTATGCACCATCCCCCACATTCCTTGTTCTGTCCACATTGCGAAGATTCCAGTACTTTGTTCGGACCCGCGGTGGAGCAGTGCCGTCCAAGATTGCTTGGGCATCAATCTGTTTTTTAACATACCATGCCGGTGGTCGTCTTTTCCTTGAAACCCTGCGCGGAGTGATGCCAGTGCTTCTAACAGCCGTAGAGTCCGGAAGTTCCTGAGACTCAGCCTGGGCAGTAAGAACAACTGTGGAAACCAAAAGCCTAAACATAGCCAGGTCACCTTCCGTTTGTGCCGCCGGAAACAGTGACTCCGCTAAGTCACAGCAAAGCTCCTCCATCGTTAATTCCGGATTATCATTTACAAACTTGAGAGCCTCCGCTGAGATAACGCCGACAAAAGCCTCCCTCCCCCCAGCTTCCACTTCTGCCTTGATGAACGCACACGATGGTACCATTTCATTGCGAATCCTGTCGGACGCCTGAATAAGCCGCTGCGCATGACCCACCCGCTTTCTGACCCTTAGAACATGTCCCGCGGGCAAGACATTTCGTGGCGGGGGAGAAACATTAGGAACCACCGCTAATGGCTTATGCCATAAAGCAACACTCATAGTTTTACTTTTCCACAGCGCCGCACCTTCCCCACTATTGGCAAACTGCAGCCACCCTTGTCTATCAATGCCAGCCGCAGTCAAATCCTTCGCAAAAGAGTCGCGAAGACGCTTCCCTGACTGTAATCCTGGCTTCCTCGCCTGTCCCGCATCCGCTGGTAGAACGCCAAAAAGAACGCGCTTCGGAATTCTATGATCCGGCATCTTCCCAACATGCCCTAACCACCTCAGCCGACATTGACATACCAAGTCCGCAATTGATGGAACCCCAAGCCAAGCGCGCAAATCTTCATTGGAGAGCGAGTGATCCCGCTGGTAACGTAGTCCATAGCCTGATACCCGACGCAAACAAATCATGTGAAACTTTTCGAGTTTTTTCCGAACTGGGTACGTATGCGTCCAAACTTCAGCACCGTACAAAAGGACAGACAATACACACGCCCGGTATACGCTGACTTTGGTACTCAGAGATAGTTGCTGAACATTCCACACCGAGCTGCTAAGTGCCCAAAACGCCTTCCGCGCTTTTTCCAGCCGTTCTTTTACTGCCAAATCACCCGACCCTGATCTTTGTATAATAACACCCAGGTACTCAAAAAACTCTGAGAATTTTATGCTGTCAAAACCATCGAACTCCGCCACCGGGATAGGCTCATGCACGCCTGACTGTGTCGTTAACGCCTCAGTCTTTTCGACCGACAGTTCAAGACCCCATTCCCTCAAATGCAGCTGAAAACCCTTAGCTCTGGAATGCAAACTGGATAACGTGTCAGCGATTAAAGCCGCGTCATCAGCATACCCTAGCTCTTGAAGATCCAGTGTGTCCCAGGACGCATATTTATCATGAGCTTCTCTATGCAGCAAAGCCCCATCAATTCGCGTAAGCCATTTCACCCCACCACCAGACTCACCGACCCAAGCCTCCATAACGGCAGACAAGAAGATATTAAAAAGCAGAGGAGCCAAGCAACATCCCTGACCCAAGCCGGTTTCCAACTCGAATTCCTCCGACAACCCTCCTTCAACACTGATCTTCGCTGTTTTGCCTGAGTAGTAAGTCCGAATCAATTGTCAAATGAGCTTGGGAGGAACCCCTTTCTTGCGTAGCACAGCCCACACCCCAGCACGAGACACGCTATCATAGGCCTTGACCAGATCCACAAACAAAACATGAAAAGGGTGCTTCTTGTAATCCGCGATTTCCATGGCAAGCTTCAAAGCAAAAATCATATCGATAGTTCCACGCCCAGGTCGGAAACCGCACTGCGTCTCCGGCAGTAGACCATTTGTTTCCGCATACTGAGCAAGTCGCGCATTAATTACCCTCGCGAAAACTTTTCCTGGGATTGACGCCAGTAATATCCCTCGCCAACGTTTACACTGCGTCAAATCACCCTTCTTTGGCAATGGAACAAGAAACGCCTCCTTCCATTCCTTTGGCATAACCTCGACGCCCGTCCAGACCCGTACAAAAAACTCGTGTAATGCCCTTAAACTAATCGGATCCAAAGCACAAAGTACCTCCGCCTCAATTCCATCAGGTCCTGCAGCCTTACCCGCCTTGAGTCTCCCAACTGCCGCTAAAGTTTCTGCAAAGGTAGGAACCGCATCCAAGCTGGGCTCCGGAACAAGACTCGCAATTTGATCCATCTGATGTAGCTTGACGTTGGAAGGTACATTTAACAGTTCTTTAAAGTACTCCCGCCAACGATTGATCCTGCCCGATCTCGTGAGTATAAGATTGCCCTTCGCGTCACGAAGTTTGCCTGTACTCTTTTTTCCCGACGCCAACACACGACGTAGCTCTTTATACCCGGCGAACTGATAGTTATGATCCTTGGAATCCACCCGGTCCTGAATTTCCTTTGCTTTCTCAGTCCACCATTCATTTATAAACCGCCGAACCTGGTTTTTAACCTCTTTACATTTTTGCTTATACTCTTTGGAAAGAAAGCCTTCCGGCGACCGCAACGCTACCTGCCTCTTCTCCTGGCTAAGCCTAGTGAGTTCGTCCGCGTAAGCCAGTTTCCATTCAGGTTCGCCCAGTTTAGGTACCGCACCAAGACATCGCTCGGACACTTTTCGAACCGCTCGTCCAAACAGGGAGTACCCTTCATCAAAGAAACCCTCACTCATCAAGGAGTGTAACTGTGTATTAAGATCTTCCGTGACTTGTGGGTCCTTGAGCCCTCCGACTAGCAACCTAGGTAGCCGACCTCCATTGCCCAAACTGCCAGCAGACGTGCCATAAAATTTCCGTAATGTAGACTTAGGCGGTATGGCCATTTGCACTCGTAAGAATCTGTGATCAGTATTATGTATATATCCTGGCATCGCTCGCACATCAGTAATGAGTCCCATGGTTTGCCTGGAGCAAAGCACATGGTCCAGTTGAAACCATCGCCTAGACGATTGATGAAACCACGTCCCATATTCGCTATGTTGAAAAAAGGTGCTGGCAACTCGCAGCTGTAATCTACTTTTACTAGCGCAAAAATCCAACAGGCGCACGCCGTTATCATTGCGCTCAGGCAATCCATGCCTGCCCACCATTTCATGAACCGTTGGCGTGTCATCAGTGGCATCAGTATTTGCCAAACCAACACGCGCGTTGAAGTCCCCTAAAATGACCACCTCATCTTTATGCGGCACAGCGTCCAGTAGTCTACCAAGTTCTTCATAGAAAGTGTCTTTTTCTTCATCTGGACATCGAAACGTAGGCGCGTAACAAGAAAGAATGCTGAAAAAACGCCCTTTAATTCGCAACCGAATGCGCATTAACCGCCCGCCACAGTATTCACATAACTGGTCCGCTTCTTTCCACGCTTTCTGCATATCCCGATTCAATAGTATCCCAACTCCCTGCATAGCCTTTGCAGCGCCCGCATCGATACCCGAGTATAGAAACACCCAATCATCGTCCACAGTAATTTGTCCTTCACCCCTCCATCTATGCTCAGATATCGCACAGAGACTAATATTATGTGTCTTCAGTTCCGCGCATAAACTGTCAATTTTAGTTGGATCCTTCCCCATAATAGTAACCTCTCCAGAGTTTGCAACATGCAAATAAGAGTGTAGCGTCTGAACGTTCCAACATCCCCAATTGAGCTTCGGCCCCCTCCGCCACCTTCGCCCCTGCTGTCTCCGCCCCTGTCCGGGCGTCACAGTTGGATGGGAGAGCTCCGGTGGCTGTGCTCGAGTGTTCGTAACCCGTGCGGTAGCTAGAAGTAAATGCAAACGGGAAGCCAACCCGAGTGCATTGTTGGCCAGAAGCCTAGCATGGATTGTCCCCCGAAGGAGACCCTGTTTCCATGTTCAGCATCCTGACCCTACTACCGTTAGCCTCCTGCCTACTCAGCCTGTCGCACTAACAAAAGCGAAACAACAAACCAAGAAACTGCCCACGTCACAATACTAATTGCAGGAGTTGCCACCCCCCCACCGCGTTG